CCAGTGCTAAATGAACTCTGCACTGTAATGTTTCTGTCCTACTGTTTTATGATTTGTACAAATAAACTAAGGTAAGGCTGTCTGGCTCCGGCAGGCTCTGACAAACAGATTTAGTAAGCAAAGCACAGTAGTACTGGAAAATCAGCAAAATGAAGGGAGAACTCTGGACGTTTAATTAATAACTGTTTGATGGCTAGCTACCCAAGTGGAGCTGCTCTTTCCTAGGGGCGGGCCTCCACTGGATGTCAGAGCCCTCCTAGAGGCCACATGAGCGCCCAGTGTGGCCGGCCTCTTGGTTATTGAGGAATGAGTCATCAGCACCCAGGCCTCCTGTGTTTACATGCCTGACGGTTGCTGTTAGCTATTATTTTTGGACCTTGGCTTTCTCTTGATGGATATTCTAAAACTAACTGAAGTAGCCAGCGGGGGCTCTGGTTAGCGTTTAGATTGTCACGGAGTGTCTCCAAGGTGGAGGAGTGGACTTGGGCAGGGGCCCCCCCTTGGGGTGTTGCCTTGACAGGCATTGCAGACTGTGTGTCCTCCTACTTGGGAATGTTTGCAGAATGCTTTCACAGAGCAGGAAGTGAACTGTCCCTGAAACAATTTACCACTCCATCTGTCACCTCCCAGCTGTTAATCCATTTCATTTTCTTCCTCAGCATTCTACCCATAGCTCCTTTCAAGACTTACACACTTTAGGATCTCAGTAGCTGCTTGCTGGCGTGAAGGGCATTTGCACCTTTGGTTTTAAATGCTGCCTTCTAGTGCTTTCCTGTCTGGAGAGAGGAACGCTTGTTTTGTGGAGGGTAGGAGACTGGTCACAAATGAGGGTTCTTCTTGCCCAGGTGGAAAAGTGCTGGGCGGCAGCTTTTGCTTCAGGAGTGGGGGAGTTGGGGCACACAGATGTTACAAGGCATTTGTGGTGGGTAGGTGAGTGTGGCAGGATCTCACTTGGAAAACCATCCACAGAACAGAACAGCATTTCAGTGAGAGGTGGGCGGAGTCAAGGTGCTCTCCAGAGGTGGGAATGCAGTGGCTGGAAGGTGCCAGGGTGGATTCAGGGTGGAGAGAGGAGGCATCTCAAGGATAGCTGTCCCTGGTACCTGGTACGGGCTGTCACAGGGCGCCGTGTGGGTGAAAGGCAGCAAGTAATGCCGATGAGGGATAGCTGGGGTGGCTTCCCTGTGGCAGTGTGGCAGCGAGGAAGCATTTCAGGCTGGCCTGGAGGCAGGGAAGGGTTGACCGGGAATCTGGGTTTCTGAGACACCAAACCAAACAAGAGCAGCAGAAAAGGCTCCTTTTTTCTTCTCGAGGTTGAGAGAGAAAAAATAAGGCAGACTGAAGAGCCTCAGAGGAAAGCTGAGGAATTTACGTTTATCACTGATGATTCTGGAGTTTCTCGACACCCTCACTTAGAAACTGTGATTGAAGCAGCATTTGGAGAAGATGATGAGGGGAGTGTGGCACATTCGGGGCCGCGGGGTGGAAGGAATCCAAGCAGGTGTAGCAGGCAGGAGAGTGAATAAAGCCAGACTCCAGCTCTGAAGGTGTAGACAGACGTGAAGGGAGGGAAAGCAACGAGTGGTGATTGTAATTGAATTCCCGAATGGCAGTGAAAATGGGGTATCTGACACTTGGGCAGAGAATAGTCAATAGCTCTTCAGTGGCTACCAATTACGTATGTTGTAGGCAGTCAGCTACAGAAGGGGAAGAAGGGACATGGGGCCTCTGCCTCATGAAATTCATATTTAATGCGACAAAGACAGTTTTGTAGACATGCATGCAGGTACATACATATGTGGGTGGTAATTATGAGCGACAATAGCCTGGAAAGAAAAAGCAAGGGAAGGGACGAGGAGTGCTGGAAGAGGAGTGTTTTAGTTTGGGTGATGACCTGTAAATAAACTCACGGAGCTGGCTGCACACAGGGCAAGTGAGACCAGCGTGACCGCTGCTGGGTATGGCTAGGGACAGGGTGGTGGGCCTGGGATATATAGGTGTCGGGAGGCTGAGGCAGGAGCATCCCTGAGTTCAAGACCAGCCTGAACTACACAGCGAGACCCTGTCTCAAAACTTAAAAAAAAGCACTGGGGTGAGAAATGCAGAGCTCTTGTCGAGGCATTAGGTGTGGATTGTGAGAGCACAGAATCAAGGATATGATCCCGTATGATGGGTTCCTGTGGATTAGTAACTCTGCTCCTGGGAAGATGCAGTTCCTGTCTGCACCTTTGGTGAAGAAGGTGCCTTCCTCCCAGCAGATGCACTAGCGCTAGGACACCTTCCCTTGGTGGGAAGAGGCTGGGCTGGGCTGGGTGCCCTTGTGGAGGACCCAAGCTGCTGGAGCAAACACAGCCACCCTGAGTGATGCTGCAGGTTGTAGGGTGAACAAGGGGAGCTGTCACATCATCCCCAGACCGGGAGAGCCAAGGCTGTCACTAGTTTGGACCTCGGTGTGAGATGCCTGATATGCCCCTGGAGGTGACATCTGGTAGGCAGGTGAACATGGACTTCAGGGTGGGCTCTCAGGGCCATTGCTGATTTTGAGTCTAAAATGCCAGGGTGACAGATAAGTGGAACCTCAGAGTTGGAGATTAGGAACAGTGACTTGGATGAAAGGTCTAGATTGGGAACCATTCAACCGAGAGGAGGACAGGAAACTGGGGGACGTCATGTTAAAAATCGAGGGCTGGTTGGCAACAGATGGGGTGATGCACCCACCAACCAGCCAACAGGGTGTTGGGGTTCTGGGATGAGGGGGTGGCAGTCAAGATGGGCTTGAGGAAGTATCGGGCAAGGTGGACTCGGGTACGGGAAGGCTGCTGGGCTTCTGAGTGCTTTAGAGGAGACTGTGGTGTGAAGGTGATTTTCACAGGATCCTTGGGAAAATAGGAAGGGGAGAAAAGTGGGGTCAAGCAGTTTTTCAAAATGGGACACATTTGTGACCGTGGTAGGCAGGCCTGGGGAGCCTGTGAAGGAGGGGGAAGCTGATGGTGGATCAGGAGAAGGACGTTTGGAGGGCTTAGGGGAAGAAGTGGGTCTTGGGAAGGAGGAGGGGGCTTTTGCATTCCAGGCGAGGTGGGAAGGAAAAAAAGTATTAGAAGCAAATATTTGTAGGAGAGAGGGGAGAGATGAGAACACCGTTTCCTCTTTCAGTAACATTTTGGTGAGTATAGTCTGTTTCAAGGGTCACTCTTGGTGTTAAAGGTGGAAAGAAAGTTTGAGGGGAGCAAGCACGGGAAGAGAAGTCGTCAGGCAGGGAGGAGACTGTGGGAATTCGAATATTCTCTAACAGCAAGTCAGTGTTCCTGGCATGAGGAGCACTGAGAATCTGGAAGTGATCCCGATAAAAAGGAAATAAATGGAAGGCATCTGGGGTAGAGGTCGCTCACCAAGGAACAAAAGAGTCACCTAGGGGCAAAAACGACAAACAAAAACCCCACATCTGCTTGTGTTTAGCTCCTTTGTCTAAAATGTGTAGGTTTGAGATGCAGGGGTCCAACAACTAGAAACAGGAGAGATGCTGACAAATGCTTTGGAACGTTCTGGGTGACACTGTCTCTCCTCTTGGACAGTGTTCTGGACTTGTTAGGAGGGGCTGGCTTCAGGGTGCATCCCCGGGTAGGAAGGGAAGCCAGTGGACCAGAGGGACAGAGGTCATGTGGTCTTGAAGAAATTTCTGACACGTAGAGTAAGTAGTGGCATTTTGTGGGTATACAGCTCTGCAAGTTAGACGGGCTCTCCCATGCTCATGGACTGCCAGGAAAGAGATTCTGCATCCAACAGGACACATCCAACCACAGAAGCCTTACTTTTGCAGAGCATCTTGTGACCCGTTTCTACAAAACACTTGAAAATGCTGAATTAGAGAAGCCCAGCAGTCATAAGTTCCAGTTAGTTTACCATTCTCCAGTTGTGAGAGAGGGAAATTGTCATGCAAAGGGAGGATCCTAGTTTTCAGATGTTTTTTCTTTTTTACAACACTAGAGATTGAAGCCAGGACCTTTGCACTGAGCTGCATTCTCAGCCCTTTTATTTTTGATTTTCGAGACAAAGTCTTACTAAGTTACCCAGGTGGGGCTTGAACTTGCAGTCCTTCTGAATCAGTCCTCCTCAGTGCTGGGATTACAGGCGTATACCAGTATACCCAGCTCTGGTTTCAGATGCTGAAGCCACAGCTTTCTTAGTGGGGAGTGAAGTTACTTTCTACCCCTCCAATTAATATTCTGCTTTCTACCAATGAGACCAGCATTAGTTTTGTGTGAATGCTGAAGTGCAGAGTGTGAGATGAAATTGGGATATGTAGAGTGGAATTTTTCATAAGCTGTCTTTATGACATCAAACCAAAAGTGAACGAATGACCTTGAAGATAAAGATACTCGCCATGAGTCGACGCACTGCGACAGTGACTGGATATTTTGAGCAGTGTCGTAGGCTCTGAGAAGGCTCTGGTTTGTACCATCTGGGCACAGAACTGGATTTTCTTCCCAAGAAAGCACAGTGCAGCCCCAGAGTCTTGTTTACAATGCTAAGCACTGAATTTTTCTCTTGAATTACAAGAAAGCCCATGATTGGTGAAGAAAGTGATGGCGGATGAGGTTATGCATGTATCTAGCATGATTTTGTTTTTAATAAGGGTGTGATGTGAACTTTATCAGAATACAGACTTGCTAAGACTCACCAAGCCAAACCTTGCTAAAGGAGAAGAGTTCTAAAGACTTTTCAGTACCCCAAGTACAGACACCTCCAGGCTGTGAGGACCCATTCTTCTGTCCCGCAGACACCATCGTTCCATCCCTTCCCCTGTGTACCATACCTTATTCCTGAATCTTCCCTCACCGTCCTGCTAAAAGAAAGACCAGGTGTGTTCTTTTCATTAGTGTGCACTTGGGATGACTTTATGGGCGATTGGCTAGAGCATTCAAAGTGCGTGGAAATACTTCCCAGGAAACCTGGACATTGTGTGTTTGCCCATGGAGCTCTGAGCTTTCTTTTCTTCACAGGTAAAGTCCGTGATAAACCTTCTGTTTGCTGCATACACTGGAGATGTGTCTGCCCTTCGAAGGTAAGTTAACAGAGGAGGTCAGCGTGCACTGCACCTGGTGCCCACCAAATCTTTCTAGGACAAGTACACAGTAAGGATTCACTGCCATTCCCTCCGGTAGAAATTATCTAACAGTGTACACTCAATCCTCGTCTGTAACGCGGAAGGCCTGCTAGCCAGTCTTACCTTTTTCTGTCTGCTAGAAAAGCCCAGATCTGTTTCCCCAGTGGGAAGTGGCCAACTCATAGTAATGGTTTGCTAACATTTCACTAACATAAGGTGCTCGCATAGGACTGCACCTCACCTTTCAAGTGGAAAGTGTCCAGGCTGTTTCCATGCTTCTTTCATATCTCCTTAGTACATGCAAACTGTAAAGTGTCTGTTACACAACAGAAGTCTTAGTGAAAATATCACTTAAGATGCTAGTTCTTTGCCCTTTGAGACACAGCCTCTAAACTTGGGCACAGCGGTGTCATGTTGAGTTTGAGTGTCATGTTTGAGATGGTTAGTATTTCATCTTACCCCAAAATAGCCAAGCTAAGGAAGAGGCAAAGTAGCCTTTGCCCAGGCAGGACATCTGTGTCCTAGGTGGGTTGGGCTTTTACCGTTACTGAATCAGGTGAGGATTGGCACCTCAGACGCCCTTAGCTGGACCCATCGGGTAAATGCTGTAGGTGTGAATTCAGCGTATTTCGTGCAGAACGAATAGCTACGCTTATGAATCTTTCAGGTTTGCGTTGTCAGCCATGGACATGGAGCAGCGGGACTACGATTCTAGAACAGCACTCCACGTAGCTGCTGCAGAGGGTAATACATGAGCCACTCCTCATTTCCCCCCAGACTTCATTTCTACCCCAAACTAAAATCTCGTTTCTGTTTTGGGTGGCTCTAGGTCACGTTGAAGTTGTTAAATTTTTGCTGGAAGCTTGCAAAGTGAACCCTTTCCCCAAAGACAGGTGAGCATATATGTTCCTGTCTAACGTGATTGGCAGGTCAGGTGTTTCTGGCGCAGGACTGGAGTGTTCTGGAATGGCATGCGCACCCCTGTGGCCTTCTTGAATCTATCTCGTTGTCTTGTACAGACAGCGTAATTATTCCCTCTCCTGTATCCTGTTTCATATCTTACCCTTTCTTAATTCAGTTGTAGCTCATTGAGAAATTTTCAGCTTTTCCTATCAGTCGATACAGTCTGAAGAGTTTTTTTGTGTTTGGAAAGGGAACGCAGGGTTTCTGTCCTCTTGGGGCTTTTAACTGCACACACGGCTGATAAGATGAGCATTTATAGAAACGTGTAGCGGTACCCGTGTAAGAAACCTAGTGGTACAGAGCTCAAAGTGAGTATCTTGGGTTTTGTTGAAATCCTGGATTTCAGTGGGATCTGTCTGAGGTGGCTTTGTGAAGGCTGTTTCAGTGAGGGCTTTGGGGAGCATGAGGCTGGAGGCGGGGAAGGTGGAGAAAGGCGTTCCGTCAGCAGGGGAATAGTCTGTGCCTTTCTCTCCCTCTCCTCGGGGCTCACCTGCAAACTGCTATTCCGGCGCAGCAAATACTGTCTGCCCAGGGGCTGGGCAGCGGTACTGGGGCCACTGAGGTCTGCACTGTCTGAGAGTGACCTCTGTCCTCATGTGCTTGGACATTGTGGAGTGGATGAACCAGCCAGGATGGGAACAGAGATTTTGAAGAATTTACAAGGAAAAAGTGTTTGGTGGAGAAATCTAGCTGGTGGCAGGCAGGCATTTGGGGTTGTGTTTGAGAAATGGGAGCTGTTTTAAGTTTGGGGCAGGGAGATTAGATCTGTTTACAGCTGTCACTGCTGAGGCCTGGGTCTTAATGGTTCACCTTACAACAACTAAGAAAAGGTACAACGCCAATGCCTAAAAACTTGTTAGGCATTTTGTAAGTGTGGTAACAATTCAATTATCTAGTAGTAGCCCTATATTATTAAAAAAGACCTGACTCCAAAGGCTCAGCAAGGTGTCATGCCACTTGTAATGCCCATCCCAGCTCTATCTAGAGCAAGAAAGTATAAAGTGTTTCTTTGTATTTTCAATTCTGATTGAAGCAGTATTTAATACTCCCTGGAGTATTAAATCTGCATTACTGTATTTTGGATACTTGAAATCCCCGTCCCCAAAAGTAGCCTCTATGATTGTGAAAGTAACAATACCATTTTACAGGCAAAGCTAGCTTAGTAGCTCACTGGTAGCTCACTGCACAGGGGAAGCTGGAAACCCAAGGTAATCCCTTTTCTTAATTCATGGAAAGGGTTAACTTGCACTTGGCACTGTTTACAAAAACTCACATGTATCACCTGCTGTTGAAAACGACTGCAAAGTTCCTGTGTAAAACCACTGACTCCCAAACTAATGCAGGCGTTAGGGAAGCAAAGCACCAGGGATTCTGCTCCGAGGAAGACGAAGACACACATAAAAAGTGCTACTTACCTGATTTTAAAAATTAAGGTTACCAAAAAGGTTAAGAATTTTAGCACCTGATGGTTGTACCCTGTGACCCCTCTGAGAGGCTAAAAGGTTGAGGAGATGGAAAAAGGAGGAGACAAAAAGGGGCTTCAGGGAAGAGTGCAGTGGGGGCGGGGATGAGCCCAGCCGCCACAGGGAGGAGCAGAAAGCGGGTGTCACCCTTAGCAAAGTGTGAGGGCACCTGGGCTGCACCCTCCTTTCCTGAAGCCCCGCGCTGTGCGGTGCTGTCTGCGAAAGGCTTAGCTGGAGCCACCGCTGATGACTCTTTCTTCTCCGCACTCTGCTTCCTCCCTCAGCTGCTCTGCTGAGCACACTGAGGCCTGAGGGCAAGTTAGTCCTCCAGTCAGCTGGGGTCCAGGCCGGGCCTCCTTCCCATCCAGGCTGGAGCCGATGAAGACCTCACTTTCAGTGGGCCAGTCCTGCCCCTCCGCTGTGTATTTTAAACTCTCATGAATGATCATCGCCAGACTTCTGAGATTTAATGTGATCTTTGAATTGATGCGATCATCAACTTTTTGTCAAAGGCTAGGATGGTGCATGATATTTACCTGAAAAAAATTTTTTTACCATTTTTTTTTCAAAGGAGATCTATTGGGCTTTCCATGAAGCTGTAATTCCAGAAATCTAGGTGTGTCTATTTTATCTGTCAACAATAGGACTTCGCTCACAGAGATCCCCAATAAACAGCTGGGTGTGCAAACGGGATCCTTTTCCTCACATCCCAGCTTGTTTCTGAGACCACTTTTTGGATTATAAATCCCTTTCTACGTCTCCCTATTAATTTATACTTGAGTAGGAAGTTTGAATGGTGAGGTAGCCTGCCCTGAGAAGGTCAGAATTCGGGGTGGTCACCTTTATATAGAACCCCCTCCCACCTGTCATCTGTGTCACTTGTTCTAGATGGAATAACACTCCCATGGATGAAGCACTGCACTTTGGACACCACGACGTATTTAAAATCCTCCAGGAATACCAAACCCAGTACACGCCTCAAGGAGATTCTGACAATGGGAAGGAAAATCAAACGGTCCACAAGAATCTTGATGGACTATTATAATGGTCCTCAACCCCAAGGTTTAAGTCACTTACCTATTTAATTGTGGAAAATGATTATGAAGAACGTGTGTATTTCTACCTGGTAGTGATGTATATTTTTACAACATTTGTTCATTTCAGTGTTACTGGAGTTTCCTTCATTGTGCGCACAAGACAAATCTGATCTTTTTGGGGAAAAAATAGAAATAAAATAGTCTCCCTCCATAATGTGAGCAATATTTACCTCGTGCATTGTATAATTCGATGTAAAAGAAACAGTTACCACTGCTAGCTTAAACGTGTGGTCTTCATGATGTATGTGTGTGTGTGTGTGTGTTGTGAACCTGCCATTTACGGTGATGACCTGCTGGTGCACATTTACCACCTGAGCTCTGTTGTACAGTCTGTCCCACGGGGTTCAGGCTGTCTGTAGAAGCAAACCGTGTAATTTTCAAGACTTCAAATTTAGATTTAGTTCGAGTGTTTGAACATCAACATGCACTTACAGTTGAGTGTTATTGTCTCCTATCACCCTCAATTCATTATGTGACCCTTTAAAAACTGTAATAGTTAACAACTGTTGGTAGGATAGGGAAATTCAGATTAGACTTTATCAGGGAATTTGTTTAAGATATGTTTGGTGACCAAAATACATGTGAGAATATAGTTATACTTTTGAAAAAAAAAAAAAAAACAAAACCTTCCTTTTTCTACGTCCCCGTAGTCCAGCCTCTGCCCTCAGGCATTAGCTATCTGCCTCTTCCCTCTGGCTGGCTCAGGGAGTGCTGGCAAACTATGCAGTTTTCGTGTTTCCACAGTCAGAAAACGCCTCGCATTTCTGGCATCAGAACCAGAACTTCACCATTTGTCTGTAGAGGTTGGACCGGAGACGACTCCGTATGTCTACAACGCAGGCATGTGCTTCTCCAGCTCTCAAAGACATCACAGACACATTTAGACATGTGTACACTCCCAAAGTCGTTCAGGTGATATGGGAACCACACACACCACTTGTTTCTAGGAACCTGTCATTAAAAGTCTGCACCAAGATATTTGTGCTCTTTAGGGAACCACTGGCCCCCCCCCCCCCGCCAGATGTCTTCTGATTTTCTATTGTATAATTTTCGGTGGGCTCTGTAGCTCAATAATAAGAAAAGGCCATTTCATTTTAAATCAAGATGCATCATGTCTCTAAGGGACGTAATTCATGATTTAAAAAGCAGGTAAAAGGGACCTTCGGAGTGGAAATAACTTTCTAGGAATTGCACATGCATTTTATCGTTACGCTTCAGAGAGCTACAGGGGTAAGTGAGGATTTCTGATCCTGAGCATGTGTTATCCCCTACCTCCCATAGACCTTTCTGAAGCTGTGTTTAGCAAAATGAACCAAATTCGCAACTACCCAAATCTAGCTGTTACCACACCGGCCACTGCCCTCCTCTGCATGACCTGCTGCTCTGAGATTTATCAGCCCGCCAGCACACACGCACTCACCCCAGCAGCCTCGTGCTCTGACCTCCGCTTCATTCCGGGACAGCACCTCTCCTAGGTGACACCTGGGCCTGGCGAGCCCTGCACGCGCACATGGCCACCCAGCTGTGGGCAAAAACCCATAACTGCACAGAGGGCGGCTCTGCCGGCCCAGCCTGCCTGAAAGGTGGTTCCACAGGGTGGTTTCAAAACTACCAGTGATTCTGAGGCTTTTCTCTAATAACAAGAGGTTCAGCTATCTGGGAACAAAGAGAGCTTTCATCTTTTTTTTCAGATCAAAACTGTTTTGTACAGTCTTTGTGATGTAGCCCAGTGTGCCCACATTAACCCTGTTATTTCTGACCACATGCCCGTCTGCTCTGGATTTTTGCTACTGGCTAGTAATAATAAGTACATTTGAGGTCAATGCTGTTTGAATGTGCTGTTAATTGCTGCCGTCAGTAAGCTCCAAAGAGTTTAGTTGTGGCTCCAGATCTCCTGGGCTTTTTGTGTATCATGAGAGCTTTACATGGTCCTGTTGATTTAAAGCTTTGTATACACTGCTGTTTTGGTTGGTCTCGGCTCTGATCAGTGCATCCCGTGGATCTGCTGTGTTTTCCCGCCCCACCCCTACTGCCCAGCAGGACTCACTGTTCACGAGGTTGTCTGTCCTGCAGGGGACCAGTGACCTACCTTGGCTGTTGGACTTAAGATTCTCCCCGGGGATTACACAGCTATGAATGTATTTGCTTCCAACTTCTCCCAAAGTGACTCTAATCTTGAAACTATAAATTGTAAGTATTCTGAAATTGGGAAACATTTATTTTAAATGAAATCAGGTAGTGTTGCTTTTTACAGCATAATAAATACATGTATCAAAAAATAGAAAACTTGTGTGGAAAATGAATCTTTTTAAAACAAACGTCTTCTCTTTGACACTGGGTTGGGAATCTGCTGAACACAGCTAGCATATACAGCTGGTTTGAATAATATTTTTTAATGACACAGAGGGTCAAACCCAGGGTCACTCAACCAAAGCTAGAGTGCCAGTCCTTTTAATTATTTTGAGGCAGGGTGCCACTGCATTGCAAAGGCTTGCCTGAAACTTGCAATCCTCCTGCTTCAGCCTTAAGAGTGGCTGGGATTGCAGCCCCGCACCCATCCCCACCTCTCAGATCCATTTGTTTACTGTGTCCCAGGCAGCATGCAAGGTGTTAGTTCATCCTAAAGAGAAGGGGATGGGAGATGTTTCCAGTCCTCTTTCCTCTTACAGTTTTGAGGTTTTTACAGAGTAGCTAAGTGCTTGTGAAGCCACTCCTGGGTATGTTCTTTAAAGAAACGAAAGGCAGTTTTCACCGAGCCTTGAAATCTGCATGGAGAGCTAAACCAGCTGCCACGCTGGGCCCTGTGCTGGGCCACGTGGTGTGCCCAAGCTCCTGCCTTGCTCCTGCATGGGAACCTCAGGTAACCTTTCAGGGGTGTGTGGGGGGTCTCCAACCTCAAAGAAGGGGTGAGCCCCGTCAACACCAGGCCCTCCATTATCAAGCTTCTCTGTCACAGACTGAGCTGCTCAGCTGTAGGAGCCACTGCTCTGCCATCCTTATAGGAAACAATTTGAGCGACTCCCCTTGAATGCAGAACAGCTGCTGTAACACTGGTTAAATGGAGATGTGCTTCCATATACTGGTATGTACAGCGCTGATACGGTATTTCCTTCTCTCTCCAATTGGCTCTAAGCATTGCAAATAAGGCTAGTGAGGTACTGGTACTGATGCCTAATCTCTAAAGCCATCACAGTCTCCTGTTTCCTCACACAGTGTTCTCTGTAAAAGATGAGCCCAGCATAGGGGTGGCAGAGCCACTCAGCTCTGGGAATGTCTGCTGGGTAGAGGCCTCAAACCAAAAGGCTATGACTTCCCAGGGCACAGAAGTTTACATGTCAGAAACTGAAGCAACAGCTTCCTAAAACCATTCAAGTGTCATCTTAATTGGATTACACAGGGTCTGCATATTGTAGGAATGGAAGAGATACCAGAATCCCTCACATCCCTGGCCCACTCACCATACAGAACTCTCAAGCCAGGCCTGACCCTGCCCATTGAATGCACAGTGACTTAGGCTTCTCCTCCACCAAGGTGGTTTTGATGCTTTTTCTTTTTTTTGTAATACTGAGAACCTAGAGCTTTTACACTGACCTAGTTCCTCAGCCCTTTTTAACAATTTTAAAATTTTAGGCTAAGGTCTTGCTGAATTGTTAAGCAGCTCAGGCTGGGCTCGAACTTGGCAGCCTCCTGCCTCGGGCTCCCGCATGCTGCGATTACAGGTGTGTGCCACTGAGCCTGGCTCTGCTGAGCTGCAGGGACAGGTGTAAGTCCTGCGACATTCCCTCCTGGTGCGTGATTAACTCCAGCTGAGTACGAAGACGCCCACCGAGGGTCACGGGAGGGCAGCCTGGAGAGCGGAGACCAGGTGACCTGGCCCTGAAGACTTGCATTTGCTGCTGTACAACATGATCATTTTATTTTTGCGGGACTTTCTGAGGGTGAGGATAAACTTCTTAGTTTTACTAATCCTCACAATAAAATTTGTAAGTCACAGTAGATGCATAAATCATAGAGCAGGGTTCAGGGAAGCAGCCCACTGCTGTATTAGGTAGCCATTAGAACATGGCTTTGGGGGAAAGGTGATTTTTACAGTTATGTCCCGAAAGGAAGTGATTTACCCAATTAGCTGAGGTATGTATGTTTTGGGATGAGATAACTTGGAAAATTAAGCAAGCTGTTTAAAACAGGAATGAGATCATGGGATGGGAGGCATGAAAGGGGTTCTATTTATGTTCCTAACCCTGAGCCCAGCTCCAGGACAGCGTGTGGGCAGCCAGACCCCTTGCTGCCTCTCTGAATGGTCAATGAAAAGCCCGCTCTGAGGTCAGTGAGGTGAGCCAGGCGAGCACCGCGATAATAATGCATCAAGAAACGGGAAAGGCTGTCGACAGATGCCACGGGAAGGTGTCACAGAGGCATCAGAAGAACCCAGTAGTGTGACGAGAGGTTCTCTACAGCACCCTACATTTCAGGCAGCCTTGGCTTCTTGTATATTCACATAACTATGGTTCCTTTTTGGACAATAAATCAAGAAAAGCATTTCTTAGTGACTATAATAAATATCACCTGAACTCAGCTCACCAAACCTTGGAAGGGATCAGGATGAGCTCAATTAACTTCTCTGAGAAGGCTCTAAAGACAATACTGATTTATCTTGAGCCTTCCAAAAATGGATTTAAGTGTCATTTCTTTGAAACAGTAATTTTTACATATTACATTTACCATATTTGTAATTTTTGGCTATGTTTGCATTAATAAGCAAGGTGACTGCACTAGAAGATCTGATGGAGGCTCTTATGGTATCTTAGGATTGTCACCAGCATTTCCCAAACATCTCACCAGTGCCTGGCTCATGGCAGCTCGATGTATGTATCTTTGATGGACTAATAAATTAATGAATCTTAACCAAAGAACACCACCACTCCGGTAAATAGGCTTTACTGTGCGAGCAGCACCCAAGTTTCAGTGACAGCTACAAGAATTTTTAAAACGTTCTCTAGTTTTTTCCTGTCCTTCCCTTGGGACAATTGGATGTCACCAAGAACTGCTTTGTTCCTTAAGACTTGCCTTCAGATTACGCTTTAGTTTGCAGGCAAATACATTTTGCTTAGTTGATGCCTCTCAGAAAATTCTTTGCTTAAAAATGAGAGGTTTATCCCAAGTGGTACATAGGTACTGTATGTGTCCCCTCTCCTGCCACGCACTTTTTTTTCTTAAAGGAAAAAGCAGCAAGGTTTTATTAAGGTGACAGCTTGCTTAGTGAGTGGGCTTGCATCCCCAGAAGGGAGAATGGCCTTAAATACCTTTCAGCCCTGTCACTGCACTCCAAGTACCATGCCAGCCAGTGTCGGAAAAGCAACCGCCCTGCGGCCAGGATCTGGCCAGTGGTTTACGGTGGTCAGTTATACAAGAATACAAACTCTTATTAGAAGCACGGCAAATAAGAATGACAAGTAGAAAAACAGCAGTATGCATCTTATTTTCAAACAAGGACTGATATATAAATGAGGTCAATATTAAACCAATTCACAAGGCCAGCAATTTTAAAAATCTTTGTACTAAATGCTCACAAAAGACTAACATTAAAATTTCAATACTTCTTTCAAGTAAACCAAGCCTCCGTCTTTGGCAGTGGAACAAAAGCATGCTGCATCATTCTCGCAGGATGAAAATACGGCAAACGATTAAATCCCAGCAATTAAAAAAAGTATTGCTTAAAATATAATGTTTCTTATTTCTGTTTAGAAAGTGAACCGAATTCCAGCCAGGTTCATGGTCTCTTAGGTAAAAACAGAGAGGAGGCCTTGATTCTGGTGTAGCTCTAAACGACGCACAGATTGTTTAATGCAATATGGATATTAGCTCAGCTCTTAAAACAGCTTTCAAGAACACTTTATCTCCACCCAAGAAACACAAAGCATTTCTACAACACTGCGGTTACAGAGCTGACGAGGGAGACACCAGGTATTCAGCTGTCGGCGGCGGATCCCTCTTGACAGCCCAGAAGCACTGGGTGTCAGAGGTGAGGAGGAAAGGAAGGGTACACTGCACACGCAGCATGCCACACGCCACCATGCATCCAGAGAGGCATGGAAGCGGCACAGGACTGATCACGGAGCCATTCGCAAGGGTGATGGTCAGGAAAACACATTTATCGCGGAAGAATATGCAGTTCTCAGTGCAGGTACATAGGACATGAATTTTCATTACTGGGTTCTTGCATTATTTCTCATTAATGATTCGAGTTGCCAGCTACTACTTTTCCTGCGCCATTCTCAACTGTATGGCTAAGAGATTACTGAAGAAACATGAGTTCAATTTGTGGGTTTGTCTACATCTATAAATAATTTTAAGTTTTTAAAAAAGGAGATTTCCCTCAAGGGAGATGTTGCTCATGGGCTGGCTCTTGCTAAAATGCCACAGTTTTACTCACTGGTGACCATGACAAAAGCAGAAAAGACTCAGCTTTGGATATTCAAGATTAAGCAGAAAGGAGTACTCATGGACTCTCTTCTACTGCTTATTAGCCAACTGCATTAGCCATAACTGACAAAAACCCTAATTTCCTCAAGACAGAATTTATCTTTAGTTCACAATCTCCTACCCAGACAGGAGACTGGTACCTCTATGATAAAGTGTTCATGTACCATTTAACTGGCTTTGACTTATTCCACAGATAAAATGATGCAAAACTTCTAGCCATACTTAAAGCAGAGAGATCGCATAGAACTTTCGAGAGCAGAAATTCCCCCTCCTACAGCAAGCTCCCCACCTAACCGTATCTATCTGTCTGGCGACTGTCACTCTCAGGCACTGACTTCAAAGCATTTTCAGATGCTGCCAAACTTCTCACCTTTCCCAGAGGACTCTCATTGGAGTCGTGAGATTTCAGGGTCTCTGGGTGTTTTTGCAAATCCCCTCTGTGGAGAGTCTTTCAATGTCACCATCAGCCAGATGCATGAAGTCCTCCAGGATGGCAGTTTTTGAATTAGAAGAATATTCACTGGCAACCACAGGTTGCAGTTTCTTGTCTTTTCTTTCATTTCCCTAGAAACATGGGACGTGAGGGGACAGAGGAGCGTGAGGGGATCGCAGGTGGGAAGGAAAAACGTCGCCAAAGATGAGAAAAATTCACGCTCTAGACTGCATTCATCTGTAAGAAAGATAAAACGTGGTTAAAATCAGGGCACCAATCCTGCAACCTGCAGGTTCACATATTTAACATTACTGTCCGCTCTGGAACAGGGCGGCAGGAGGACACTTCCAACAACAGCAAGCAAACACCCACCGTGGCATCAGAGGGCCCTCAGCACATCCTGTGCATTTTCCTGGAGTAATCAAGACCATTCATATCACCTAAGCCGGTGGATTATTACTCTATAGCCAGCTGGCTTAGCTCAGTGAATCCACCCAGACGGCAGAAAACTTTCTGCTGTTCTGCAAGTCTGGAGACAGAGCAGTGTGACAGACCTGCTCATGTAAAACAAGGGTGAAGAAATGCTGATCTGTATGCCAGAGGAGAGGGATGAGAGGGCAACGATGACTTTCACTTAAAGGTCACTCAGCGGGACAAATAAACAAATGTATCTGAGCCAGGGAAGCAGAATCCCTAAGACCCTCCACCCCCCACAGTGCCTCTGCCCAGCTGCCCCAAGAGGGTGACTTGTGGTCCATTTGCTGCCTCCAGTTCCCTGACTGCTGCACTCATCCTTCCCCAGACCAGAAGACCTCAGAGCCTATTCTGTCCCCTTTGATGTCAAAGACTCTGCTGTTTGTCATGACAGTGTGTGTGTGTGTGTGTGTGTGGGGGTGCTGCTGTCTATCACGTAGGCAGAGGCCAGGGACACCACTGAACAGACAATGCACAGAACAGCTCCCCAGCAAAGAACGCTCCAGCCCTGGTGCCAGGAGCACAAGACCGTCACCTCTGCAAGAGTCTCCCTGTTCCTAGGGCCCAGCCACGGGTGGCACGCAGTGGGTCTGAAGGCTGCCTGTATTGCAGCCTCTTCAACCATACAAAGCTGGAGTTGGGTGGTGGATTTCAGGTGTGGGGAGAGAAAAGGAAGGAGCCTAGATTCAGATCCTTCACTGCGTGACTGTAAGATGCTGCTTAACGTCTTGAAATTGCAAGGTCTTTGTCTATTAAGTGGGCTGCCAGGGCCTAGCAGGCAGAGTTGTGCTCCTGTGACCCCGAACTCTGCCCCAAGGACTGTCAGAAAGTAGCCTGGCTCTGATGCAGTCCAGAGGGAAAATCTGTTGTACTGAAATCTTGGCTAAGTGGACACTCAAGTCCCGCTGCAGAGAACACTGATGTTCTGCCCTCCTGAACAGCTTCCTAGGCGGCTTGTGGTCCTCTTGTGGCCAAGGCTGACTGGTGCCACCTTGACCCAGAGCTGTGACCTCCAGACTTAGGGTCTCTGGCACCCTCCTGTGGGAGGGCTGAAGATCACAAGGTCAGGGAAACCACAGTGGGAGGGGGAGTGTCACCCCGACTCAGAGGCCAATCTGGTTTTTATTTTGTCTAACGAAGACAGCTCCTGTGTGATAGCCTCTTTTTTTTTTTTTCATTTTCTTTTTTGTCTTTTTCGTTTCTATTGGTACCAGGGATCGAACTCACGACTGCCTGCTTGCAAGGCAGGCGCTTATGCCGTTGAGCTAAATCCCCAGCTCCTGTGATAGCCTCTTTTAGCTCTGTAGGTGGTCTGTGTGTGAGAGAAAGACGAGAGGGACACAGAGAGGGGGACAGAGAGGGCGGAGCTAACCCCCCTTCTCTTGGCAAGGTCACAGGGCATCAGGGAGATGACAGCTTTGGAACTCTGCTGCGAAATGCCACTGGCAGGCGTCTCAGCCAGCGGCCACACTGCCACCCTCTTCAGATGAGCATGAAACAGACAACAGGATGCAGATACGTCCATGAGGAGTTGGGAATGCAGCCACATCTGCAGTCCGTGGGCTTAGTAGGTGCCCTGTCCATTGGCGGCGGTGGTGGTGGTCATGACACAACTTCAAGTTTCTGTTCCACTGATGTAGCTTATGTTCTCCATTTTTTCTTTTTGCACCAGGCTTATAAAGCACTATCTACAGCAGTTGGGGTGCTGCCATACACTGAGAAGAGCTGCATTTGTCAACAGACCCCAACTAAGCATCTTTTTAAGTGACCTTTTCATCCTCAGGACTCAGCACAGTGTAAGAAAGTAGGCTTCTGGGGCTGGGGATTTAGCTCAGTGGCATAAGCGCCTGTCTTGCAAGCAGGCAGTCGTGAGTTCGATCCCTGGTACCGATAAAAATGAAAAAGACGAAAAAGACAAAAAAAAAAGTAGGCTTCCCAGGGGTTTTAGCCTGCACTGCGTAAGGCTAGGAAAGTGGATGGAGACAGCTGTGCAGGGGAAACTGAGTCGGAGCAGGTTTCACTGGGGCTGCACAAACACAGCCCCTGAGCACACCAGTAACAGCCCCGGGTCTGCGAAGACGTGGGAGACACCCTGGCCCTCTCTCCTCTACCCCCTCGCCCTCTCTCCCCCCTGTCCCTGACTTCCTTGTTCATTACTGAGCGCTTATTCTTGCCAGACACCAGGTAGGAAAGGTCAGTAGTGACTCGGAAAGGGCTTTTTTTTTTTTTTTCCATAAAGCATTAAATAAACTTAAAAAATGAACTGGAAGAGGTCCATGTGGAAAAGAGCTTTGAATTAAATAGCATCAGCAAATCTCCAGCCAACCCAACACAACCTTCAAGAGGAAGGATTTCAGGCTGAAAGGCAAACAGTACTGTTTGACATACTGAAAGCATTCCCCCAGAGGGAGAGCTCTGTTTTGCAAACAATCAGGTTCCCATTTCTACCTCAAAACTCGCTGACTCTTTCACTCTCTGAACTGTGTCCTGGGCAAGCCATAGGTTTTGCAGCCAGCACTCCAAGCTTGCTCTCAACAAATTATAATATACATATATATATATATATATATATCAAGTGAGTGTTTCACTCCTGCGAACTAAACGTATCTCGAATTGTTGTAGCCATCGGCCATCGCATTACAGCCTGCAAGAAGGCTCCTTCCTATGGATAACACACCTTCACTCAGACACCAGGATGAAATAACTGGCCAAATTAAAACATCACCTTCTCAGGAAAGGACACATCCCCTCACGTGTGACCTTCCGACAAGGACAGAACTTTCTACTTGAGGGGCGGCGGGCAGCGAAGTATCTGAAGTGTCACCTGCTTCCTCAGGGATGGCAGGAATCACGAGTGCTGCTGAGGAAAGAGGCTGCTGAAACAGCAGCTCCAACTTATCCCGGCTCATCTAGCAAATGCCCTTTCTGCGGCTCTGCCACAGTTGCTCCTGGCACGCTTGGGGTGTGCATGGGGTCTGCCGGCCTCTGAGAGCACCGGTCACAGCGGGTGGACGCCCCTGCTGCTGTACTCACCATGCTGTCAAATTCCACGGGAACCATGAACCGAGACACTTCATCGAACTCCTCGGGAGACATGGGGAGCAGGTTGTCCGTGGTCTGAAGTCTGGAAGGGTGACTGGAAAGGAGAGAGGAGAGGGGAGTGTCAACACTCGCACTGTGGAAGCGGGGTGCAGATCTAGACAGTTTTATCCTCTCTGGGATCGACCGCTTTGCACTTTTATGTAGGGAAGTCCACGCACTCTTGAGACACATCTGTGAGAGTAGAGATGGTGGGTGGGAGGTTAGTGTCCCCAGCCCGGCCCCTTGGGAGTATGCGGAACAAGAGCCAGAGGGATCTGTGCACTTCTGCCTGGTGACGCCTCCTGTGAGCGCCACCCTGGGTGATAGCATCTTGTAGCTGCCCCTGGACAGAGAGCACCTGAGAAGTGCCCAGGGAGTCCCTCGTCCCTACCTTGAGGTCTGCATGCAGATAAAGCGGATCCACAGAGGGTTTTTACATGAAGGCTACATCCATTCACCCCAAGACAGTGCTGCGGGCCAAATAACTGACAATGACTTCCCAAAACTCTACCTTTTATGAAATGAAACGACAAAATAAAAGCAAGTGGAGAAAATGGATCTCAATCATTCTCTGGCCTTTCTTCAATTGAAAAGAACTACTTTCCCACTGAAAAACAGTTTATTTTTATTTTGACTTTTTCCAAGTTTCAGATTGGGGAGAATTTATATATCTTACAATACAACTTTGGCTTTTGGTTGTGTTTTGCGTTTTGCTTTTTTAAAGGCAGTAAAATGCTGGCAGGCAGGGACACCAGACCCTAATTGGGCTCTCTCCTGGAAGTCCGGCTGTGACAGCTGAGCGGTTACAAGGGGGAAAGCAAAATGCAAATACAAAATACAGTGGAGAGGCCCCTGCCAGGCGAGAGGCGGCTGAGGCTCTGAACATGCATTCTTCTGTGTTCACTTACACTTCGGACACCGAAATCAGCTCGGTCTTGATGTATCCAGTTCCCTTCGGGCCGTCGAGCTCCATGGGCTCCGGGGCTGGAAGGAAGCACAGGGCACACATGTGCTGTTAGCAGAAACCACAAGTGACAGCTCAGTCACGCTGGGGATGAAGCTTCTCCGGTTGCCCCTGACAGCTTAGGAGTCCTGCGACTCTGAAGAGGTCCAAACCCTGCTCTCTGCCCGGGACACCTGACATTCCTGCGGGGATACAGAAGTGATGAGGTGGGGAGAGGTGACTGCAGCAGGTGTCTGGCTGGGCACCTTCTCCTGCACAGTCTGCGAGGTGCTCTCTGTGTGCTGATGGTGACACACAGTAGGCTGAGGGCCTCTCCACACCAGTGTCACCATCCTCCTAGTGAGGCTTCTGGCGTGAAAAGCAATCAGCTGTGCTGGTGTTGGTGTGTTCCGGGCACAGATGGTTGTAAGCTGAACTTTTTAAAATGAGGCTCAGGGACAAGCCAGAAGGAGAAAGACCCAGAAAGACTCACATTCTAAGACGAGGCCTCCTCCTGTAATAAATCACTAATAACATGTGCTCTAACGTGGGTGGGGGCTCCCTTCTCCTGGCCTCAGTTTCCCAGTTTTAACATGAGCTGCCTGGCAGACACTGGGCAGCCATGGTTCTTAACCCTGGCCCCTTTCCTGGGGAATAAGTGATACTGTAATGAGACCAGAAGTGGAGTGTCCAGGCTGCTAACCTCCGAATTAGGTTTCACTGCAGCCCAGACCCCTGGATGGGAAGCCCATGGCTGGTTACCAGCCAGGCGCACCTGTGTCACCACCCCCAGCGCTGTCTCATCCCTGCGGGGGCCGTGCCCACTCCCCACTCACCCTCCTTCGGCCTGGAGTAGTACTTTCCGAACGCGTGGTCTTTGTCAATGTTTGGGTAGAGGTACTTGAGGGGGTTCTCTGGAATGTTCTCCGCTGCCATGACTTTGTAATTGCGGATGATGTCAGGGAAAGTGACGGCGGAAAGCTCCTTCTTGGTATAGGGCTCAACCGAGTGGAACTCAGGTTCTACAGGGCGGAAAAGCTGGGTGAGCCCCACAGAACGGCCTGAGGCGACACCCTGCAGAGGTTAGGGATGCCAGGAGCCCAGGAGGAGGAGGTCTGACATGGAGGAGAAGCAGCCATCCACAGGGCAGGCCGCCTCATTCCTAATTCTAATCCAGCCTTAGGAAGAGGGGCAGAGAGGAAGCCTCCACCCTCACAAAAATGCACCTGTCATTCGCTACTTAAGATTTATAGATCTGGCCCCAAGTAGCTGAGGAATCCCTTAAATGCCCACATCTTCACCAAGCAGAGCAGTAACGAACTACAACCTGGGTCATGGTACTCCAGGCGTAAACAGGGTTACTGAGAGACGACCTCATTTTCTTTTCATATTGAACAACACAGTTCTTAATTAAAACAAGTGATACTAAATACAGAAAACAACTTTTGAGATAAGAAAACCCCACATCTTGCTTTTCCTTCTAACCTTCAATGTCGTAAGTTTAATTCCCTGATGTTCTTATTCCCAGACCTAAACCAGAGCTGTTTCTGAACAGACCCAGAATCTAGTGCTCCAGAGCTCAGGACAACTGCTGACCACACTGTGCGCCCACTTCGTAGCTGGTGCCTCCCGCCCCCAAACTCTCCTGGTTGCCAAGTGCTTTCCTCTCTTGGTTTGCTAACTCCGCCTCTCAGTGGGCTCAGGAAATGGCCTTCCAGGAAAAGGGGGAAGTGGGCAGGCTCACAGCGACTGCCAGTCCCAGGCTCGGACTCAGCCCGCCTGCTTTTTCAACAGAAGAAAAACAAACAAGAAAGCATCCCATCCTTTTGCAGCTCCCTCCTGAAATTTGGGGAAAATCAGCTTTTCCTCCAGTCCTCTAAGCAAACTGTGAGCATCCCTCTAAAGCAATCGGCTTGCCACGATCACCTCCTCATCTGCACCATGCAACAGTCTGTGAGCCGTGGAGTACAACACAAATGCCTAACAGAGAAACCTGTGGCTGCTCTGAAAAGGGGGTGCTGGTGGAGGAAACCCACAGGAGTCCTCAGCTGTGCCCAGGCACTGTGGGAAGTGGGACCCCATCCAAGATCTGCAAGGACACTCACTCACATCCTTGATTCGCAGTAACAGGGTGGACACAAAGGAAACAGGTTGGCCTTGTCTTTCAAAGTCACTGTGTCCACAACGCGCTCCAGGCAGCGACTCCCAACATCAGTGATGCCTCCCCAAGCCCTACCTAGGGGCTCAGCTAGGGCAAGGACGGGCGCCTCGAGCGCATGACCAAAGCTCCCAGTGCCACACGAGGTGGGAGGGCTGCACGTGTGCCCCGGTCGGCCACTCACCGCCTCCGTTCTGTGACCGCTCCACCCAGGTGAAGGTGATGGCACCCTCGCGGGAGCTCTCGCTGAACCGCAGCAGGAAGGTGCCGGGCTGCTGGTCCTTGAGCAGTATGCGCTCCCGTTCCTTGCTGATGAAGCCCATGATGCACCTGGGCGGGGACAGGACGTAGGGTTTCAGTCTCCGTAGCCCCTTACAATGCAGGGGCCTCAGCGCGGACTGCAGGGTGAGGACCTGCACACTGTTTTAAAGTATATTTAACGGGCACTTAAGGACGCCTTCTACTTAGGTGTGGGTGTGCTAACATTAAGGGAAAACACACACACACACACACACACACACACACACACACACACGAGTATGGGGTCCACAGGACGGCACAGAGACTCAGGAAGCACGTGCAGCATTCCAAGCCCCGTGCGGGCCATGAAAATGGCTGGAAGTGTGCATTTCTTCTACTGAACTCCAAAACTCGGACAATGTATTTTCATATTCATGCACTTCTAGTCAATTTAAAAGCCTCTTAGGGGCTGGGGATTTAGCTCTGCGGCATAAACACCTGGCAAGTGCGAGGTCGTCAGTTCCATTCCCTGTACCAAAAATGAATAAATAAATAAATAAAAGCCTCTGCTAAAATATAAGTTGATCTGGAGACGAGCCAGGCATAATTTACAAGGCAGAAAGGGCTTTTGATTCTTTCCTAGGGACCATGTAAGAGCTCAAGAAACTTCTGTTGAATGAAAGCATGCTTGGGTGGCACCCAGAATCTGTTTTTAAAGCTCAGCTTTATATTAGAAAGTGTTCGTTTAACCTGATGTGCTGCTGTGGAACCTGAACTGCTCCAGGCAGCGTGTCTCTGGGAAGGGACAAAATGATGCGCCTGCGGGCTTTTTCTGGGTTTTGCAGCAAGAGAGGGGCACCAAAAATGTTTCAGAAATACAATCGTCAGTGGCTTTTGCTCTTACCCATCATTCCAGAGAGACAGCAGGTGTTTTTTAATGAGTTCTAAGATGCTTTCGATCCAAAGCCAGAAGGAAAAATTTTTATCGCTAATATTTTCCTGAAATACACAAATGCACACATTAGGAACAGTGACTTCTCACACTGTGCCCTCCCATCAGAGTTTCACTTGCGAAGCACCCCACTATCACAGACAGAAGTCTCCAACACACAGCAGCAGACCGGCCTGGGTCCTCCCAGTGATCCCTCGAGCCAGGCTCTGCTTCCCTCTCCAAACAGCAATGGCAGCCAGGGGACACCTCAGGGTGACACCACCCCGGCCCTCTGGTCAGGCAGAGCTTGAGGTTCACACAGACAGAGCCAAACACTGCCGGGCCAGGGGCCGGGATGGGCAAGGGAAAGAATCTTATCACTCAGCAGGTGCTTCCTGTCAGCCTCTGGCCTGGAGACCCAACTTCTGCGTTAAGGAAAGAAAACAGCTGACCCTCGGGGAAAGAAAGCCATGCCAAAACAAGCAAGCAGCTCCCTGCCGCAGCCAGAGGAGCAGGCGGGAGCCCTGAAGCCAGGCGGCAAGAAGAGCTCAGCGGCTCCCACGCCCGGGCAGGACCCACCTTACAAAACCTAGTCCAGGGGATGAGGCCGTCCTGGGCAGCATTGGGACCTAGATAGACACAAGAACACTTTGTTGGCAGACAGCAGTCGCTCTGATGCTTTTGTGGATAAATTTGCTCTCAAAGAAAGACTCCCTATTCGAGAAAGGAAGATCCTGTCTGTGTGGCCCACTTAGCAAGGATCAAATATGCTACGAAAGGACGTAGGTGAAAGAGTCTGCAAGTGTACACATTGGGTTTATTTCCATGGCACGAAGGGGTGGATGGCAGATCCTGGGCACCAGGACCCTGAGGGTTTTTAGAGCACAGGAGCACCACAGAGCCTACCATCAGTCCCCTCTCTCCCTCTCCTCGGGAAAGGGGAGCGATCCCTTAAATCCTGCTCTCCGTACCTCGCCTGCCTGCTGACACTGACTGGGGTTGAACCTGAGCCTCCCCGTGGGCTCTAAGGGTGCTGCGTTTGGGCCTCCCTGCCTGGCACCAGCACTGGCACCAGCACCAGCATGCTCTCCCACTGCTTCATCATCTTCCAAAGATGCCACAGACCTTTTAAAAAGTTCAAATTAAGACCAAGGGCAAGGGATTTAGCTCAGCGGCATAAGCACCTGCCTGGCAAGTGTGAGGTTGTGAGTTCAATCCCTGGTACAAAAAAAAAAAATCTCAGTCTCCTCCAAACTAAGACCAAGATCATGCCCAGGAGATCAACTAAATGGACACTTGAGTCCACCAGCGCATTTCAGAGGTCTGTTCTTCCCATTCCATGGTCCTCCAAATGGTACGTGAGTTCAGGGAGGCTGCAGTCACCGTCAGCCGACAACTTCAGGCACGGCTAGGCACAAGGGGGTGAAGCCTGTGGCCCTTTTGAGAGAACCCTGAAGATCACCTACTGACTCCAAAGGGAGGACTAGGAGAACAGGGATCTTAGACATTGTATTAAGTAGCATAAAAGCCTGCTGAGCCCACAGCGGAGGGCCACCAAGTCAGGAGTGAAATTAATCCAGACGAGAGCTGCCTGTGAAATATTAAGGAAGGATTCAGTTTTGCTCATTCATTCAAGCTGACTTCAACATGAGTGAGTCTTGGATCCATTTAGTATGTAAGACTGGTCAGCCACTGGCCTTGGCCACTGACAGCTGATGACCTGGTGTGCCTCGACTCTGTAATGCGCCGGACAGTGGTCAACGTACGTCCTGTGTGTGGACAGTGACCCCACCACCAGGGCCACCTGAGGCACCGGCCTGGAGACTGAGATGAAAACCCTCACCCATGCATGTCTGGGACTTTTATTTTCCTCCCTCAGAATAATAAGAACTATCTTTCTCATTGAAAACTCATTTCCTCCACAGAAAATGTATTGTACAAAATCCAAAAACCTTCCCCTAGGGCCCTTCTCAGAAGTGTCAGCAGGAAATGAGGGAGGGGTCAGGGAAGCCTCTCCCTGGGTCTCCTTCTTTGCAAAGTAGGGTCTGATTGTCTTTGAGTCCCAAGAAGTGGCAGCTGGGTTTTTATTCTCCTCTACTCTGCCCAAAACAGAGAACAAACAGAGCTGAGAGAACAAACAGAGAGGTTTTGGATTCGATTGACGCAGGCACATGAAGTCCATCTGCTCCTACCTAGAAGCTTCTCTCCCAGCATGCTCAGCTGGTCTACGTTGAGGCCTCTCTTGGTGACAGAGGAAAACTGCCAGCTCAGCACCTCAGAGAGCTGGGCCCAGCGCGCACACGGAGGGTTCAGGAAGAAGGACAGATTCTGGAGACAAAACACACGGGAGCTGGGGGTCACCAGGATGTCCCGACCCACCCCAAAGCTCAGCTCGGCTTCACGTGACACTTCCACTTGTTCACCATCAGGGATGCAAATGTGCATCACTCCCAGATTTGCAGTTGTGAATTCATTTGCATTTACATAAGACTCTGAGGGCGCCTCTGAGGTCACTGAGGATGGGACTGTACACAGAGTGACAAGCAAACAGTCACTCAACACTCCTGCTCTAACCAAGACGGACAACTCAGGGCTGGAGCTCCGTGTTCCAGCATTCATACACACTAGCGTGCTGCAGGGACCAGAGTCGCCCAGGAACCCAACCTGCTTTTCTCCGGGAAGCAGTCCTCAGGGTTGCTGGTGTCTCTGAATAATTAGAATCCACTGGAACTGGGCAGCAGTGAGCAGCCACGCTCTAAGAATGCAGCTTGCTTTTTAGACGTGCACATTTAAAGACAGTGACAGCAAAGGCAGGACCATTGTCCTCACCTCCAGTACACGTACACTGTCACTTTCCCATGGCCACTCTAGTTGGGCAGTGGCCCCACATGAGCCATCACTTCCCTCTCCACACCTGGCTACTGCTCGCTGCTCTGGAGACACAGCACCTAGGACAGGGGCCCCTGGCCACCTCCCTCAGCCCCCATACAAAAGCACTCGTGTTTCCATACCCTGGGTTCCGTCACCAGCATGTTGTACCACAGGATGGAGGCCCAGCCGCTGGGGAGCTGGCTGACGTTGGAGATCACCACAACAGGCAGCGAGGTCGTCTGCAAGGTGACAAAGGCCTTGAGATCCTCCTAACCAGACCACCGCGTACTCTCAGAGGGGAGCAGGGGACTCACTGTAAGTCTGCACAGAGTTACTCTTGAGCAAAGTAACCCTAGGACAGAACTACTCGGAAGAGTTAGACGGAAACACAGACAGGACTCCCAGGGACCCCAGAAGTCTCACCTCGAGGTCAATGACCAAGCCAGGCTGGCACAGCTGGGTTTCAAAGCTTAGGGAGTGAAGCTCTTCAGTAACAACAAGCGGGCCCTTGGAGAGAAGAGAAGAGAAGAACGTAAGGACTCACTTGCGGATCCTGAGACTTTCAGAAGCTAAATAAACAAGGGGCAGAGATCCGGACCACACAGTTACAACTTGGAAAACACCACTGCGTAATAACTGACCCCAGATTTATTTATTCCAAGTGTCCCGGAGCTCTCTCTGAGATAAAAAGTGAACAGTTCAGAGAAAGAAACGCAAGTAGGGAAGCAGTAATACCCGTGAGATTTGCACACAACCCAAGACTTCCTGGTGTAGATGCAGCTCGGGTCTGATTATCCACAGGGAGCTCTGACTCCCAACGCCTAGCAGGTCAGTGCTTCACTTTGGAAAGAAAGGGGTGGCTTTCAAAATGCCTTCGTGCAAACTGCTTCCCATAGGCATCACGACCACTAGAATGAGGGAGGAGGTGCAGCTGCTAGATCATGGGTCACACAGCAGTGACCGCGCAGGCCAGGGCTGCGAGACCAGCAAGTCTGTCTCATTGTTCCAGCGCCCTCCACTGGTTGTGGTGGGAATGACAGTATGCCTTGTGTGCACAGAGGGAAAAAAAAACCTTCCAAACCCAAACTCTAGGCCTTTGTCTTTGCACATTGCTAAATGCATCACAATGCAACTCTTCAAGGGTCTGGATGTGAAAAGGAAGCTGAAAAAAAAAGATAATGCCACTAGGCAGGAGCGCCCGGACCATCTTGTCCTCAGCATGCAGTCACAGACGGGCTCTGTTCCACTGAACGGCAACTGTGCCTAGGGAAGTCCTGCAAACATCCTGGGACTCTGATCCCCCACTCACAAGGTGTGCAGGACACAAAAGCCCACCAGCCCCTCCTCTGAGCTGCCTGTGTAGGGCCAACGAGGCTGTGAGCAGGGCTGCCCAACAACCAGAAAGCAAGCAGCAGAGGGTTTTTCCCATTTGCACGGACACTCCTAGCCCTCCCCAAGGAGATCTGCCTGCCCCCCACCATGGCCCAGGGGCCCTCACCTCATTGGTTCTGTTGCCAGCATTCTTCTGTTCTTTCAGTTGCTAAAAAACAGGAAGTCATCTTAGTAGACCACATGGGAGCTGTCAACTCTGACTCTTACAACCCAGACCACCCTCAGGACCACAGAGAATGAAGACCTGCCATGGTCTCAGGGGTGGAGCAGGAGGCGTGCAGGCCTGCCGTGGGTCTCTGAACTGAGTGCCTCTTGCTCAGTAGGGTGGATGGTGCAGAGTCTGGGGGACCCACCTTCTGGGAACCTCATCCCAAGCTTCCCAGTGAGCACCATGGGGCCAGCTCGGGTCACCTGAGGCCTCCAGGATGGACCCAGATACTAGGTCTACTGGCTTGCAGGACAGTCACCATGGAGCATGGTACACGTGACCTCACTTCAGGCTCAGCACCAACACCCAGCAGCCCCTCTCCAGAGGCGGGAAGGACAGTCATTTAGAGTGGCCTGATAATCCTGCGGGGTAGGATTCCCCGGGAGAGAGACCAGCTGAAGGGTCAGGCCATGCAGGCCAGCAGGGTGGGGCAAGGAGTGTGGGAGCAGTGAGGGTCACCTTGTGGCATGGCGGATGCAGTGTATGTCCATGCAGGCCAGGGAAGCATTTTTATCAAGACCCCTGCAGCCACATAGGAGAGTGAGCTGGGCAACAGACAGAGTGAACAGCTCTGGGTTGTGGCAGGGGAGCTAGGGTGCCCCAGTGCAGTGACGAGAGGTCACCGGCCAGTCTAGAAGGTCTAAAGGGCACCTCTTGGCTTGACAAGTGCCACCCAGCATTGCAAGTCCTGGCAGACCACCCACAGGCAGCTCTAGCAGGGGACCGGCCTCCCTACCAAGTGTCGGAACTCAGCGGCCAGGCTGCCGTTGGTGGACTCCTCCATGTTCATGACCTTGGTGTGCGTGCCCAAGATGTTGAACTTCCGGAACCTGCATAATCACACACAGGCACTTAGTGGCTTCAAACTCAGACAGACAAGGTAGCCAAACATGGTGCAAAGTGTGTCACCTACCCTTTCACTGTATTTCTCTCATTCACATCCCTGCAAAAACAAAAGGATATATTTAACGTTTGCAGTTAACTTTAACAGAAACATAAAACATGTACACTAGTGAAAGATTAAAAAAAAATTCTACGATGCTGGTTTATAGAATGATTTTGGTGCTCTCGCAAAAGTGCCAAAGAGCCAGGTGACTTGGGGGTGGGAAAGATGAAGTCTGAGGCTGAGATCACACAGCGCTTGCCCTGTGCAGAGCCAGTGACTACTCTGTCAGGCTGCAGTCTGGCTATTTGGCTCCTACAGGTCACATGCTAGATACCTGGTCCCTGGTCCCAGGGGTGGGGGAGGGAAGGAGCTCATGCTGAGAGTGACAGGGACACACACCTGCCCAGCAGGCGAGGCTGCACTGGCTGCTCTAACAGCAGAAGGTTGTGACTTTCCAGAGGGCTCTCCTTGCTACTCCTACCCATGATTCCCAGTCAGGCCACAGGGCGCCCCCTACAGGATGTGACAGTGCATAGACACTGCCTCCCCACCCAGAACTTCCCTGCACCCCCCACCCTGAGCTGATTATTAAGTGCTTGGTTTGAAGTATTTTGTTACAGCAACACCAAAGACAGTCACATCAGGGCCTAGATATGGATCAGGGACCACTGCTCAACTAGGAAGGCTCTGTTTTGGGAATAACTGTAAGAGGGATCTATTTTCTCATTGAAAAACCACATTTACAGTAAAAGGAACAGTGTGACAGACGAAAGGCCAGAGCTGGAAGAGACAAAGGGGCACAAACAAACAGACAGCAGGACTGAGCTAAGGCAGCGTGGTAAATGGGCTGCGTGGCCCAGGAGAAATGGGTGACACAGCCCCCCCCCCCACCCCACAGCCCCTAAGCTCCTGGGGAAACCGCCCCGCAGCTGACGGCAGAGCTGCACACCCGACCTTCTGCTGGGCTGGCGCCAGGCCTCCCCTGGGAGCGGGCCTAGGAGTGCCAAGCCCAGCTGTGATCCTGGATGTTCCTCCCTTTGCTCTTTTCACCTGAACAGCCCCAGCTTTAGGGGAAGTTGCTAACATGCAGGCCGGGAGCCACCGCGTTCTACCTGCTGGGTCATTTGTGATGGTCCAGGTGGACCTGACCGGGAGCCGGGCCGGGAGCTGGGCTCAGCCCTGGCCCCAGGAAAGACAATTTCCTCCCTCCCAGGATGCAGCGCGGCCGAGCAACCGGAACACAAGAGTCCACGTCTGACGCACTCACAGAACCAGCATTTCGGGGGCACATTATCTTAGATGATATTAAAAGTATCTTACTTGTCAAATAAGACTTTTACTTTCAAATTATAATTCAGCTCTTGCAATTTCACCAACAGTCTAGAGAGAAAAATAAAAGTTACAACTTTAAAAAAACGATCTATTACAATGCATTTACTATGCCAAGTGTCCCTCTATGGGCGTGAATGGAAACCCTCACCCCTCTAGTTCTTGGTTCTTACAAGCAGTGAAACGCACACGCTAGTCACCTGCTTGGCTTTTTTCTCACTACATGGACCTGCAGGTTCTGTGAAACTGCTGGGGCAGAACCGCAGCATGGAGTTCTGGTGGAACCCAGCACTGACGTCTTGTTCCTACAGGGTCAGTGAGGGTGGCCGGTCCTATATAGGCTGCCAACAGAAAGCACTGTCAGAAGTTCCAGTTCTGGCCTTAGATGGATGGAAAGCGATGAACATTACCCGCTGCAGAACTCACAACTACTTTTCTGTCTTGGTGGGAGGAAAGCGAAACTGTCAACCGTAACTAGAAAAATGAGGCTTGCCGTCCTGCACACCCCGGCAGTGTGTAAGGAAGGGTGGAAGGTGGGGTGCCGGGCTCCTAGGGCTCTGGGTGCCCCTGTTCTGCTAGCTGCAAGGTGGGAGGAAGCCCCAAGTCGTAGGTCAGCAATGGATTCCATCTCCACTCTCCTGCAGCGCTGAGTTCTGGCTTCCACAGACCCTAGAGTTGGCGCTACTGATGGCCCAACAGGGAAGGAGCAGTGTGGACCTGAACCAGCAGCAGCCAGGGAGATAGGCTGTGGCCTTCCCTGGAAGCAAATCCTCCCCTTGGAGTGCAGTGCTCATCTCCAGGCGAGCAGATTCACCAGGACAGAGCAAGGCCGAAAATTCTCACCCAGAAACTTTGCCAACTACGAAGGAAAAAGTGGGCTACATCCTCGTCTAAAAGTGAAATACCTGTCGTATTTCACATGTGTGTGTCCACGTAAGGAATAAGCTGCACCCACGCAGCTTTGCACATCTGTATGGATGTGCATGACCCTATGGGAGGATTAGCACCAGGCCCTTTGGAAATCTCATAAAAGCTCCGGGCCCACCAGAAAAACTCACAGGTGTAACCTAGGTCAGCACATGCTGCTTCCTCCCCAGGGGGTCCTGAGACTGTCATTATGCACCTGCTCTCTGGAGTGGGGAGGCCGCTGGGACTCCTGTGCTCTCTTGCATTTGTGCAGGCAATGCTCAACAACTTTTCATGTAATACATTTGCAATCGGAGGAGAAACAGATGTGGGAACTTACATTTAGATTGGCTGTACTTCAACCAAAGAATCTTAGATATTATAAGAATTCATAAGAATTCTCTACTGGAAAATTATTTCCTCTTGCATCCCGATATAATAGCTTTGTATTACGAAATAAGAAAGGTAAACTCTGCAATGGGCAATGTACAAAGCTGCATTTTTTGTTTTTTGTTTTTAAATTACCTCAACTTTACAGTGAACTGTACTCCAGTCTTCAAGACCAGAGGCCTCTGTGGATGCGTCGGCATGCATGGCTGTCTTTCCACCACGAAAGAGCTGCAAATATCCAGCAAATGCAGACAAGTTAGTGTTTCCATCAAGATTGAGGCAGTGGGGCTGGGGATTTAGCTCAGCGGCATAAACGCCTGCCTTGCAAGTAGGCGGTCGTGAGTTGGATCCCCGGTACTGATAAAAAGGAAAAAAGACAAAAAAAAAAAAAAAAAAAAAAAAAAAAGATTGAGGCAGTAAAAAAAGTACATGACTTTCCCTAAAGAGGAAATGGAGTCAAGAGAGCAAAACCTGAAAACCACTGTGAAAGAGCCCGACAAACTAGATTAACAAAGCAGTGTTTATCAGTGAGTAAAGAAACCTCCACGTCTACTTTACACATAGCACACAGCCAGAAACTGTAACAACCTGTGACATTATACTGCAGTGAGCCCCTGACTTCAGTTCCTTTCATCTGTAAATCTCCATGAACAGTCAGATTTGCACAAAACACACAACCAACGGTCCTTAATTATTTCAAAACCCAGCATGGGAACAGTCATGTCTGTTCAGATGTGAGCCTCAGGGAAACAAAATATTTCTGTGTGTCTTTTCAACTCTGCTCTTCCACTTAGTGGCGTCTGCACACTGATTATGCTTGGGAGCTGCCTGCTGTTTGCATGGGACAGTGCTAGGTCCTGGTGGGGAAAGGACAATGGATGTGACAGGAACTGGTAACCGTGTAGCTAATGAAACGCAGAATGGGATAGAAATCAACGATGAATTGCAAAGTCTGGAAGGCAAAGAACGAGCGTGAACAAATGTCTGGGAACTTGGGGAGTATTCAGGAGGAAATGGAAACTGGATTGGACTGTCTGGACACAGGGGTACAAAGTGGGCCTAATATGGGAGAAACATACTCAGGCGAGGCATGGGGACATCACTGGCAGCCAGGACCTAGAAGACACCAGAGGCCCAGGCTGCCTGGAAGCCGAGGAGGTGTGAGGCGGAGCCGGGGTGGGCTGGCCACATCCAGCTGAGAGCACCCCAAGGCTGGCAGGGGGTGGGGCTGTGGGGCTGCCTGCTAGGAGCTCAGAAAAGACACCACAGCCTGAAATGGAGAGGACAAACATCCTGAGGTTGGCAGGACAGATTGTGTTAGGGGAAGGACAGGAGGAAGAATTAGTGCAGCTCCAGACCAGGGCGCAGAATGGATGACGGGCCGCTGGGATGAGAATGAAGCTAGAAAGAATCAAGTACCATTAAAAAAAACTTAAGCCAGCCTGCCTGCTAGGGATTTTGCTCAGTGGAATAAGCACCTGCCTGGCGAGCGCAAGGTAAGTTCAATCCCCGGTACCAAAAAACAAAATGAACAGAGCCCGCTTGACTCCTCTAATTAAAGAAAAATGCATGTAAGCCCGTGATGTTACCTCTGGATGAGCTGCTGGAACAGGGCCACGGTGCGGTCCCAGAGCCCCTGCTTGCTCTTGGTGATCGGATCGTGCTCATAGGTGAGTTTCTGCTCCAGCTCTTCCAGCTTCTTGAGTTGCTGCCGCACTTGCTGCAGACTCTCTGCGATGCCTGTGAACCTGGAGCGTGACACATGGGAGTCCCGGTGAGCGATCGTCCAGGAGCAGCTGGGGTGAGAGTCACAGGACCAACGCGCTCCCCGAGAGGAACTCAAGCCATTCCGCCAGCCAGCGTGTGGGCAACATAAGCCTTCCCAGCGGTATGGCCCCAGGCTGCAGGGCCCAGCGGGGAGGGGCGGGAGGATTGTGGTTTAAGAAGCTCAGTCATTTGGAAAAAAAGAATCAACCTGCACTGAGATTACAGCCCATATCGAAAGCCTCTGCGGGCACCTGAGACCTATGGGGGTTTCCAGGTCATCCGCACCTTCAGCCGACTTCCCCGAGACTGAGCCCAGGGTCACTCCACACAGAGCCATGTCCCCAGCCCTTTTTGTTATTTTGGGACAGGGTCTCCCTCAGCTGCATGGCTGCCTTGAACTTGTTATCCCCGGGGGCAATGACCAGAGGTTTGTATGAGATGGACAGACAGACAGCCCAAGCCCCACACCTCTGCAGTGCAAGTCACTGGGGTCAAACCCACTGCCTGGTGTAGTGCGTGCTCATCCTCCCCAAGACCCTTCATCATTAGCTAGTCCTGGAGTCTGTCACGTAACTGGCCATCACCACTGTCCCTGCCCCACACGTCTCTGTCCAGATGCCCTTCTTTTTCCTTTGATCCTTGCTTCTTTCAGTAAAAAGCCATAGAGGCTTCAGGTCAGGGCTGTCATTTAAGAGGGGTCTCGGTTCACGGCAGCCCCTCTGAGCCTTCTTGGAGCACAGATTGGAAACTGACCCTGAATAATCTTTCATCCTTTTGTACCCTGCTATAGTCAAGAATTGCAACAGTGACCCTCCTGCCTCAGTCTCCCATGTAACTAGAATTACAGAGATGTGCCACCATGCTAGGCTCAATAGAATTTTAAGGATTTCAAAAGGGCAGAGCATAGGGGTGGACAGAGATGGGAATCAGCAGGCAGATGCCTCGGTGATGGAACAGGCAGTGTGGAGCCGATGGTGTTTTACCCTAAGACAGAACTGAGCGCCAGCTGTGGGATGACATGGGGAGGGGAGAGGAGAGCAAAGCCTGCAGCTCCACTCAGCCTGGAGACGCAACGGGAGCCCTGAAGCCAGCAGTCACTTAGTTCTTCCTTCCTGAGAGTCGGTGCTAACAGCGACAGAGCCACAGCGTTAGGTGACCTGTGGAAGGGCACTCCAACGGCCTGGAGGACACCGGGAGTGTCCTCTCTTTGAGAACTCTTCTGCTTCATTTGGTAGCTGCACTCCCTGACCTTGGCCCCTGGCACTGAGAGGCTTTTGCAGGGGGAACACCAGAGAGCACTGTCCCTGGCACAGGCGCCTGTGGTGACCACTAGGGGTTCCAGTCCCCTGCCAGGGCTCCCGGCCCCCTGGAGGGCTGAGGGGGAGTTGGGGTAGGGGAGTCTTAGGGGTCAGCATCTCCAAGGTCCAAAGCCACATTGGGCCTGGAAACTGCTCTGATCCAAGTGAAACTGAGGTATATACAAGCAACTCCTGGGATGAAAGCAAGCGGCTGAACTGTGGTTTTTCAAAATTTAACAATGCAATCTGACAAATATGCCCTCTGTAGGGCCCTGGTGATCGGGCACTCTGCGATTGTCCCAGGCCACCACCCCTCGGTGACACACTGGAGCCACTTCCAGGCCCCTGGGCCTCTCCTGGCTCCATGAGCAGCCACTGTGTTCCTCGTCTCCACCTCAGCCCCCAGGCTGTGCCAGACCTGCTTTCCAAGCGAACCACAGAAACACACCCTGGCCAGGTCTATGCTGGCCTCTGTGCTCTAGTCCCTACCAGGTGACACATGGTACATATTCCTGCCCATGCCTCCCCGCTTCTCCAGCCACCTGTCCTGCAGCTGAGGTCTCTGCCCTGCTGGACAATGCCATTCCTGGTCGCAGGCCTTGCCAGGGTCACCTTGGGAGGGGAAGGCCACCTCTCTCTTGAAAGTTTTATGGTGATCCCCTTGCCCCATGGAAGCCAGCAGCACCCACCTTCTACCATGCAGCATTATTCCTGCATCTGTCTGTCCATCCACACTAGAATCCAGACAGGCAAGGCCCAAGAATCAACCCTCCCCTTTGCACCCAAGGCCCAGCAAGAGCCCGGCTAAGAGCATCTTTCCAGTAAGTTCTCTGGGTGGTGACTGAATGGTCGCCGTGACAAGCCAGTGCCAAAACCAGATGAGACCTCAAGATGTGCTGTTCTGAGTAAACCATCAAGACTCAGGCTGTAAAAAAAAAATTAAAAAAAAAATAAAAAATAAAAAAACAAAAAGACTCAGGCTGTAAAGCGTGTTGCACAGCAACCACACCCCTGGGGCCTGGGTGAGTATGGTGATGTTACCAGGTCTAAGAAGACTCTGAACCAACCAGACGTGGCTACAGGCATGAGCAACACTGAGCCCTGCTGGTGTCTCTAGGCCTCAAGAAGCCACACTGTGTCAAGCTACCATCGGAAGCCCTGGCAGGGCCAGCAGTGGTGCCCCAGTGCCCAGCACGGTTCCAGGGTGCCCAGCACGGTTCCAGGGCTGCACCTTACCAGCCCTGCAGCTGGTCCAGGCAGGCGTTGGGCGGCCCCCCGATGCAGGAGCTCTGCTGCCGCCGCTTCCACTCCACCAGCTCGTCGTTGATCAGCGTGTTCTGGGTCAGCTCCGTGGCGTTCAACAGCTCTCGGATTTTGTGAATTATTTCCTGAAGAAATAGGAAGAAGCAAGATGAAATCAATTCATTTTTCATTGCTGAATTTTTAAAGTCATTTTTTAAAAAAGCAAAGTAAGTGTCCCTTTACTCTCAACTAGGACATTAAGCCAAGAAAGTGGTTACAAAAATAATTCTCCCGCCGTCCCAAACTTCAAGTCTGCATCAAAAGCAACGTGCTCTTCTGGAAGGTAATCACTACCTTTCTCTTACTGTCAAGCATCAAATACATCTGATGGAGTAACAGCTGCTCTTGTTTCTGGTCATTCTTTGCCACACCATTGGTTTCATGTTCTGTGAATTAATAAGAGAGCATAAGAATAAAAATGTGTAAGAAGTGAAATCCAATGAAAACCAAGATTCACAAAAGTTTAGGAGCGATATGACACAAATGCAGTCCGTCCTTCAATCCTTACTGAACCATCAAGAAAAAAAATGTCCTAAGTAGAAAAACTGAACACGTTGAAACCAAGTACTAGTTTTCGGTGACCCGTGGAAACAGCAGGTACTACTGTTTACTGTTTAAATTGCTGCCAGACTTTTACTTAAATGAATACAAACGACCAAGTTCAGAACTTCAGGTAGAATGTATCCGAAACACATCCACGGCTCTGAAGGAGAAGCGGACAATGAGGAACCAGCAGCTGAGGTTCTTCTCTCTCGTACTTTTTATCCAAATCCTATCGATAACCCAGACACAGTGACCAAACGGTTACTAGGCTAAAAGCAGCCGCGCTGGCACTGACCGTGCAGGGTCCATTCTGCAGTGCTTAGTTGCTGCTGTCACTGAAAACGGGCAGCAACAACAAAACAGAGTGAAACTGCTTGGCAATGCGAGGAAAGTGCTGAGGGGACACGGAGCACACACACGCGGACTCGGGGCAGGGCGTGTCAGGTGCCAGGGCAGGGAAACCCCGCATACCTGGCACGAGAAACACAGACAGCACTGCCCAACCTGTGGTTACCACCCGGGGGTGGCTCAGCCCTCCCCCCAAGGTCATCGGGCAATGTTAGCTGACCCTCGGGTTGTCACCATGGGAGCAGAGAGGGCAGTGCCCCTGGCACCCAGCACTACCACCGAGAAGTCAGGGACACTGCTGAATATCCCACAAGGCATGCGACACAAGTGATCTGGTCCAAAATGTCAATGGAAGCGAGCTGATTGTCAGGGAGCCAAGCCTGGTAAATCAGCCATAAAATACTTGGCAAAGTATTGCCAAGCGACCGCCCTTGTTATTTTGCATAGATGGAAGAAACCTACCAGCTGACGGGCACTGCTTTGTTAACTCTTACCTCTGTTCTGTGAGGTTTTGCATTTGAAGTCATATTCGTCTTGTAAATCTTCTAGGGTTTTGATCTCCTGCTCTATACTCTATAGAGACAGAAACAGGTTTTTCACTGATCATCAGCTTCTGAAGACTTCAGGAAACAGACTATTGCTTCTACGGAACCCAGAAACAACTGGTAACAATTTAAGCTTGCTCAGAGACTGATCACACTTACAAAACTCTCTCATACACACAAAGTAATTTAATTTCTGTTTCATCAGTAAGTATGTAGTTAGATTTTGTAAGAAAAGAGAACATGTTATGTTAACACATGGGTTTGGGGCCTAAATTCTGACACTTCCTCATCATTTCTGGGACCACCTCAGGATCTAACCACTTCACTGTGATGTGTGCAGCGGGGAACACCAAGCCCGTGGAAAGTGCCCTTGGTCCCTGCAGTGAGGAGGGTGACCACACATTCCTGTCTACCTGCAACAGCCCTGCTTTAATGTCCACTGTCCCCGGTGTGACTTTAAACAGAATCCTTTCCCACACTCAGACAGAGCTGGACAACAAATGCTACGTGCACCCACAGGCAAGCCGCGTCTGTCTTGGATTTCATCACGTTTCTACATGTTTTTCTCTGGACTTCTCCGGCTATTTCCAGAGCAAGGGGACTTGGTGCTAATTTAATGGCGAGTCCTCCAAGGAGACCGCAGGACTAAGCTGCTCCGAGGAATCCAGGTCTGCAAAGACACCAGGAGTCCAGGCCATGCTGTCACCACCAGGCACGTGGCAGGACAAGGGCCGCAGCGATGCTCTGCTTCCATAGCCTGCCTACCAAGTTTTAGCTGAAAGCTGCTGTGGATCTCTTACTCTGATCAGAAAGGAATCAGAACTTCTGTTAATGAAATGTCTTTTGTTCCTCCTGCAAGTCTGAGATTAAAACAGGTAATTGAGGCAGATGGGCCATGCTTGGCTTGACCCCAGGAACACTCTGGGTTAAGGATTATGGAATTAAAGGGCCATTTAGAGAAGCGACAATGCCTTTGTTGGACAATGGGGGCAAGGTCAACAATGTACTGCGTGATCTTGGAAGGAAGAAAATGGTAAATTCAGTGTCTGGAAGTTACAACAAGGGTCATCGGAAGTCTAGCTGATCACTGGTTTCACCAATCTGTTTACTTCTGGTTTGGAACTGTAGCATAATTTTTCTTTTCAATGACTTAAAATACCAATCGCTAGGTTTACACTCGGGTAACTGAAACTGTTACGGTTTAGATTTCAAATGTTTCCCGTGTTGGGAAGGGGACTGCATCACACAGGAGCCATACTCTTCAGTAACTAAATGTGCTGCTAAGACCTGGGCTGGCTGGAGAAGGGTCACTGGGGGTGCCTTCTCATCCCAGCTCCCCGCTTCCCTCTCTGCTTCCTGGACGCCATGGTGCGGGCTTTCCTTTCCGTTCCCCCTTGACATTCTGTTTCTGCCTTGGAGCCAACCATGGACTCGATTCCTTGAAACCATGAGCCAAATAAAGAGGTGTGGGTGTCAGGTACTATGGGAAGCTGTGGGTTGCTAGCGATAGGGAAGCGACTATACAGGAGCCTTGTTCCCACTGTGGAAATTACAGAATAATTCCGTGCTCACCATGACTTGGTCCTTCACGTTTCTGACCTTGCAGTCAAGCTCCTTCTGCTTGTCCAGCATCACAGTGTTCTGAATACTCCCCGCCTGTGCCTGTCACGAGAGGTGCGTGGTTAACAGCCGTCCTCCTTCCCCGACACTACAAAGTCAAGTCTGTTCTTCGTGTCCTCCCTGCCTCTGAGAACTTCCAAAATTTCCTACAAGCTTCCCACAAACGTCAATAAAAAACAGCTTAGTCCCTGAAGCCCTGAAAAAATGCTGGCCAACTGGTAAAAGGCTGCAGACTCTCAGTTCAGTCCATGCCTGAAATGCATTTCTAGAACGTTTCACCATTCATTCACACAGCTGAAAGGTACCACACAGGTACTAGGTCAGAGTTCCTCAAACTGTACATGAACTGATGCACAGTAACTGCTATGGTCTGAATCAAGACTGTCCCCTAAGGCCTCATGAGCTCACAGGCAGGGTGTGCTGGGAAGGTCACTGAACCATGTAGACAGGACAGCTGGGTGCACAGTTAGGGTCCTGCAGGAATGGACGGGTCCCTGCGGGCATGACCTGGAAGGGTTCCTCAGCTCCTCCCTCTCTCTCTGTTTTTTGATCACTAAAACATGAGCAGCTTTTCTGCTATGTCCTTCGGCCAGCTGCCCATGCACTGTAACTGGGAGCCAAAATAAACCCCTCCATCTTTTAGGTGGTAGGTGTCAGGCATTTGCCCCAGGAAGGAGAAGACTTTGACACGGTAGTGTCTTATCACATTTGGGGGACCTTGACTTGGTCATTCAGTACCCACCTTCCCAAGACAGAAGACAAGGCAGACAACACCCCACAGCCAGGCATCAGAGACAAACAGGACAGTCCCTGTTTTCATAGAACTGAGCTCTAGATGGATGTTATCTTTTGCTTCGAATAATGCCCCCACCCAGCAAAATCTCTGTGCAGACCTTTCTTACTTTACTTAAGTAAAGGTGCTTCTTTCTTCAAAGTTCAGATTCTATGTGGGAGTCTGTAATGCCTTCAAACTTAGCAGTCTTCTATTTTTTTTATATCTAGATTTACCTTACAGTCTTTTCCTACTACAAGTTTGTGAGTGCATTTCTTCCCCAAGTCTTGTGAGATTTCCTTTTTTGCTTAATTTTTACACTTAGAAATAGTTCATTTTTAAAACAGATACATAAAAACTGTATATAAATAAAGAAGTTCTACATAGCGGTTTAATTTTTGTATACACCATATACGGTTCAGGGCCAGCATGTCTACCCCTTGAATCATCCGTCATTTCCACAGGGCGAACACTTGGACTACCTTTTCACCCAGCTGTGGAGACCCGGTACGTAATTGTTGTCTATAGTTAGCCTGCTGTGCGGTGCCACCCCAGGGCTTCCGTTTCACTTCTGCATCTCTGAAATATCTGCAGCTTACTCTTGTGTACAAGTCCAGTTTTAACTTCCTCTGCTTGCCATCCACCTGTCTTAATTACTGTCAGTGCCAGTGCTCTGGGTGGCAACCCCTTCTCACAGATTTCCACATGCATCTGGGTCTACCTGCGGAATACTTTTTTCTCCCTCTCGCTGTCTAGTCATAAACCTGAGCTGTTGAATCACGCTTACTATAGAAAATACACAGTGTAGCAAGTAGCATCCGTCTCCTTTCATTTTTCTACGGCTTCAGGACATGCCTTGCTATTCTTGCATATTTATTTTCCACATGAATTTTAGTATCAATTTATTCACACACAGAAAATGACTTGTTGCTATTTTTATTGGGATCACATTATAGTCATGAATTAACTCAGGGAGAGCTCATCCTTTAAAAATTTTAAATTCTCTTCTTTTTTTTTGGTACCAGGGATCAAACTCATGACCTTGCACTTGCCAGGCAGGTGCTTATGCCACTGAGCTAAATCCCCAGCCTAAAATTTTAAATTCTTATGCTTCTGATGGTTTTCTCTGGTCTAAATGCACTGACCAATAACTACCAATATACTAAGTAGCAGTGGAAGCGGTGGGCATCCTGGCCATGTTTTTCTGATTCGCCAGTTTCCCAGCTGAGTGAAATGCCCTCTCTAGAAGTGAGACATGTTATTTTAGCACACTAAAGAGATGCTCGTTAATTCCTATCTTATAGGATGTCTTTTCTGGTTTTAATCAGGAAATGAGTGAGGATCCTTTTAGTACCCATGAAGAGAAGTCAAAGCTTTTTCTCCTTGTATCTACTAAGACACTGATGACACTCACGCACTTCCCCGTTAGGGTCTACCCTGTAAACTGTAATAATAAATCCTACCTCTTCATAATATCTGATCCCTGATATTCTAGTAGGTTTTTTACACTGATAGTCCTAAGTAACCTGGCTTATAACTTGCTTTTCTGTTCTACCTTTATCAAACTTAGGTATTGTCTATGCACTGAAGGCTTTCCTTTGATACGCTGTGGAGTAGCAGAAGTTCAAAGCTTCTGAACTACAGATATCAGGATTAGGACTGGGTGACCATGGTTGGTGCAAATCCTCAGTCCCAGGCATCAGACAGCACCAAGGGATCAAAGGGGCTTCTCTGGCCACACAGAAAGGGCAGACCTACAAGACCTTCTGTCCGTGTAGGTGGATCACTGCTGGGTCCACTTCCGAGCCACCAGGCACCCAGCCAGGTCACAGTGGTCTCAGTCACAACAACTCGTGCCACACGGTTTCATAATCACCCGCCCCTGGGTTGTTCTCGCCACTTAATTGCTCAAGAAGGCAGCAGCAAATGCCACAATGACTTCAAAAAACTGCTGCTCCCTGTCAGGAAGGTGTGCAGCAGGGCGGGAAGACCAGGACAAAAACCCTCAGGGTCTTTGGTAAGAGCACAGTTTCGACTCCTTCACTGTTTGGAAACCTTGAATATTTAATAGGTGCCTCAACCTTGACGAAAACAAAGCCCCTGGCTCTCTTGTTTTCCTTTTCTATTAGAGTGTGTTTGCAGTAACGTTTACACTGCTTGTGTGGAGTTGGTACACACATAACACATTGCCATCCCTTTTGTCCTTCCCTTTCCCGTCCCTTCCTCTTCCCTCCGACCCTCCATCCCCTTCCCTTTTGCAAAAGATCAATTTCCCGTGTCCCATTATCGATCTGTTATTTCACTACTTATTTATACTTTTTGTATTCTCATTTAAAAGAAACCATACAATATTTAACCCTGTGTGTCCAATTTATTTCACTTAATGTTATGGTCTCAAGGTGCATGTACTTTCCTACAAATGACTCAAGTCTACTCTTTACGGCAGAGTAACAGTCCTGTGTGTAAATCCCATATACCAATCCACTCAGCTGTTAATGGACATACAGGCTGCTTCCAAGACTGAGCTGTTATGAGCTGTGCTGCTACAACGTGGGCATGCATGGACGGCTGTAACATGATGCCTCCAATTCTTTTGGGAAGACACCTAGAGGTGATAAAGCTTAGTCACACGGAATCTCTGAGTTGTCTGAGGAATCTCCCTGCTGGTCTCCATGGCAGTCATACTTGTTCACATTCCAATCACAGTGTAGAAGGACTCCCTTTCCCCTGCAGCCTCTCCAGCACTTGTTATGTGATTTCTTGATGGCAGTCATTCTTTCCAGGGTTAGATGGAATCTTGGGGTTGCTTTCTTTGCATTTCTCTAATGGCCAGCGTGCTCAGTACTCTTTCATATATTTTTCTGGTCACTTGTACTTTGGAGAAGTGTCTGTTCATCTCACTTGCCCACTCCAAAGCCCGTGGTTTTCCTGTCAACATCTCCCCAAAACTACTTCTTCCCCTGCTACTGACCCAGAAGAGATTCCCTGGATGGCTGCACAAACGCTCTCGCTGGCCTCCTGATTCCATTCCTGGGTCAGCAGCTCAGAGAAGTTCCCAACCCTGATCCAGTTCCTGCCTGCCCGCACTGCAGTTCTCATCAGAACTTAATGCCATTAGACAGGGCTCATTCTGAAAACCTGGTCATTAGGCTCTCCCTGCTTCTGATGCCTGTAACATCACATGGACACTCACCACTGCCATGGCCCAGGACTCGGTGCTATGCAGGGATGAACGAATGGATGAATTGTTGCTTTAACCTTTAGGGTTTGGTTATAAAAAAAAGGTACCTGATTGAATCTTCTGGCATTTTCCAGAATCTTCCGCTCCTCCTTTAGACAGTTAAAGATGATCATAGACATCTGTACTGGGTCTTCTTGGAAACTATCCTAGGTAGAAGAATTTAGTGGTCAGAACAAAATTGACTGGTTAGGTTAGATAATTGGGTAGTCAGAATAAAAACAAACTGAAGTTCAGAATGTTTAAGCTGCTGCCTATTATAAATAAATATGAACTTGTTTATATGTCCTGAGAAACCTTGTTTCTCATCTATCGAATTCCACATAAGCTGCTTCAGTTAAATCAAAACACACCTTCCTCAAACTGGGACAAAAACGGTTTTAACTTACCAGTGAAGTGCAGGTCTACAGTACTTCTTGATTTAAAAACAAAGTTTTTATATTTGTCCATATAAATATATTTTTCCAAATTGGGGATTTAAACAGAAGTGTGCTCTACCACTGAGCCACACCCCCAGCCCTTTCTAAACTATTTCCATTTTGATATTTTTTCTGTATTGACATTCCTCTGTTAGGATCCTGAGGCAACGAAAGTTATACAAGAATTATCTGTGATATGCCTCAAAGCATATTTTGACTTCTGCCTTGAATTACACAGAAGCTACCCCTCAGTCTTTCTGTTCCCACTGTCAAAGCCTGTTTGCCAAACAAAGGCAAGCGTGGCTCTTTATCATGGGTACATTCAGGTCAAGTCTAAGGAAGTAAAGTTCATCTGATTTCCCCACTCACTGCAGATACATTCATAAAGAAAAAAGCAAGCTTCCGATTATCTAAAGTGAAAGATTTTTGTTGTGCTCCATGAAAACAAGAAAACGATAGTTTTTGCCTCCCATAAAGCAGAAGTCCCATCAATAAAAAATAAATATGGACACTAGGCTCATGGCAGGCTGGGAAGATGATGAACCCCTAAAACACCGCAGCTTGCTCTCGGGTCTGGGTCACCCTTTGGTCTTTTCTTCTACCACTCTATTATATCTTTTCGAGGCAGGGTCTTTTTTTCCAAGTTGGTCTAAAAGTCAATGTGCAGCCTAGGCCAGTCTAGAACACACAGCAACCCTCCTGCCTCAGCCTCCCGAGCGCTGGGATGACAGTGTGCACTATCACGAGTGGTCTCACTTCCACTCTTCCAGGGGAGGCGACTCCATCAGACCCAAGGCAAGGTGGAGTCTGCTCCAAGTCACCAACGCACTAAGGGGCTCAGAGGAGTCACGCTTCCCTGACTTACTCCTCACCAGTGCCCAGAGGACTCACTAAGGTCCTCTGATCACCAAAGTCCCCTGAATGAGTTACTACAGCTCACCCTCCTAAAACCGAGGCCCTTCTCTGATTCAAATATCAACAATACTTGGTGAAACAAGGTTTTACATTTCTCCCGCTGTTACTGACACCTGACTGTGACCCAACTAACCCTGACAATTCCCGTGTGCTTCTACAACGAATGGGATTTGACGTAACTCGCGCTGTAGGAGGTGAGGGTTTAGGGACAGCTCTGAAACCTCCCTAATGTCGGGAAACAGCCATGAGCACAGGCTGAGAAAATGCTGATGGATGTGCTGGGCCAGAAGGGAACCCCACGAGGCAGTCACACACCCCGGGCCGTACCTGAAGATTGCGCTTGCTTTTCCTTATGTTGTGCTGCAACAAAAAGTTATTCTCCAAAGAAAAACGACTGTATTGATCATCCAGCTGTGACAGGAGGTCGTGGAAACGGATGGTGGCGAAGGACACATCGGCGGCTGCATGTTCCCTAGGAGACACCAAAGGCACCGTCTCGTCTTGAACGCTACTGAAACATCACAGCTTTCCTTATTGGGCTCACTACAAAGTGCTTTTCAAGCCTTTCTCAGGTTTGATTTTTTAAAAATGTTAATGCCTTTAGCAAATTTATGCAGTATTTTTAGTACATAAAACTGGCACAAAAAACTGTACAACACCTAAAAGATTGTGTGGGAAGTTATTCATAGTGATGAGAAAAAAAATTAACAGGGCCCATCATGTATGTCAAATGGTTTCACAATGTTTAGGAGGATTTTTCTGTCAGCAAAGAATACATTTTAAAGCAGAACACATACCAATTTTAAGAGACAATCCCTTAATTTTCTTACCTTATTTATATTTTTAATCGATGTTTTTATCACAATTTGCCTTTAACTATTTCTTTTAAACTAGTTCTTTCCATAATCTGGATGTCACGGTGGAAAATAACTGGTGTCAGTATTATCCAGCTTGTCCAAAGCATTGTGAACACACAGCACACTTCAGTTTAATAAAACTACTACATAAAGTACCCCGTGGCTAATGAATTTAGCTTCGCAGAGACAGTGCCCTTTCCTGAATCAACAAATTTTCTGCCACAGGCGTTCCCACTGGCTATGGAGAGACTCATCTTTGCTAATAAGTATTTTTAAAGCACAGATAAACTTTTCTCCCCTGTCCAGTGAGTTTTGCTTACCAGTCTTGCTTTTCGAGCCACTGGGCCAGGTACTGCCGGATTTCCATGGGGAAGCTGTCATCATAGAGCTGGTGAACCTGCTCCAGGAATTTGGAGTCCAACTGCTGCAGCTCATACCACTGAGACATCCTAAGGGAAGAAGAACACACTCCTGAACGAAGCCCCATCTCCAACGCGCGTCCCGAGGCGACTACTTTCCTCTCTCACTTAACCAGGGCTAGAACTGCCCTCTGAAATACATTATTTAAATGGAGCCTCTACCTGAATTGAATTTTTGGTCAATGGTTTTTTCTTCTCCAGGAAACACATTTTCAGATCTTTACCTAAATGTCCACATATCAGGCAGCCCCCCATCCGTCCACCTTCTATAGCTACAATCATGTTTCACCTTGGAAAACAGGATCCCTTTTCCCTGAACTGTTTTCAGTCACAGTATTTACACACTTATATTTTAAAATTCTGATTATTGTCTGTTTTAGCCTGATAAAGAGACGTTATTTGGGAGATTTCTGTTCATTGCTGTAGCCCCAGATTAATATCAAGCACAAAGTAACTGTTTAATAAAGATGATTTTGAAATAGCATTGTTCTTTTGTCAAATAAGTAAACAGAAAGCATTACTAAATTTAAGACAAGTCACAAGAACTCCTGAAAACTGATGTTTTACAAATTACAGTACATTTGGAATTTAATCCCAAATACTTTTACTGGTATTTTTATTTTATGATTCACGCGGTAAAGTTAATTATTTTTGAACTCACGACCTCATGCTTGCCAAGTAGGCGCTTAAGCCACTGAGCTAAATTCCCAGCCCAAGAGGTATATTTTTTTATGCCTATTACAAGCAATAAATCTGGCACAAAGAACTCTTAAATTTCCGTAATTATTTTTAAAGGTGAAAACAATGCAAGTGGAAACCTGCAAGGATAAAGTAATGCAACATATCTCTTTGGATAGCTATTAGGTCAGTTTTATATGGTGGTCTTCAAGATTGAACATTACAAATCCCTGATGGAAGAAAGTCCAAAAATCTGTTTGAAAACCGAAGCTCATGCCCATTGCCTGACTCAGGCTCTGTATCAGCGCGGGCCACGGTGTCTGGCTGGCAGCAGTCCTAGTGGCGCTGTGGATTGAGCCTCAGACATGAGGAGGATCTTCAGGTGGGGTGTGTAAGGGAGGGGATGCAAGGCTGTTTGCACACATAGGTGGGAAGTCACACCTACTCCACTAACATCCGTCCAAAGCCTGGAGTTGTGTAGACTCTAAAGCTGGTTACTACCGGGACACCAGTAAAGACGGATGCACCTGCACTGGCTGCCCTGGCACCTCTGCTACAGCAACCTCATTTTTCACTTCAAATTTATTTTATCTGAGAGAAAGCTCCAGATCAATGGTTGTCTCCCTCCTCTCTTCTAGGCACGACTGGCAGTAGAAGGCTACATCCCTACCTACGAGACACGGAAATTCAGTAACTCGCTCCCCTCCCAACACGTTGGGCAAGACTGCACAAGCTAATGCAAACAAGGTACCTGGCACATGCTACCTTGCTCGCTGAATCAATGCATTCCAGTTCACACAACCAGGATCAATCCCCCCTTCTCATTAACCCTGGTAGCAACCCAGCTGGGGGCTCAAACACCTTCCATCACCTCCAAATCAGCATTGACTCCTCTTTCTTCTGCCTTCAACCTCTAGCCTCCTCATCTGGCCTCTTTGAACCACACACCTGTGCAAAATGCCATGATCTGTCCATTCTGAGGCTGACTTCCACCCCACCCCATCTTCATTCAGCAGCCAGACTACTCTTCTCGTGTTTTTTGACAGGATCCAACATGTGTGCTTTTGCCAACTGTCACTAACTCTTGCAAAAACAGCCTTTGCACAAACTTCCGCCTCTCTCAATTTTACCAGCAATCAAAGTGAAGTATAAGGGTCAAAACTGACGTCCCTCACTGCAACCTGTACCTGCAACAATCTTGCTTGTAAAAGCTATGATGGTCTCACTCCAGAGCCCAAAGGGATCACTTTTCAATACATTTTGAGCCTTGCATAGAGGCTCCCTGCATAGAGTATGTGCTCAGTAACAGTGTGTTCAACTGAAATCTTGCATATTTCAAACAGCATCGTAAGCCACCGTGCAGGAGCCTCAAGAGTGGTACAAGTGGATTGTGGCGGCGACTCATGTTTTATTTCTTTTTAAAAAATTTTTTTTCTATCAGTACCGGGGATCGAACTCACCACCACCTGCTTGCAAGGCAGGTACTTATCCCGCTAAGCTAAATCCCCAGCCCCCTCATGTTTTATTTCTATCGCATCAAAATCAACTCCTTTAATCTACAGAAACAATATCCAAAGTACAAACAACTGCACTCTTTGGTACAGCTCCAGAATGTATTTTTAAAAGAGCAATTATACTACTAGTCCTATAGAAACTAAATCTTGCTTTTACATTCCTAGAGAAGAGCAAACTCTTCACCTCAAACAGAAACATAAAAATGGATGCACCTCCATAAAATTAAGTCAAATAAATCAGAAACACACACGCTTATACATCGCATGGCTTCTCTTATATGAGAAACCAAGAGTGTAAATGAACTAAAGAGCAAAACAGAAAATAGGTAACAGGAAACTGTGAGATTGATCCTTGGTGAATGGAACAGGCCCAAGAGATGGAGGAGACTGGGAGGGGAAGGGAGAGGATGAGAAAAGTATTAAGGTGTGTTTTATCCATGTACCAACTCTCCGCAAGACAGAGATGCAATCACTACGTACTGCAAATATGCACCAAAACAGAAAATTAAAATTAAAAATCACAGCAACAAAAGATTGTAAACGCATTGGTCTGCAGGACGCTCACTGACCTGCCGGGGTGCGCCTCTAGGGGCCGGGTTCGTGCAGTCGGACTCGCCCGGCCCGGCCGGGACAGCGAGCAAACTTTCCGCAAAAGGAAGCGGGCAGCGCCGCGAGGAAGGGCACAGACACCGGGAGGATGGATCCGTGGGGCGGGGCAGGCCGCGGGGAAGCTCGATCTCACCGGCGATCGAGAGGCCGGGTCTCGGTCAACGGCGGAAGCCAGGCGTCTGAAACAGGCAGCGCAGGTCACAGACCGGACGCAGGAAAACGAAAGCAGCAGCCCCAGAAAAGACCACGCCGCCGCCACGCCCCCTGTGCTTTCGCCTCCTCGGCCAATCGCCGGGCTCCATGGCCGGCCAATCAGATGCGGCTGTTCCGTGCCTATAGCGCGCCTCCCTCCGCAAACCCAATTGGGGGCGGGGCTCTGGCATCCGCGTGCTGAAGAAAGCGAGAAAGGATTTCTGCGCATGCGTCGGATGCAAAACCGACGTTTGTTGAGTGCCGAGCTGGCAGCCCTGCCCTGTGGTTCAGCACCGATTTCTGGGCTGGCTTTCCTGTTGCTAAACCCAGACCGAGGTCACATGGTGGTAGTCGCTTTATCTGATCGCCCTGAGGCCTTGGGCAGCCTGAGTCACCATGACAACCCACCCCCTCCTGGCTTGTCTGGGCTGCTTTCTGGGGCTGGCTGTTCCCACACTTCTCTTCTGCAGCTTCTGGATCCTTCTAGACAGAAGACTCCTAGATGTGAACCCTGGCCCGGCCCGTTCCACGCTGCACGGGATCTTACCAGGCTAATGTGACATCTGACAGCTAGTAATGGTCGGCAGGCACCAAGCCCTGGAAAAATGCTTAAAAACCACTCAGACTCCATCTTGCCTTGGAGAGAATGGGTCATCTAGAGATCAAATAACAAACGCTGGTGAGGCTGCAGGTGGAGGAGGAGGAAACCTTCATTTTGGATGAGGATGTAAACCAGTACAACCACTATGGAAATCAGTACAGAGACTCCTCAGAAAACTAGAGATAGAAATCTCATTCTCCCCAGCTAGTCCCTAGATATCTTCCCAAAAGAGTTAAAGGATACTACGACAGTCATACATACATACCCACGTTTACAGCTGCACATCCTGTACTTAATCTTGGAAGCAGCCTGTAGGTCCAACCGACTAATGGATAAAGATAATGTATTTATACACAGTGAAGTGCTACTCTCGTAAAGAAGGATAAACTTGAATGATTTGTAAGAAAATAATGTGAAATAGAATAAATCAGACATATGAGCTTGAATATCACATGGTTTCTCTTATACAAGAAATCCAATGTATAAATAATTCAAAGAGCAAGATAAAAATAGCCTATAGGAAAGAGGGAAATAGATCTTTTGTGAATGCTAAGGGGACTCTAGAGGTGAGAGAAAGAGAGGAGGAAGAGCGAAAGTAAAGAGAATCAAGATGTTGTGTGTGTTTCAACTCTCCACCATAAATGTACTGGAAGGCCTAGTGATAAAAAATACCAAAGCTGCCCTGTTTCTCCTTAGGCCCACTCAGTTCTGTTAATGGTACGTGCCCAAATCCTGGAAGTCACCCTCAACCTGTCCTTTTCCCCATCCCTTATACCTGAGACTCACGCCTCAGGGATTCTTTCTCCTAATTAGTTTCCAAGGCTCGATCATTCCCTTGTCTGCCCTCTGCCACCCTCTGCCCCCACCTGGGCTCCCAAATGCCTGCCTTACCTCAACCCTCAGGCCCCGCTCACTTCACTCCCCGCACATCAGTTGGAGTGACTATTTTCTTGCGTGCCGAGGCCAGATCCCAAGCCCTCGCCCATGCTAGGCAAGCAGTACGCTGAACTGCATCTTTGGCCCCAAGTGATATTTTTTAATTACAAATTAAAAAGTTTTTTCAAAATTGCAAAGCAGTTGTCACAGGCCAGCCTGAAAATGTTACAGTGATTTTTCTTGCTCTTCTAAAATTCGAACTTCTTCACGTGGCCTATGGAGCCCTGGTTCCCCTGTCACTCTGTCTCTCCCCATCTGTGTCACTGTCCTTTGCTGACTTAGCACTTCCTGGGATGTGCCAAGCTCTTTCCCACATGCAGTGCCTCCTTACCAGCAGTTCCCTCTTTGGAAAGCCCCATGAGCACCCTCTTCCCAGTCTTCTTCGCCAATCGTCTTTCACATCTTAGCATCAAACCTCAGCTTAAGTGTCACCGCCACAGGCAGGTAACACCAAGGCCCCTGCAACCAACCGCTCCCTTCAGGTGGATGGGATTTGAATAACAGCGACTTTGATGGGCGAAGGGTCTACAGAAACTCCCAGGGATGTGACCTTTGCGTGTATGTTAGAGCTTTTTACTCTTATTTTCTCATCACAAGCTCCTGAGTAGAGCCAGCAGTGAGCTGACTTCAGGTCCGGGTCCTCCACAAAGGTCCCTACCTTTCTCTCCAGGCTTGACCTTCATTGTCCAATGACCCCACCAGACTTCTCCGTGTCCTGCTCTCTCCTTAATGCCTTTAATGTTAATGCTTCCTTGTTACTGTGACTGCTGAAGCATTCAAGTCTTACTCCTGTATGACTCTAAATTATTGGGCAAACTGTGATTACTGAGTGTGTTGATTAAAATAAAATAATATAAAACGCTAGTGACCCATCAGCTGCAAAATCCAAGCTGATGATAGGCCTAGGCTTGAGAAGCTACATCTTTGTATGAACAGTGTCATAGTTGCATAAGACACAGGATCAGAAAAACAGCAGCTCATCCCCTGGCTGGTAAATTGTGTTAGTTCTGAAACTTGCCTTTCCCTTCCTACACGATCATGGGTTCACTGAGGTCAGAGCACCCCTGTCTGTGCTCCGAAGCCTTGCTCTGGCCAGAGGAAGGCCCCACATCTGATCTGGCACTGCGTGGGATCTTTAGGGACTGACTTGTCATTGTGTGCTCCCTGCCTGCGCAGGGAGAGAGTCTGCCCCTTGGTAGCTGCTCCTTGGCCGTGGGACACAGATGGCTGCAGCTGCCCCACAGGCCCCTGAGTGAGAAGTGTGTGTTTGCCATCATGTGTCATCAAGAGGCCCCACCTCTGCATACATAACTGTTTCTCTAATGACAAAAGGAAAACCTGAAATCATCTTAGCAGGCTAGAAAGCTGGAACCATCTGGCCATAATTTAAAGCAATAACTGCAAAGACTTGCATTGGATTTAAAAAGAGAAGAGCAACAAATGATAGACTCCTCTTTGTCACTAGCAGCCAATCAGAAGTAACATGAAATGCATAAGCTTTCATCTCCAGGCTGCAGTGTGGACAGAGGCAAGGGTGATCAGGAGCCTGGAAACCACGTCTTACCACGAGTGAGGCAGGCACATGATGTGTGTGCAGAGGCTCCTAGCAAGCATTGCAGCCCTCCCACTTGGAGGAGGTTTACTTTGCAACAGAAACTGGGCAGTATTACTCCTTTATTCAGCCCTTCTTGTACTCCCTGGTCACCCAGTGTGTTTATGGATTACAACTGCCGTGTTGCACAAAGCATTCTTTTCACTACTAGAAACTGAACCCAGGGTTGTCCTACAGAGCTACCACCCCAGCCTCTCTGTATCTTTTATTGTGAAACAGGGTGTTAGCAAGCTGCTAAAATGCTCCTACTGGGTTCCAACTTGTGATCTTGCTTGGTCAGATTCCCGGAATACAGGGATTACAGGCATGTGCCACCATGTCTGGTGTTGCATAAAGCATTTAAAGCAATTTATAACAGAAATATTTACAGCAACTAGAAATATAAAGACCACAAGCTTATAAGCCCCCGGCTGAAGATCCTATCACTGACACACTCCTCATCATACCAAATCAGGAAGGAGCTACTACTAGATTGTTCCAATGAGCCACATCATTCCCTGTCCCTTATATGATTCTCTTTGCAAAGTTCCTTCCAGCAGGAGTCTCCTTGACCCCTGGAACTGGACTGGCTCATAGCTGGATTTGACCAGCAGTGGACAGGAGATGTGACACTGGGTCATTTGGAGCTTAGGGCTCTCAGAGTCTTGCCCAGATGACAAGCCCAGCTGGCCCTCTGCCGGGTGAGGGGCCACAAGTCATGGCGGGCTCAGAGTCACTGCCCAAGCTTACGCTTTCGACACGGGACAGCCAGGCAGGACTGGACAGGCCAAGCCCCAGTCACTGACCAGCACCTCCCCTAGATTCAAAGCCATTATAAATGGTTGTCTCACCCCGCTCAGTGTGGGAACAGATTGGACTGTCTTGCAGTAGCATGGGCTGTGTATTAGATTGCTGAGAACAAAGCTGGCCACACTGACTCCTGAAATTCTCCAGGTAGGGTCCCTGCTGACCTGCCATCCCCAGTGCTTCTCCTGGGGCACCTCAACCTGCGTGTCTTTATCCCATCCTCACCAGTTCTTGCTTGTTGGGCTCTTTGCAGCCTTGACAAATCTGATGAACAAACCCAAAATCAGTGTTCGGAGATTTCCTTCTTTCCAGCCTCCACACTGTCTTTTAGCTGTGCTTTTGTGATGCCAGTGATGTTGCAGCAACTCAAATATCTAATACAGGAATTGCTAAAAATGCCAGTCAGCATCTCCTTTCCCTCTGGTTTTCTGGTTGTGAGCCTGGCTACCGTGCAAGCTGGAGGACATCTGTCAGGGAAACCTGGCTTTGTCCATCTGTAGTAAGATGGGATTGAAATAGAAGACTTCACATCCAAATTCTAATTCCTGTGGTTTGGATTCTGGATTTGGACTTTGTACAGTCCCTTCTTTGTCTTGGTTAATATATTCTCTTCTCAGCTAACAGGTGCAAATTCACAGGAAGTTATCTATGCAGCAGCTTACTAAATGTGGGGGTGCAAAGCAGGGTCGGACAAAGTTGCTGTGGGTGCCTGACATTTTATTTCAGTAGGGAAGAAAGCCCTGAGTATCTTAGGAACACAACACATGTAAACAACCGGTGTTTCAGCTAAGAACCCTATTGAACATTGTAATGCAGAGAACAGAAATCATTTTTTAGAAGTCTGGGACCTCCAGAAAATTGGCAAGGAAATGACCAGGTGTGAGTGACAGTTGTATCCAAAGGTGTGCGTGGCAGCTTCATTTATAATCGTGGAAACTTAGAGACAACCTAGGCTTGCGACTGACAAAGCACCACGTATAGACTATCAGAGCTGTGCTTTGAAAGACCTTTAATTACACTGGAAAATACTGAAAAAGATAAATGAAGGTTAGAAAACAGTGTCATCCTACTGAAATGTAAACACATGTAAAGGAAAGAATATTCTAAAATGGGCATGTTTCTGGGTAACTGATCACTTTTGCATAATCTTTTAAACGCCTCCAAGGACTCTGCGCCGCCCCGCCCCGCGGATTGGGGTGCCCCTGCAGAGCCTCCAGCCTCCGCGAGGGGGCGGTGCGATACGCCGTGTGGGCGCTGCGGCGGGAGGGGCGCTCGGCTTCGGAAGAGCCGCCCCACGTGGTTTCGGAGAAACAGACCAGGAGCGAGAAGCGGCCGTTTAATAGGAAACCGAAAAGCGAAAGCCAAGGCGGAGCGCAGTGCGCAGGCGCAGCCCTGGGATTTCCCCGTGACCTCTGGGCTAAAGGGAGCCAGCCGGCGGCGTGGGCATGACCTGTCTGGAGGGGCGTGACCGGGAGGCCATGAAGGGGCGTGGTGTGTCTGGAGGGGCGTGGTCTGGGCGGAGCATGACCCTGGCACGGCCGAAGGGAGTAGCCTCCAAGCGGACTGCCGGCTGGTGTTGGGCCACTGTGCAAAACGGATGCGGACCCTTTCGTGATTCCTGGGGTGCCGCACGTTGCAGGCCGCCGCCCCACCTAGCCTCCCTGCCGCGCCGTCTACACTGCCAGCGCCTTGCTGACTCCTATGGTCGCATGTTGTCGCTGGGTCCGCGGCAGCGTGGGCTGCGTGTGCTAGTCCGCCAGGAGTGGGAGCGGAGCCTAGAGGGCAGCTGGGTCACACGTGATTTCAGTGTGGCCGAGCAAAAGCCGCTGGGGCCTAGCCTGCTGAGTTTGTGATTCCCTGCGAGGCCTGAAGCAGATTTCGGGCGGGATCCTGCCTGCAGTGGGCAGGGGGCCTTCCTGCTGTCCTGCCCGACAGCGCCCCAAGGGTCTGCACGGCCTGCTAATGCACTTGCCTTAGCCCACAAAGCGTTTCACGTTTCTTTTCCTGTGTTCCGCGAAGCAGCATGTAAGATCAGTTAATGCAGTTTGCAAGGCCAGGAGCAAATTGAAAATGTGAAGCCTGTAGCAAGAACTTAGGAAAACGTTTAAGAAGGCAGCGGCTAGGGTGAGCTGGCGCGCCTAGGGTAGGCAACCCTCGAGGCGAGCTGGGGTCTGGCTTCTGTGGAAACCCTGTTTGTTGTTCCTTAAGCAACTACTGAGGGGTAAGGAGGACACGCCCTTTACAGCCCCGTGCCCCTACTCACAGTCCTGTGTGGCTTCTGTGACATTTGCTGTGAACTCCAGAGCCCTTAGCTGGGCCTGCGGGGCACTGCACAGCCTGCCTCTCCCTCTCGTTTTACCCCACTCTGCCCACTCCTGCTCTCCTTCGGTTCCTCAAACGTGCCATGTTTTTACCTGATGAGACCTGTACATAGGACTTCTGGGGCTTTGGGGGTACTGTTTTCCTGATAGTGCTTCTGGACGGGCTCTTTCCTGTGTTTTAGGTCTCAATTCACTCACCTCGGAGAGACTGTCACTGATGGCTCTTCTGGTGTCTCTGCATCATGTTTATCGAGAAGATTTTTGTTTTGTTTTGTTTTTTGGTACCAGAGATCAAACTCACGACCTTGCGCTTACCAGGCAAGCCTTTGAGCTGCTGAGTTCAATCCCCAGCCCTACTGCATCACATTTATAATCCTAATAGCCCTCAGCCTCTCCCTCTGAATTATTTTACTGTTTTTGTCTGTTCTCACCAGGACATAAAGTGAAACAGGCAAGATTTTGTGCTGTTCTGTGGGCTTTCTGATCCGGGGTTCTGTGAGCAGTAGATTAAATATAACACTGCAAGGCATCAGTGTGTGTGATGATTACCTTCTCTCCTATGTATTCAGAATGGCCTTTTGAGAACTTAGAAAATTGTCAAGAAAATCACTTCCTGGGGTCTGTGTTCAGATGAGAAAGGCGTGACTGGTTCAGAGTAGTCCTCAAGCATATTTTTGGAATGAACGAACACCACTGACCAACCACTGGTGTGTGAGTCATAGATTTCTCCATTCAGTCTTCGGCAGTGGCTCTGGGACCCATGAGTGAGGAAGAGGAGACTCGTGGGTGTTCTGAAAATCTTCCTTGAAGAGTTTTAACGAGAGTGAACTTGTGTACACCCTCTGCCCTTGCCCTCTCTCTACCCTTTCTGATGGCATCTGGATTTTAGATTTCTTTCCATCGGTAATACTCCAGGAGACATCTCAGGAGCACTCTGAAGCCTAACGTAAGAGCATGTTGTGTCAGGCTTTGTTCGTGACCGGAGCAGGAGAGGCCACAGGTTTAATGAAGGGAGAGTTAAGGTAAATTTCAGCAACATGTGGTTGCTGTGGTCCCCCATCCTCTGTGGGGGAGGATGTGGATGTCAAGATTATCAGGCATCTATGAGATGATATGTAAATCAGAGGGAAGTTAGCGTTAGCCTTGAAATGGTGCTGTTCTATACCATTTCTGCAGAGCTGTATTCATCAAGGGAGAGAATGTTGTGGTTAGTTGGAGTGTAGTAGAGATTTGAGATTTGGAGACATCATCCAGAGAATTGTAGCTTGGTCTTGCAGATAGACCAAGGACTAAACGAAAGGACAGAATGAAGCATTGTCCAATGAACTACTGGTGTTCCAACACTAAATTGTTAGCACATATTTATTATGGGCTAGACCGTGCTGGGTTCTGGGGGTAGAAACCTGAACAAGCCTATCTGTGACCTGCGCATGCAGGTTGTGTGGAGTCTGACCAGGTACTGGTGGTGCCCATTGTTAGCAACACCAGGAGGGCCGTGTGGCGTTCTGGAGGAGGCAGGATGTGATTGCACCTTTCTGGCACAGGCTTGTGCCTGGGTGTGCACACATGGGCATTTGGCAGGAAGGCCATGCAGAGCCTGAGGGTGGGGTCAGAGAAATGAGAAGCTGTGGCCCAGGGACGTGGCAGAGAGCCAGAGCCACCAGAGAAACCAAAAGCAGTGCGGTCTGTCCTGCGTGTCTGTGTTCTGGAGGGTGGGAGGGTGAGAAGTGACAAGAGCTGAAGACTGGGATCAAAGAGTACACACTTTGGGGAATCTGTTGAGAATTATGGCCTTGATCCAGAGCTGGAATTAAAAACTATATTTTACAAAGTTTTTTGGGGGCTATGACCCCCTTTGGTGGCCTGACAAAACCTTATGAACCCCTTTGAAGAATAATGTTTTTGTTTAAATAAAACACACAAGATTAAAAAGGAAACCATTTGTATTGAAATATAGACTGAACCAACTTTGTGATATATTAAAACCATACTGAAACCACCTTTGTAATAGAAGTACTTTTTTTCTATTAATGACATTAAGTAGCAAGATTTGGCATTGGGTCTGATGAATGCAATTTCCAAATTGTGCTCAGCATAAACAATATTTTGAGGTAACTGTAACAGCTATGATATCATAGAAGAGTGGAATGGGTTATGGTTTGCTGGTCTTAATTTATGGACATTAAAATTTTTGGTTGAGAAGTGAGAGAAATAAAAGTGTAACTTTTGCCATTCAAGTTTATGAACCTGTCGCCTGCCCATACACCAAGCAAGAATGGCTAATGTAGAGTCGTGTCATTCAAAGATTTCAGTAGGGAGTGAAGTGGTCCAATGTATGCGCAGTGTATCCCTTTGGGCACGAGAAGACACATGGCATTGTATTTACTGAGAGCAGGCGCAGGAAGCCCTTTCCCTGTTCTTATGACACCTTCCTGTGAGAACTGGGAATGCTCTGTGCCTTATAGTGGTGGATACCTCTGGGGATTTGTTATAGTCCATAGACTGTCACAATGAAAAAAGTGTGGATTTTACTCTGAATATACCTTATAAGCCAGATTTTACAATGCAATGTTGAATCAATAAATGGTCACAATTTAAAGACAAAGTTTTACCCTGCATTAGAAATTGGAGCTTGTGCACACTGATTAGAGTTTAAGTCCGGATGGTGTGGCTAGAACAGAGCCCTCAGATGGCTTAATCCCTTTCTTACCACCTTTGGAGGGAAACCTCTGGCTACCTGCACTTTCCCCCCCAGTTCTAGATAAAGGCATTGATACTCAGAAGAAATTGTTCAAGTGATTCCATTTAAAAACTTTGAAAAGGTATCAGCAAAGTGCTCATCTGTGATTGGCTGGGGTAAAGGAAGAAGTGAAAATGTGATCTATATTTGGAAAGTAAAGTATATTTTATTTCATTAAATGTAGCTTGTTGCTAGCTTGTGAACTGTGCTGTTTGTCCCCATTGGGATGGTGCTAGGTGGTAACTGGGTCACGGGGAGCCGAGCCCTTGTGAAGAGACCCTGGAGACTCCCAAGCCGGCTCCTAATCTGAGGTTCTAGGAGGAGATGAGAAGTCAGCTGCCTGCCACCTGGAAGAGGCTCTCACTGGAATCTGGCCCTGGTGACAACTTGATCTCGGACTTCATGCGTCCAGCACTGAGAGAAATCAATTTCTGTCGTTTAGAGACCAACTACTTTTATAGCAATCTGAACTAAGTCATAGTTTGCAGAAAAAATATTCTAGGATGGGGTTTGCTGGAGATAGGGTCCAAATGGCCTTCCCACTGCATTTGCAGTGCATGTGCAATGCCTTATTTTGGACTTAACAGGTAGCCGTAGGAATCCTCCAACAAATTTCCATTACTCCCACAAAGATGGTTTCTGGAATGCCAGACTCACGCTCTAGGGAAATAACTTGTTGCTCTGTTGTCAAAAACTTGATTTTAACTTTCTGTATCCAAATATGAATTGCCACTTACTGAACTCTGATAATGTGACTTCGGCCTCCATTATAAGAAGCAAACCACAGACTTCCTTGTATTTTCCAGCCTCGTTAGTGACAGTGATGGTGATGATAAAGGAAACCTTACCAGGCTCTATATTGACAAATATATTTTCAAATGTCTGTGCAGTAGGAAAGGCTGCCCAGTCTCCAGGGCGCTTTTGATACATTCAGTGACTGTATCAAATGTATCAGCCTTTTGATATCTAGATCCACTTGTTTGACTACTTTTTTTTTTTTTTTTATTTAAGAGGAAAAAGAGAAAAACACAAAACAAACCAAAGCGGCGTAAGGGTACACGCAATACAGAACTACAAACAAAACAAAACAAAACAAAAAAAACATAACAGTAAGAAATCACCTGCTAGTAGATTACACACTATCTTCTTGAAAATAGTTCCTCAAATCACAGTATCAAAGAACACAAGGTGGACATTCAAACAGGGAGACTGCAAACAGCTGTGTTCAATGTTCCAAAAACATTGATAAAGTCAGCTATTTAACACCCCCAAACACACTTGCTGTTATATCCGTTAGAGCTCTTTTTCTTTTTTTTTTTCCCTCTCTTTTTTACAACAAAATTTACACATCTTGGATTTTATTACTCCTTAGTGCTTATTACTTTCTTTGGGGGGGGGAAGAATACAGTCAAATATGGCAAAACAAAGCTGTCAGTCAATACCAAGGATAGACATAGCACATGGTGTAGAACAGAGTACAAGTTTATCAACAATGGTTATCAACATTGTCCCTTGTTTCCTTAAAAAGAATTGTCTATCTCATTAGATATTATAAAGTTGGACAAAACAGTAGAGAACAAGACCAATAAAACTTAGGCATTGTAAACATTACAGGACTTCCAAAGAAGACAATAGTTGTTTGACTACTTCTTGACAGCAAATTACTTCAAATAAAAAACTGTATTAATCACACTCAAGTTTATATTATTTCCTCCAACTCTGCTGCCAGTTGATACATAAGTCTCAGGCAATTTCAGAAAACTGGGTCAGTGGAGGGAAGCAGAGACTGGGAAAAGGCCTCCATCAACAGCCACCTTGGCCCTAAGGGTACTGTCAGGAACTTGTAGAGGAACTGGCTTTGGAGCAGTGGGAGGATTTGCACTATGGGAAGTCTAGGATCCAGTTGTGCCCATGTGGATAAGTCGTGTGGGATCTCTAAGTGAAAAGCTAGATTAGAATGGTAAAAAGGGATCCAGGCATCCTCCCTTGAGATCTGCCTTAGTCACTTTCTGGACACGGAGACACAATACCTGACACCCACAATTTAAAGGCAGAGAATTTGTTTTGGCTCACATTCCAGTGCATAGTAGGGGGCAGTCCAAGGCAGGACAGCATGGCAGAGGGGTCTGGAGAAGAACTGCTCATGGCATGGTGGACAGGAAGCAGAGAGGGAAGGGAGGGTCCCAGCAGGGTGATTTACCTTTCCAGGCTAAGCCCACAGTGACCCAGCACTTCTGTCCCGACCCCATCTTGTAAAGAAAGTCATAAACCCACAGAACCCAATTAGCTTCCCAAAGCCTTTGATCATCATGAGGCTTTGGGAGGAGGGATCTAGATATAAATCAGGACAAATGTGAGTCTATGCCTGGTGAGTTTGCCTGGGGGCCAGGAGGTGGGTGGAAGGAGAGAGGAGCCCTTTAGAGCACACTGGGGTCTCTGACCCCACAGTTGAGGCTCACATTGGAAAGCAGTTTGAGGGTTGTGCAGTTGGTCATGGATGATGCCTCAGTGGTGTAATTTCCTCTCCTGGCTCAGCAGCTTCCCTTGGGCTCCACAGAGGGAATCCCCAGGTCTTGGCATTGGGGCTCTCACACTGCTACTGAGGTGAGTAGCTGGGCAGTGGTGTCACTAAGCATCTAGTCACAGTAAGGCAGGGGCCAAGGCAGACCACATGGATTTCTATCCTGCAAAGCGTGGAAGACCAAAGGACTTCTCAGCTTTTCTGCAGCCTCAGGTTAAATTCTGGGGAGCAGAAACTGGTGGAACTGGAAAGGACTGCTGGTCCCTCTAGTTCAGTCTTTCTTAGAAATGGAGAACACACCACCCAGAGATGAAATCAGCCACCCAAGGCCAGGGCTGTTATTCTCCCAGCCTCATTTTATGAGATTCTTACCCTGGTGTCTGCTTTCAGGGCCTGGAATGTCATGCAATTGAAGATGCCACTAGGAGTGGCCTTGGATCCCATTCCTCAGCAAGACAGGCGCCCTGGGTGGCACCAGCAGCTGTGAGACCCACAGCTGGGACAGCATGGAGCAGCTAATTGAAGAGGCTTCACAGTTCAGCCTTGGGCCTGTGAGACACCACTGCTGGACCCTCATCCTGAGGCCCATCCTGGATCCAGGTGAGGGCTCTGATTTGGCCTCCCTGGCCTTCGTGCTGGCTTGGAGTAAAATAGGCATCTCTTTTTCTAAACTTACCCTAAAATGTTAACACTTACACTGTCCACAACCAAATCATAAGTAGCGCATGAGAAACAAAATCAGAAAAATCAAAAAAACCCCCCCCCACACACACGAGCACTGTATTTTGTTAATATTATATTGTTACAAATGCTGGTTTCTTAAGGTGTCGAGTCTTGTGGGCTGACCTGCAGCTTGGTTTTTGCATTGCAGTTGCAAACCCTTCCCTTTGGGGTGTCAGGCCAGGGAGTGGATGAGTCAGATCCTGCCATTTCCCTGAAACCAGTATTTACAAAACCGAAGGCATAAGATGTTATCTTTGGTAAAGAACAGTCTCTGAACTTTTTATTTGCTTCCTTTGGCGTGTCAGGGTTTATCCGGTCAATCAGCGGAATACGGTGATTTCATCTAAAATGAAAAATGAAAATATTTGTCGAGGAAACTACACATAAATCACTTCTTTTTCTTCTTGTCCACTAAGTGCTCTCCACTCTGTCTACAGTTAACTACTAAGTAGTCAAGAAAAGTAGTTTGGATCGATTAGCTTGAAATGAAAGTACCTTTGAGTAGGTTGAGATCCGTGTGAGGAGGAAAGCCCATTTGTCACACCAAAAATGCCATGAAAAAGTGGGGGTTAGATGCAGCGCAAGTTTACTTAGCGCTGGAAACTTAGGGGAAACAACAATGGAATGAATCATCAGAGAGGAATGTGGACTTTTCCGACCTGGAAAGAGGACTGAGTATCGCTTTGTTTCTGACCAGGTACAAATCTGGGTGTCTTAAGGTCCCTCCAAGAGTCTATGCAGATAAACATTGCTTTTATGTAAATCAGGAGCACAGACTTGATGGTTTGGAGGGATAAAAATGAACAGAGTGCATTGTGGGTAATTGGAGCATTATGGATCAGAATCTCAGAGAGGAGCATTACGTTGCCGAGGATGGCTATTCCCAGATGACTTGGAGGGCATCCAAGCCTGCTAACACAAGTAGCCATCAAGAAGACTGGGATTGGTGGTGTCAGGGCTGTCAGAACAGACATGAAAGCAAGCTTATGAACACTGACGGGTGTGTAAGCAGTGTTCCCCAAAGTGGAGAAGGTACAGAACTGATGGGGCCAGAGACAGGGACCCTGTGCTGGCCTGGTGGATAGGGACATTTTGCCCTCTGGTGGTTCTTGGTGGAAAGAATTTAAAGCAGTTCTAGTGAAGTAACATGTTTGCTTTTGATGCCTGCAGGACCAGCACCATCCACGCTTGGCAATGCCCCACTCTGTTGCACAAACCCCTGCGCCTCGCTGCAAAGGCTCGGAGCAACGGTGGACAAGGAAGGGAACGTACAGCAGTTTCGATGGTTGCAGGACTCAGGTTTTCTCTCAGCACTGCATATACGCTTGGAGACATGGGGAGGAGGTCTGAGGGGGACGCTGGCTCGGTGGAATCGCTTCGGCTTGAAGAGACAAGACAACAGGTCACTATTGCAAGACTGGGAAACAATCGCCAGGGTCACGTAGTGTGTCCAGAGCCCATTTCTAAGGCCTCCTCTGTCTGTGACACTGAGCTGCCTGATTCATCATTTCCTATCATGGAACTGCTAGAGAACATACAGCATATAAAAGGGCAACTTTATAATTCCAAGTCATAATAGATTGCGGTAAGTTTGCCCCAAGACTAGCTCTTTATGAGTTACAAGAAATGAGACGTAAAATGCCTTATTGGATATTAAAATGTTTTATTCTCAGTTATATGCACTCTGATCTACTCTTAAATCTCTTATAGGAAAGTCTTTTTTTCCTTAAAGATTCAATAATAAATGTTTCACGCGTGACTAAGATTACTTACATTGTGGAAATGGGAATGAAAACTGAAGGGACATAACCTTTGTCTCCCCTTTCTGTCGGTCTGGAAACTGGAAAAGAAATGCAGAATGTTAGCAACATTCTTGACAAAATGAGAGAAAAAAAGACATCTCAAGAAATATCAGTCGTGCTAAAAGGAAGAGAGAACGCAGCTGTTTAGTGATTCACACAAAGTTTTAGTTAAACGGTGGCAACAGTCACGTGGATCAGTATAAGATTACAAGGAGAGAACGAGGCCCTCTGCGGGCCATGTGTTAGTGTCTCCAAAAATGTCTGAGAAAAATTGAGAACTCTATTTCCTGGCTTCTCTGCTGTGTTTACACCTGACTGTGAGAACCGATGTATTTGTGTATGATGGGATTTAATAGCAGCTCGGTTCTTGTCACTGAAACTGGTACTAAGCACACTTCACTGTGACACAGAGTTCTGAGGCTCAGAGTGAGCGTTCCTGAAACACCTCTGCGCTTGCTGGCTATGGATACTGCCATAACAGTGTTGCGAAGCCCGCCTTGGAAACATTCCTGAATTCTCAAGCGCGCCCATCCCCAACAAGAATTTGTTCACCGACGTTTGCAATTCGCTTTGTTATAATGTCTTACAGGCCAGTGCTTTTGTTTTTGATGCTTTTGTTCAGAGGGGCATGAAATCAGGTTGCAGTAAGTCACCATTTGTGAGTGTGACAAGTCTAGGAACTTGCATAAAACTGTGCCCCGAGATGCAGTCACTAGGGATGAGGATTTTTGTAATCCTTGGCTGTTCTACTGCTTTATATAAAAGTGTGATGTTTGTTTGTACTGTACGGACATCTCAAATACCTTAAGTCATTCATCCTTGCTGTTTGTAACACCTAATGCAATGTCAAGGCCATTGAAGTAGCTGTTATACTGTATTCCTTAGGAGATAATGGTGAGAAAGGAAAGCATAATTTCTTTTCTTGCTTTTCTTGTACTGTAGATTGGACCAGGGATTGCTAATAGCCACAGCCTAGCCCGCTAGCTTTTCTTCTCTTTCCTTTCCTGTTTTCTTCTCTTTCTCCCTCACCTCCTCCTCTCTCCTCTCCTGCCTCCTCTTTCTGGATTGGACGCTGGGAGTGCTGAGCCGTATCTGCACTCTTTTTTTTCCTTTAATTTTGAGACAGGATCTCCCTAGGTTATCCAGCTTGGCCTCAGACTTGCAATCCTCTGCCTCAGTCTCCCAAGTAGCTGGGATTACAGGTGTGTGCCACTGTGCTTGGCTCTGATGGAACGTTTTAAAAAATACTTTTAGTAGTGGGTTGGCTGAGTTTGCAGATGCAGCAAGGATCCGTGATACAGGGGCAAGCACACTAAGGAACCAGAAGTGTGAACTCACCTTATAATTATACAGCTAATTTCACGAGTTTCTTTCATGTAGTCAGTAAATATCTAATAAATGCCTGTTTTGGTCAGATACAGTTCCAGCCCTCAGGATATATTAGGAAAGCTAGAACTAGGAAGGGGAGGGGGGCACTGACCCAAATGCCTCCCTGGAAAGTGAACAAACACTGAGTTGTGAGACTACAGCAGAGGGAGAAGCCAAACTTTAAACCTTGGGACTCGCCTTCCCTTTAAAAGCTTTAATCATCACCTTCTCCTTCTCTTCCTTCCCCCCAGCCTTAGAGTGAAGTCAGCATCACTCCTGTCCCAGGAAGAGAAGCCCTGAGCTCAACAGCGCCCAGAGATGTCCCCATGGTGGGGGGTGAGATTGAGGGGGTGGCTGCAGTGACAGCGGTCACTCTACCAGTGTCCAGTGGCTCTAGTGGCTGCTCCTCAGCAACCCGCCGACCTCTGGGACCCCCACGCCCACTCTTGTTTACAAAAGATCAGAGGAAACAAAAGAGAAGCTTTATTTACTTTGCTCTGATATGATGTTATTTTCCAAAATGCATTGAGTAAATGGAAGACCTCACCTTCGCATGGCTGGGAGCTGTAGTGTTTTCCGAAGGCTTTGTCTTTGGGAATGTCAGGATATAGGTACTTGAGAGGGTTTTCTGGAATGTTTTCAGCCATAATGACCTTGTAGTCTCGAAGAATGTCAGCGAACGGCAGAGCAGACAGCCGGCCTTTGTTGTAAGGTTCTACGGAGTGGAACCTCACTTCTCCTGAAAAGCAGACATGGGAAGAACATGCCAGTCCCTGCGGACATGCCTCGTGATCACTGTCTCTGTCCCCCGGTCCACGACTGAAAAGCATCATACCTGCAGCCTTACAGCACACAGCATGGGCTGCTAGAATTTGTGGGGGAGCTGGGTGAAACAGCCTCACCCACTGATGTCCAAACCCAGGGAGTGCTTGCTAGACAGATCCACACACCACCGGAAATCCCAGTGACCCCATGGGAGAACCCAAAATCCACACAGGGAGACCGCAGAGTGCCTACCGTTCTCAGAATGGTCCACCCAGGTGAAAGTTATGCCTCCAAGATGGCTTTCACTGAATCTTAATAAAAAAGTCCCAGGCATTTTATCCTTGAGCAGCTGCCGCTCCTTTTCTTTGCTGACAAAGCCCATGACGTACCTGAAAAATGAAGCCAGGCACATTCCAGCTAGTCAGTATCGCATTCACATGGGTTTCATTCATATAGAACACACATAAGGATGGTGTGTGTGTGATCAAAGGTCAGCCCCCCGACAAACTCACGGATGTAAATATCAACACTTTCTGAAGAAGACAAGAAACCACAAATGGTATTTCCCCTGCCTATGGTATTAAACATGCTTAAGAAGAAATGAAAAAACAATAAAAACAGAAAAAGAGAACTTAACTCACAAAACCACAAACTCACCCATCAATCCAAAGGGGAAGAATGTGTTTCTTAATTAGATCCAGTATTGCTTCGAGCCATGTCCAAAAGGTAAATGGTTTACCAGGTAAGTGCTCCTATTGGAGTAAACAAGGATGATTCAGAGCTAGCACTGCATAGAAACTCAGTCTCCATTTCTCAATAAAATCCCCTCTTTAAATCGGACAGCTTTACACTCTTTAAAAACACCCTTATCCAGTGACTCTTCAAAACCTCGGCTTGGACAGGGGCATTTTCTTTTTAAATGATGTTTCCCCTCCCTTCCCACATTCGTACCTTGCAGAACTTGGCCCAGCTGAGATGACCATCGCTGTAGCTTGATTGCACTAAAATCAAGCAAAGTAAGATTTTAAAAACACTCAGCAATGAGACTCTTGAATTTTGTACTCCATTTAGATTTTTTTCTCCTCTCTTTTATGCATTGCGTGAGAACCTGCTACAGTTTTATAGTGTACTGAGAAGTATTGATGATGCAGATACACGACTGTCTGCCTTCCCCCTGAGACATTTCTTAGGAGCTGCTGACAGAGGCCTTAATAATGGCTTTCAGAAGCTCCACGGAGGGGTAGGATATAAACTCTCAGAAGAGAGAAAGGGACGAATTCCAGGGAACAGCTGCACATGAGCATGGCTCCTTCCAGGGACAGTAAGAGGTGGGCAAACATTTGGAAATAAAACTAAAAATCAGGCATAGTAGGACCGCCAGCAGTCTCACCTCAAGATGTAAAGAATGGACCAAATATCCACTGGGCAACGGACAGCATAGGCATTTCCATCCAGAGAAGTGACAGAACGCTAGACTTTCTACCTAAATCTTTCCGCTGATTATACTTACAAGCATAGTTTGTTAAAGATCTGAAAGAATATGGGTGCTGTACTTCATATTTAAAAATTTTATCCACTCATTTACAAATACTCATTGAATGCTTGCTGTTGCTATTTATGAGTTGAATATGGAAAAAGATACAAACAACAAGTTCCTTTTGGAGTAATTCCATAGTCTGGATTTATTCTAATGCCTATTCATGAGGTGCCGGGAACAAGCAACCCTGTATGACCGAAGTCGAATTTTAATCACGTGGTTGCGTCTCTGCAGCAGGAATGTGTCTGTGTTTGGTTCTGCTTTAAGGATAAGTGTGTACAGAACAGCTTGAATGCTTTTCAGTACTAAATGTGTCCCCACTATGCTTGTCACAATACAGGTGTCTCTTAACACTCTTTTAGACAAAGTTTAAACCGGGGTTGGTGCCTGTTGTACTAATAGCTATTTGGTAAGCCGTAGACATCTCAGTGAAAGCTGAAACTTTCTTGATAGTCAGAATCAATTTATTCCTGGGTGCTTTGAAGTTTCTACTAAATTTCCTGGCCTTGTTGCAGGAGCCCGTCATTTTCCAGTTGTGTGGCATCTGCTGAGAAATGAATGGGAGTGCTTGAGGCTGATGGTGCCCTCAGCAGGAAAGACACAGGACATGCTGTAGACCAGTGAGCTGGGGAGCAGGAGGGCTGGGGGGCCTGACCGCGTCCTGGCCATGCAATGTGGCAGTCACTTAACCTCTGCTGTCCCGTATCCTCATCTAGAGTCATGTGGGCCTTGAAGAGCTTTTGTGAGAATTATAGGTAATTCAGCACGCAGCCCTGTGCCTGGAAATATAGTGGCACTCAATATATTCTGTAACAGTCCCATGAAGAGTGCTGGTGACACCATTCCGGTCTTGACACACAAGCGTGTCCCAAGCAGGCAGACCCTCCACCTCCCGTGCCTCTCACCTGTAAGCTTCTCGGCCAGCATGCTGAGTTGATCTGAATTAAGACCACGACCGACGTAGGATGAAAACTGCCAGCTCAGGACCTCCAGCAGTTGGCTCAAAGTGGCAGGTGGAGGGTTATTAAAGAAAACCAAGTTCTGAAACAGAATTTCAAAAGTGACTTGTTCACACTGAAAACACTGTAATGCAATGCATGGGATTTAAAGCTGAGGCCAACGCAGGTTAACAATATGGAGAGTAATGTCATTCTGTTCCTTTTAAGGATTGATGTTGTTGGGAGTTTTTCCTATAGGACTTTATGTTCCTTAAATGTAACATGACACAGAGCTCCCTCTTTCCTGAAGGAATCATTTGGCATTTCTTAAAGGTTTCTGAACTATCAATCAGCGTATATAAGCATTTAACACTATCTAGCAAATAATTGGACAGATACTCTTTTCTGAAACAATAATAATTTTTTTCAGTTGTGGGGATTAAATCCAGGGGCACATTACCACTGCCTTGCATCCCCAACCCTTTTCAGTTTTTTGTTTTTGTTGTTTAATTTTGACCAAGAGTCTTGCTAAATTGTCCAGGCTGTCTCTGAACCTGCAATTCTTGTCTCAGTCTCTAAAGTAGTTGCAATCATAGGCATATGCCACTGTGCCTGGTACTATTCATCTTAAACAAAATTTATATTATGCTTAACTGGCTGATTGTGAGTTGGCACAAGTTATACCTTCCAAGGAATAAGAAACAGTGAAGCCACGGGCCATGGAAAGTAATCCTGTAATGAGTTTATGATTAACCTCAGACTCTGTTTTATGGGTAACGCAGTACTCTTTTCTTGTTTTGTTCTAACTGAAAGCAAATTCTGTATGAGCAACCATAAACAAGATTGTCTAGGAAGTGGGTTAGCCTTAGTGGAATACAAGACTTGGTTCCAGATGATGAGTAAGCAGATAGGTGTGGTAACCAGAATTAAGATTTCAAAGTTAGTTGCTCTTGGTAGAGCTTGGTAGCTTTTCTCCAGAGAGTTGTGGACAGCAGTCCAGAGCAGGACTGTGCTGTAAGGCTGGAGGACAGGGAGGAAGCAGTCCCCTCCCTCCACTCCAGGCCGGGCTGGGGGAACATGGCACCCTGTGGCTCCAGATGGGGAGAGGCACTTCCTCTTGGGGCTGCCCTTAGCCTTAAAGCCTTGGGCGACTTCTCAGTTCTGCTCCTCCACACAGCCTTCCTCCTGGGAGGGCACTGTGCCTGAGGAGCAGGCCACTTTCCATGCCATCTCTTACTGAAGGGAAAAACACTTGGTGCTGACCTGCGCTGGCTTCGTTCTTACTGCTGGGATCTAACAGGAAGGAAGTCTTTGGAAGGAACATTTGTTTTGAAAACACAAGACAGCCTGCTGTTTACATCCTGACCTAATTTTTTCTAGTCTTTGGTGGTTTCTGAAACAATGCACTCAGCTCTGGCAAGCGCGGGCAGGAGGAAGCGCTGGCTCATCTGTTTTGACCACTCCCTACCCTGGTGTTCTTGGAAGAGATCGGTTCCTTGCTGCATTCATTGGAGACAAATTTTGGTCAGTGCTTGACACAACCACTAGATGTCACTAGCACCTAGTTTAAATCAAGGGCACAGTTTACGCAATCAACCAAATTTTTGTACTGTCAGACTACAGGTGGGGAAGATGGATGAAAATGCCAGTTACTTATTTGGAAACTGATTCTCTGCTTTTGTGGGAGACACTGTGGAAAAGGTGGGTCCAAAAGAAGCTAAGGAGCTCAGATATGAAATTGTGGGGGCGGCCCAGGAGTTTCGCTGCAGCCTGTTTGACAGAGCCAGAGGAAGATGGGTCGAGAACTCTCCATGATGCAAATTGTGGTTGACAGCTGACCAAACCCTCCAAAATAGCAGAACCAGTACCTGCCCCTTATACCAGCTGCACCCCGCGGGATCTGTTAAATGAGCCACTTAAAGAACTGGGAGGCACCATAGCATAAGAAATGAAACAGCATGCACCTGTGCGTGCACACACGCACACACACACACACACACATACACACACACACACACACACACACACTCTCAGAGTTTATTGACAGTCGAGTGAATTGACTAGAACCAGAGCAGGAAGGACAGGAAGAAAACATCTACCTGGGAGTCGCTGGTCGACACGTTGTACCACATGATGGACGCCCAAGCGTTCGGTAGCTGACTGACATTGGAAATCATCACCACGGGTAATGAGCTGGTCTGGTGGTAGAAGAATTGTTACAGGAAGTGATGCTTTACATTGGTCATACGCTCAACCTTCTCTAAAGGGGGCCACCTCAAGCCAACCCCACTGTTCCAGTCACAGGGTCTGTGATGCCTGGTCAAGAACTGACTGGTGAGGGCAGCAGAGCTCTTTGAGCAGGTGTGAGCCAGGGCACACAAGGAAAGAATAGGCAAGCAGTTTCCCCAGTGTCTTTCCTGCCCCTGCACGAATATTCACACTTCCCGTGTCACACTCAGTACGGCCTCAAATGCAACTAATGAGAGCACCTAGGATTTAGTGACCCTCCTCTGTCCAAGTTAGAGGATCTGATAGCACATTGATCTCTGGTTGAATCTGCGTATTCAAATGACAATCTAACACCTAATGAATGTCAGGACCAGAAGTGGGGTGTTCTTTTGCAAGGAAGTTCTCTTGTTGCAGAACCAGTGGTACCGAGACTCTCACAGACTGGCCTGGGAGTGAGCCCTTCCCTGTTACAGACATCTGACCCCTGTAGCCTGTAATATAACCCATTTGAGGAACTTAACAACTCAGGAAACCAGAGGTCTAGGGAAAAGAGATGAGGAAGGGATCTCTGAAAGTATAGCAAACATGTCTGCATTCATAAAGATAAAAGTACAAAGACAGTGCTCTGAGACAACACGCTCCACGAACAGGATCATACACAAGGTAAACTGTGTCTGTTTATGTAGTGATTGGTTCGTTTGTTCAACAGACATTGAAGATCTACTACTGTACACGCTAGATACTGGGCTGACTGTGCTGTGCAAACAAGGTGTGCTGTCCTGCCTTCAAGAAGCTCAGAGCCAACCACGTTCAATCATGGTCAGTCCCCAAGGTTTCTTTACTCTTTGAGTTTCACTGTGACTGTTAAAAGCGGGTCGAAAGGATGTTCTCCTTCTCCGTTGTTCATTACCTTAGTGAAACCTACCTCCAATTCGATGGTTAGGCCATAGAGGCAAATCTGGGTCTCGAAGGATATGGAATGAAGCTCCTCGGTCACCACGTGACAGCCCTGCGGGAGGAACAGAGTGTTAACCTGCAAACACAGAACTGGTTCTTTCAAATTAAAAAAACCGTAAAGTAAATGTCTCTGACATCCCCCGATAGTCAGCCTGCCCTCCTGTAATAAAAGTCAGATAGTGTTTGAGAAATCCTCACTTCCACACACAGAATGATTCTACCTCCAAAATCAAGATCATTTCAAGTTTTTAAAAATAAAATTCCAGCTGTCTTCCTTAATTGAAACGCAGATAAGTTGTTCTTTGTTTTAATTTTTGAAAGTTGGTCCTTTTCATTTACCCAATATTAATAAAACACAACATGTATGTGTTAGCTGTACAGAAATAACTCCTAGGGTCATCATGAGTTTGTGTTAAAAGAAAGGTTTCCTTCTGGATGAACACAATAGGTGAGATACCTGCATCTTCCTCTGTTCATTCCGGAAACTCCACTGAGGTAGCTGTTGGAGTTTTGCTCACTTTCTAGTAAAGCACAGCTGCAGTGCGGACCCCAGTGAGAGGTGGGAGGTGTGGACGGTGCAGGGGACCCACGGGCTGAGGCTGCAGCAGGGAGGGGTGAGTAGGAGGCCAATCAGGGGCCCCAGCTGTGCAGTCAGGGGCCAAGGTCAGGCTGCAGGCAGGAGGGAGGTGCACGTTGCAGAGATGCTGAGCTATGAAAGACTCTGGTGAAATCCATGCTCCCCTCTGTTTCACACTCAGATTGCTCAGAGCCTGGCTTAAAGTTGCCATAAAAGGGGCTTGGGATTTAGCTCAGCAGCATAAGCACCTGCCTTGCAAGCAGGTGGTCGTGAGTTTGATCCCTGGTATCCATAAAAAAATATTTCCATAAAAGACACCCAGGAAGTATAACAGCCAAAGGAACTGATACTGCATTTTTGTGGGGTGGGGGGTCTCTCATGAAACAGCCAGGTCCTAAGATTCACTCCTAAGTCTACAATTCCCAACATGCATGTAGAGAATTGACATCACATAAGCACGCGCAAAGGAAAAGGACTAAAGAGCGGTGCTTGGTATCTTCAGCTCCATTTGCAAAGCTGGAATCTTTTAAGCTGGTTGATGGGTGTTCATGTATTACTCTTCATATATATTTAAAGAAGCAATGGAGATGTTACATTTTGGGTTTGTTACTGAGAAGCAGGTACAGAATTAAAATAATCTCTTGCTGGGGATTTAGCTCAGTGGCATAGGTGCCTGCCTGGCAAGTGCAAGGTTGTGAGTTTGATCCCTGGTAATATAACAATCATCATCATCATCATCATCATCATCATCATCATCATCATCATGATGTCTTCTCCCTTGGGCTGGGTAGTTGTGGTGCCTTCACGTTGTTAGACTGAGTAGAGTGGGGTCACTTTCACTAGACTGTGGGGTCGGGAGAAGTTATGCATAATAAAAGTTCTGCTTGGAACCCTCTAGCTGCCCCAAGTGTACCCCCAGCCCACTAATGCACTGGTCAGTCACTTTTTCTCCCACAGTGTTGAAATAAATTTCTGTCTCTTCGGTTGACAATGAGATCAACTAACTGGTTTGTGCTTAGACACCAATTTAAGCAAAAAGCACATTTTTAAACAACAGAAAGCCTCCCGACCATATGAGGAGGGGATGTTTACCCCAGGACACATGATGAACCCATAACTTCCACCTCTTGCTCATCAATGGATGCCTTTCAGGTTCTCACCAAGTTCCAGAGTAGACAGGGTGATTCGAGTGTGTGCAGAACATTTGAAAGATCTCCAGCAAGTGTACAAATGGAGACCCGATGCCATGTCTGAATATTTAACCACTGTAGATGGACACACTGGTAAAATACGGTCTAGCCTCTTGCCTTGACACAACGCTTTCATATAACCTAACTGGCTATGGCTAGTTTTAGCTTCTCAAAGTCCCACTGGAGCGCAGGGGCATGGGTAGGGTGTAGTCACCCGGGGTCACTGCCCTCTCCATCTGCACCTGTATGAGGACCTTGTGTGACAAGGACAGCTCCTGGGCAAAGCTTCTCAGGTCCTGCAGGTAGGAGAGCTAGAAGAATCTTTTGCTCTTAGTCAGTCTCTAATGCTGGTTACAATTTCCTAAGTGATAGGAGTTTCTAAACAGAGCCCCCAAATCCTTTGGGACTTCCTGGGCAGTAGGAGTATCCATTGTTCTGATAAAGTGACTCCTGGGCCCCGGCTATCCCCAGAATGGGGCCTGATGCCAGGGACACTACCATGGGAAGAGGGGTTTGGGTCTTTCAGCCCCACTCCCCTTGAGGAGGGAGAGGGGCCGAGGTTTGGGCTGACCACGAACAGCAACGCTGTAGTCCATCAAGCCTACTTAACAACGTTTCCATAAAAACCCCAAAGGACACGATTTGAAGAGCTTCAGGGCTGGTTGAGGCACAGAGGTACCTGGACGGCGCCTCTGTGGGACTGGAGGCTCCCCTTCCCTCAGACCTCGCCCTGTGCACCGTGCTCTGTGCATCTCTTCCTCTGTACCCTTGTGCTATCCTTTAGGAGAAACCGGCAAGTATTGGTAAAGTTCTGGGAGCTGCTCCAGCAAATCAATGGACCCAAGGGGAGAGTTGAGGGAACCCCAATTTGTGGTCATTTGGTTAGAAGCATAGGTCACAACCTGGGACCTGTGAATGGCATCTGAAATGAGAAGGGACTCAATGTCCCAGGGCCCTTCGCTAGGAATTGGATATGAAGTAGATAGTGCCAGAGTTGAGCTAAATTGTAAGACATCAACTTGGTGTGTGCTGGGGAACTTGGAACAGGGGGGAGGTTCTCCCCAGAGTCAGGTATTCTGTACTAACAGTAGGAAAACCCAAAATACAACTTCCATCTTTCCCTCATTCTAGCTTCTTTGCAGTTTTGTTTATATGGTTAAGTATGCATGCAGCCATTCATTGGGGATGATTTCCTCAGCTGAGTTGTGGTGCCCGTGGGACCATCATCTAAAAAGCAAGGCTGGGAAGAGTATGAGACATCAGGATCTGCAGACAGAGCTCAGGGCTGTCCATTCACTCTGTCCATTCGCTCTGCTGTCTTGGTGATTTAAACTGATTTTTGAAGTTTACCTGAAAACCTCTGACGCAACTGAGAAGCACATTTGGAACAAAATCCAGCAACGACTCCAACAAATGACTCATGACCAGAGAAAAGCAGCCTTGACAGAGGAAGCATCATTAATGTTTACAGCTTGCACAACCATCGGTCACAGCCTTCACACAAGTCTCGGTGTAGTCTAAACCAGAGACACCACTCAGTGTCACGTTCCCAGGGTCCACCCCTCACAGATGGGTAGAGCAGCCAGGCAAGATGCACCATTAAGGTCTACAGTAAAAGCCCACCTACTCGTCTGTGATGATTATAGTTTTAAAATCTATGTGATATTCACATGTAATATTAATATAATGAAGCATTGAATATTACCTCTGGATTGACTGTATAGTATTTCTAAAGAAAAGTACCCAGCAGATAATCTGCTAAGCAACCAGAAGATAGCTCAAACAACTTAGCCAGGGCCCTACCTGAGGAAAAATATATAATCAAATGGGTGAAAGGTAGGTCTAGATGTCTTCTTTTGTTATTTCATTTTCTCTATTCACTGTCTAGCAATATGCTTGTATTTAAAATAATGCCATTGCTAAGAAAAACTTCTTGCTCATTTCTTAGCAAGCCATAGGTGATATTGTTGCACATGGAAAATTGTGTGGTGCAGAAAAACACGACAATCCACTGAACAAATCCTGTGCACCTGTTATGCGATAGACACTGGGTGAGCTGCTAGAAACAGTGAGGTGGGGACGGGAAATGGAGCAGCCACAAGAGAGACAGCCTGTAATCCCAGGAGCATAGGAATGACAGAGTGACAGCGATGCCCAGCTTATAAAATAAGGGTGCCATGGGGATGGTGCACTTCTCAGTCTAAGCTTTTAGTGATATTCTTATGCTGATTTCTATCTTAAAGAAAACATCCTAGGACTTAATGACTTAGAAAGATCTTATCTCAGAATCATAAAAGATAGGGCTGGGTATGTAGCTCGGTGCAAAGGCCAAGGATTCCGGCGCCAGTATCTCAATAAAAAATATATTTGAAAAAGATTGTGGCTGGGTGTGGTGGTGCACACCTGTATTCCCAGCACTTGGGAGGCTGAAGCAGGAAGAGCACGGTGAGTTTGAGGCCACCCTCCACTACATAGTGAGTTCAGAGTCAGCCTGAACTATACGGTGAGACACTGTCTCACCAAGAAAGAAAAGGACTGCGGTTATAGCTTCCATTCAGAAGTTCAGAGTTCAGAAGGAAAGCAGCTTGCTGTGAAACGCGGGTGCTGGGTGGGTGCAATAGTGTGCTGGGGTTCGAGGACTCTGAACCTTGAAGACACATCTGTGGGGCCATTTTGTTAAATGAAACTCAAGTCACCCAGGCTTCACTAACAACCTTTTGTGCTTTGTGACCTCACACTGCATAAACAAAATCACCTGACACCTCAGTCTGTGGCCAAAATTGTCATTTAGACAAAGAGCAAACCAGAGAGACTGCACTTCTGGCTTCCATATTCCAACGGTTCTCACGTTTTAGTGATCACCCCCTGGCTGGCCTGGCTCCCTCGGTGTGGGGTGTCTGTGTGTGTATGTGTGTGTGTATGGGAATGCTAACTTTACAGACATGGGCTGATGACTTCAGATTCTGCCCACATGCTAGGAGTCAGTTCTCCACTGTGACATTTCCCAGGAAAGAATAAAAGTGGGGAAAGAGATGATGATTGCCAACCTTGCCTCTGCCAGCATCTACAGTCTCCTCAAGGGAAGCTGTAAAATTCCAAAGCAAATTCTTAAAATTGAATTTATTAAAAATAATCTATGGCCTCTACCCTATGGAGAATCTTAGTCAAAAACGAGCGTCAGAGACTACTCCAGTGGATTTTGAAGAAGAAATTTAAACCTAGGAACATATTCTCAAGAGTAGATTTCCTCTCCCAGAGTAGGGGGAGGTACCTTTTTGGTCCTTCTGGGCTTTCTGGAAGCAGGATGTGTCTTGTGCAATGTCCCCTCCTTATCTAAGCCCATAACTAGGATTCTGGATGTCCCAACATGACACCTCATCTCAGACAGTCTCAGCGTCAGTCACAGGGGGCTGGAACTCTAAGGAGGTTTGGAATGGTGACCTCACAGAAGCACCTTCCTGACTTCCTGATATGGTCTCAGTCATTTCATAATTATTCCGTCTGAGCTCCTGCAACCAACTAAACCGAGGAACCCACAGTTGTTGAGGGGTGGGGAGGCATGTAGGTGTGGTAATAGAAATCCAAGACTTAAAATCCCATGAAAGGGGCACACATAAACGGGGGCCTGAAGTTTTAGGGATGTGGAAACAGAAGAGAGAAGGGCTGAGAGCTTATTTAAAAAAAAAAAAAAATAGAACCACGTCTCCAGGGGAGCAATTGGCAGATGGGCAGAGAAGGAGGAGGGCCCGCAGCTGTCTTTTAGCTGGTGTAATACCAGCTGTATACAGAGGGGGCAGCAAAGGGTGGATGAAGGAGACCCACAGTAACTATAGCCCCCCTCTTTACCCCTGAGGCACCCAGGCCATCACTTTTGGTCCCGGTGAACCCCTAGGACATGTGTGGTAATGTTAGCCCCGTTCTGTAGGGAGGGGAATTGGGAACAGGAGAGCTTCTGTGGCTTGTGCAGGCTCAGACTCTAGGTGAGAGGCAGAGCCCAAGTCTGGTGCTAATTCCTCAACCCCCTGAGACGCAGATGGAACCCACAGAAAGGCACAGTAGATGCCTGGCAAGTGCAAGGCTGTGAGTTCGATTCCCAGTGTCCCCCCACCAAAAGAAAAACACAGTAGATAAGGGCCCTGTTCACAGCAGAACCTGAGTTCGCGCTGTTCACGCTCCTAAACTTGTCAAAGCTCCTGCTTGGAGGCAGCCCTGATCTGTCAAAGGGTGAGCACAGGGTGGACATGGGGTGAGCAGGACGGGCTCAGATGGGGTGGGAGAGGTCGGAGAGGAGGCAACCAACTCTGCATTGCAATCCCAGAGGCAGTGTGGCAGGGGCATCCACGCTGTTACTATATGGATCTCAATCCTATTGCAGACTGCTCGTGTCATCTTGGCTAAGCTGTGCAAGTGCTCGGTGCCTCAGTTTCCCTAACTGAAAGCAGCTAGAAGTACGTGCTCCTTGGAGCTGGCACAAGAGCAACATGAGCCAACATGAAGGAAGCTCTGAGATCCCAGTGAGCTGCAAATGCCATGGAGGGTTTGTTAAATGAATCCCTAGGAGGCTGTGTGCTCCAGGCAGGTGCTTGGAGATAAGCAGCAGCAGGTTTTTTAAAGCTTGAAGACAAGGATGTGCTACCACAAGTTTCAACTTTCCTGAAATGTCTTTACCACGACTCCTGACCCTGCGGCCTCACCGACCCGACCTTATCCCCAGCCGTGCCCGACTCTTTCCTGACTTTCCGTTATCCCTCCCGGCCAGCTCAACTTCCTTTGAGGATTTTGGGACTGAACCACATAACCCTGTGCCATGGCTTGCATTCCTGGGCGTCACACTGAGATTCTATCAACTGAGGAGCTCAAAGAATAGCTTGAAATACAACAAGCCTGCTTTAGCAACCCTGAGTGCATGAGGAAGGAGGACTGACAGCCATGCTACGACCACACGATTTTGTCAGTAGGAAAAGAAGAAGAAATCAATTTAAAACAATATAAGCAGACAGGTTAATAAGACCATGGTTGGTTTTCTGTAGCAAATGATTTACTTTGATCTCTATTTCTAGGGAAATCCAAGTAATGGTTTTGATTTTCTATTCATAAAGATGACAATGGTGCCTGCCTGGCAAGCATGAGGTCCTGAGTTCAATTCCCACTAACCTCCCTCCCCAAATGACAAGGAGGTGAGCTATTTAGATATTATCACTGGGTTTGTTTTGCTTAAGCAAAGTTCAGAATAATTGCACTTAGTTGCTTTAGACTCATAATAATACAGTTCAGAAATGTCAAGTTCAATGAGATGTCAACTTTGGTCAAACTTCTAGTGACACGTGTAAAGTGGGTTTAATTCATAGTGTACTAGGTGAGAAGAATAGCTCCCACTGATTTGTGTCAGTAGAATATCCTCAAACTCAAAAAGCTGTGGTCGTGTGCTAACTTTGACAGCAGAGAGCTGCTTGGGGCTATGCCTTACACAGAGATTCTGACCTAGGAAGAAGACTTATCAGGAGTTGGTCTTGGTGGGGATGGGATATTCGTAAATGATTTTTTTTTTGTCTTCTTTTTTTTTTTTTTTTTTATTGGTACCAGGGATCGAACTCACGACAGCCTGCTTGCAAGGCAGGCGCTTATGCACTGAGCTAGACCCCCAGCCCCTGTCGTAAATGATTTTTAAGGCACAAAAGAATGTAGGCTCCAGAGAGGGGAAAATGGCACAGGGCATTAAACTTATTGTGACGGTCTTTGTGGTTTTGTGGGTATTATAAACCAGATGTCCTTGGATACTGGGTTAGTCAAGTGTTTTTCTTTGAAATAATTCGAAGTTCTTTCCCACAGGGACTATGATGATAAAGTCGGAAGCTGAACCTATACCAGTGGCACCAGAAATAAGTTCCTGCTCCATGCAGGTGGTCTTGCATATGCAGTGTCTCTGTGCAGGGAGCGCTGGGCCCTGCTTGCTTCATCTCACAGAGGAAAAAAAATGCAATTTCCCCCCACCAGATCGTTTGCCAAAGATCACATAAGCAGTCACTGTCAGAGCATGGACCAGGTTTCCTACTTCCAAATACACAGGTCAGTGATCACCATGTGATCATCTGTCTCCTCAACAGATGATCTCCACAGTGACTTCCAGTCCAGGCTTTGACCACTCTGTTACCTCCTAACTCAAATGTGAGTACTCAGACTGCACCAATTTGTTCTTTAATTCAGTTTATCTGGTGCAATACAAACCTTAGAGAGCAAGATCATTGGTACCAGAGTAAACGTTTGTTCTTTCCCTGTGATTTTCATGTATCGTAAGTTTTGAGTCTTATCTTCCATCTGTGAGCATGTAAGTGAGTTTTAAGACATTTTACCACCACAGAGGACAAACTAAAGTAGTTATGGCATACCTAAAGACGCAATAGAGTGCAACTAATTTAAATCATGTTCTCCAAGAGTATTTGAAGTTACAGAAAGATATCGTCACATATTTCTATACCCAACCAAAGATTATACAACAATATTTGTGGTATATTTTTACAGCATTATATACATAAATAAAATATTGGAATAATACGTATCAAAATATTAACAGTTATTTTGGAAGGAATTATGATGTTTTTATTTTTCCATTAAAAATATCCCTTATTGGGGCAGGGGATTTAGCTCAGTGGCATAAGCACCTGCCTTGCAAGCAGGTGGTCATGAGTTCAATCCCTGGTACTGATCCCCGGTACTGATAAAAATGAAAAAGACAAAAAAAAAAATCCCTTATTGTCCATAATTATCAAGTTTAGTGTTCAAGGATTTAGTGTTCAGAAAAACACAGATTTAATTTTACATAAAACCAAGGAATATAAGAGCTTTGTAAAAAAAAAAAATAAATGCAATATTACAGGCTTATTTCTTTAAAAATTCTCTAGGAGGAAATATTTCCTACCTCATTTCCTTTGCTTCCAGCACTGGACTTCATTTCTTTTGGTTGCTTTGTAAAAGAAAACAGCAGTGTTTAGATGGAAGAGAATTCTCAGTACAAATCAAGTCAATCATAACTCCTGTCATCATTTTCTTGGCCATTTTGACTTCTAGAACTGTAACCCTTATATTTTCTAACTCACTGAAACCTGAACTAGCTGCCTAGATTCAACAGGAGGGAACCCCGAAAACCAAACCAAAAACAAAAACCACTACAAATGAGTATTTATACATCCCTTTCTATAAATTTTATCTCTCAGAAAGTAGGCCTTATGAGGCTGATTTGGTGGTGCCCCGTAATTCAGGGGAGGGATTTGCTAAGTGTTAATAAACCAGAGGAGGAACAAGATGTGGTAGGGACCTGGGGATCTAGCTCAGTGGCTCAAGCAAAGCACAAGGTCATGCGTTCAATCCCTGGTTCCAAAAAACAAAACAAAACAAAACAAAAGATGTGGCAGGAAAGGCAGTAGACTCTTGGTAATCTAAGAACTATCTATGCAGAGAATTAAGAAGAAGACAAAGAGAAGTCTGGGCCAAGAGGAAGTGGTAAGGAACAAATAGCAACAGGATGAGCTCGGCAGGAGCTTTCTAGACACAGCAGTATATACCTGCAGCTTCGGACGGGACACCCTGCCGCCTGCCCAAGCTGCTCTGAGACCAAATCACTTCCCGCCACACCTGTCTTACTGGTTGTTGCTCCTTGGGGAGATTTTAAAAGTCAAACCAGGAATGCCCATGCACTGTAAGATCAATCATCTTTGCCTTTATCGTCAAGATGCATTGATCAGCTACTCCGGATATTCGGGTGTTACATCACTGTTAAGAACTCAGATAGTGGGAGTTCTTCCTAGCACTTTAATTCTTCAACAATAGTATACTTCATTTTGCAACTTGATCCTCAATCTCACTTAAGAAACGTGTAACAAACTACACAGAAGTACAAGGCCCATTAGCAAAGAGGGGTCCGATTTTGGGTGAGAAGAAAAGCGTGTGTAATTTCACTCTCAAACTTACCAAGTGTCTAAACTCTACGGAGAGGCTTCCGTTAGAAGACTCTTCAATGGACATGGCTTTGACATGAGTTCCACAAAGGACAAATCTTCGATTACTAAAGAGGAAATCTTAGTCATGTACCTGGCCTCAGGTACTATTATATTTACAAGAATAGTAAAAACAATTCTACAAAATAAACATCTTACCTTAGAGTTGAAGCATTCCTGTAAAACCAAAAAAATTCTTTAAAATGATCTATTTATTAGGATCATATATAATAGAATTATACAGGATCATATATAATAGAATTTCATTTTAAGTCTTTATAATAAAGCCTTTAAAATTAAAACTTCATTGGCTCTGTCAAATATTTGAACTTCAAAGTCAAATAGTTGAAGTACATTGAAACATAAAGTTAGAGGAGTGAATTTAATAGTTCAAAATTATTGTATAAAAGGGCAATTAACTAAAAAACATCTTCCATTGTCACATGCTTCTTTAACAAAATTAGAAAACTTACTTGTCAATGGATGCTTTAACCTTCACCTGATAGTTTAGTTCTGGCAATTTTATCAGTAGTCTGAAAAGAAATATATCAATAAAGAATCAAAAATAAAAATCAAAGTTAAAAGCCTTTTTGTTTTTAAAGGAGTAAACATGAGTGTAGCATAGGCACATAAATAAAATTTATATTATCTCCTGCTACATGTTAATGTGTTTTAAAATATGTAATTCCTCTTTAGCTTGCCCCATTACCAGTACTGACATCAGGCCCTCAACACCTTTACCACCAAACATTTGAAAGTTTGCCCCTCATCTGTTCTGTGTGCTGGTTAATACATTGGCCCCATCACAAATATAGGGATCCGTTTTGGCTAAAATCCAAGCCTGGGTTAACTGTATAGATATACGAAACATTCTTTTCAAGGTTATTAATGTGGCTCCATTTAATCCTCTTATTCCAAAAAAAGTGTAAACTTAGCAAAACTAAATGTTTTGATGATAACTGTTTTATAGTGAACATACTGAGATGAGGTGCCTCTAAAATGAATATGGAAAATACTGATTCAAATACGCTCTTAATCTTTAAACACGTCATGTATAAGGAACAACAAAAATGTTCTTAACAAAGACCTCACTATGAACAAATAGCATGTAACGAGCTCCTTCTAGAAACCGGGCACAGCCTCTGGGGCCTGGGGACTGGCTAGCAGAGAGCCAGGAAAAGAGAATGTGGTCACAGCTGCACATGAAAGACAGGAGTCCGGCCAAGCAGAGCAGCAGAGGAAATACGGTGATAAACCCTCAACGTGAGAGAAATAAAATCAGGGCTCACACACAGCCCAAGCAGAAGGGTGGGAGGAATATAGCAAAGGTCCCCGAAATGTTGCACAAAGCACAGGATTGCCTTTGGGGGTCTGGAGAACCCTAAGTGCACAGGCATTCAACGTGAGTCGTGAGGTGCTGCGTGGTCAGGTGGGTACGGTCAGCTCCTTTCCTTCCCCACTCCCCTTTCCCTCCTGTTGCAGGAAGGACCAGCGACGCTCCGGTGACTGATATTAGAGACCCCAGTCTTCCTCCCTTTGAAATAGGAGGGTGCGCTAGACGGGTGTGGGGCAAACCTTATAGGAAGTGAAGGATTGTCTATCCAGATGGTGGCAGGAGGAGGCCACCTGTGGGGAACAGGGCACCCACACCAGGGACCACCCGGCAGTCACTTCAGACAGCGAATCCGGTGCCTGCCCAGGGGTTGCGTCCATGGCGAAGCTTTGGCCAGCCTTTGTCCCTCCCCTTTTCCCAGAAAGCATCGCAGGCCTCCTCCCAGCGTCTTAGGGGACAGGAGGATGCCCGCTTCTCTCCACCCTATTTCCCTCTGTTGCTAGTATTCAGAGCGATCCAGAGATACAGGATGAGGAATGAACTTGTGAGAAGAGGAAATTTTAAGGAAGAAGCTGGCCTCTGGCTTTCGGGATGGGGCATAGAAACTGAGGCAGAGGCTTAATTAGGGCTTTGATTTGCAAAGTGAAGGCCAGGGCCTTCCATTTAAACTAGAGTTCCAGTGCGGATCTGTGCTGACGGACTGGACCCTAGGGCCATAAACTAGTCTCTCCCAGGCATCACCACTTGTGAGTCCTCAGTCTCCGCTTCTCTGAAGTGACCAAGAGACCAGCTTTAGGACGTGGAGTCAGAGCCAGGACAAAAGTCTTTGAAAGTGAGATCACAAACTCATTGTTGTGTTTTTAAGGAAAACTGAGTTCTGATCGCTCGGCTGATAGGAAAGATCAAATATGTAGTTAAAACGAAGCAGAAACAATACAAAAGCCAGATGTCTTTAAATCAGGCACACAGTAGGGCTACACTCACGATTGCAGAATTCAGAGTTTTTGTGGAAAACAGGAGAAACCAGTTACTGGGTAATCACAGAGGGAAACCGTGTCATTACATTTCCTGGGCAGGATTCTCAAAGCCCTCCACAGTCTGTCCCCCATCTGTCTATGGCATTCTGTGTCCCTCTGTCCCACCATCACATGGCAGATTCAGGGACTCATTACTTGCGTGGCGCAGGCGCTCAGAATTCCCGCCCCCCTAGTCTCTCGGGGCCATTTTGCAAGTTAATGTCTCAGCAGTCTGTCCCACCGTGCTGGATATTAGGACTCAAAATGTTCACACGAATGTCCCCAGTGTCGTCACCAACACCCCACACTGTCCTGCTCTGGACAAGCAGGGTGGGCATGGCAACAGGCCTGGTGACTACAGAGGCCCAGAGCTCCAGACAGACAGGCTGAATGCAAGGCACCGTAGCGGGAACCAGCTTCCTCTCGGGGCAACACACAGACACAGACGGCCGAGACAGGCGCTCTGCCTACCTTAGCTTCACCGTGAACTGAATGAGGGTCTTAAGCACCAGCGGCCTCTGCGGGTGGGTTGGCATGCAGGGCTGTCGCTCCACCACAAAGGAGCTAGGTGGAAAGAGAACAGCCTGTCAGCTAAGGCCTGCACACATGGACAGACTGCAAACCACAGGGGGGCAGGGTGCCACCCTCCCAGTAAGTCCAGATCTTCTGCGCCTAGAAGGTGCTCAGTAAAACCCAGGCCTTCCCAGCAGCTACTTGTAAGTAATGGTCCCGGGATAGGAAAACCCCCGAGAGCTGTCCCCATGTAATAATGGTAACTATTTCTTAGTTGTTATGCTTGAGTCTCAAAAGGGGTCCATCTGTAAATATCGTCGTTTTTGGACTGGATATTAGGACATCTGGTACATATTAGCATTTTTAAATGTCCTCCACCTTTCGTTTCTTGGATAAGCATTTAAGAAGAAAGCCTTGCGATCTGTTCTAAAATGTTAAAACTGAGCCCTAGGTGGGTGCTGTGGCTTAGCTCATGGAAAACTGAGTTGGTTGGTGGGAGCAGTATTAGAGAATAAGTAGTGAAAGTGGAGATATGGTTTCTGGAACTTTCTAGGGGCTCAGTTCACTCCTTCCTGGGGCTCACTGTTCAAACTTCCCTGCGGCTCCTTCACCTGAACACCAGAACCTTGGGCGGGGCATCCCTCAGCTCCATGGAACGGAGGACATCGCACGGTGCAGGTAAGATTGCACACACTGCTTCTTTTTTGTTAATTTTAAAGAGAAAAAATCAAATTTCAAAATGTGATAGAGGGCAACGTTTAATAAATTGCATATTGTTATCTTTAAATTAGTTACTCAGGGTACAAGAGTTTGCATGTAATTGTCTGCATGTAATTGTCCAAACAATATTAGCACAAATCTTTCTTTTTAATGAACTAAGAGAAATTAGTAGTATAACTACCTTGACTATCATATATATTTTTTCTTTCAGCTTTTCACACTAGGGAGAAATATGATGTTTACACATGTGAGTCTGATTTATTTCACTTATGAGTATGGTCTTGAGTTACATCCATTTACCTATAAATGTCTCCAGTGTATCCTTCTTTATAGCTGAGTAGTACTCTGTTCTAGAAAAATATCACATCTTTTTTTAGCCCTTCTTCAGTTGACGAGCATTTAGGTTGTTTCCAAGAGCCAGCTATTACAAACTGTGCTGCTACAAACACGGTTCACTTACTTCTTGAAAAGGTTGTAGATCAAGAAGGTAACTCTTTCCAGCAGGTGAGCTCTTTGCACTGGGATAGGGTCACCATCATACGTCATTTTGGTAGATTGCTCCTCCAATTTCTCCAGTTGCCTTCTGAGTTGGAAAAGACTTTCTGCCAGTAGGGTAAAGCTATTGAACAGCAAATGATAGTTTTTCCACTTAATAACTGAATATTTTAACAGCTGATGTTAAATTATTAAATAGTTATCAAATTAAAATGAGCCAATTCCAATTAGGGTTAGCGATCTTTATGTTTCTAATCTATTCCTTCTAGAATCTGCATCACACATGTTAAATGTTTTTGCTGTTTTCTAATGTATTCTTCAATTAGAGACACCATTTATGAAGTTTTGTCAGTACCTGGAATCACATCCCATTCCGTTAGCCTTTATTTACATGTGGGAAGCATAAACATGTTAGAGATGTGACCTCAGTAAGAGGCAAAGCAAGAGCAGTTTAAAATTACAAAATATATTCGTGACATAAAGAATATAATGTGTAAGAATACCGAAGAATCTCTCTCTGCATGTGTGTGTGCACACACGCACATACGCACACAACACACACACTATATTTTATAAGCTCTAGCCCTAAGTATTAGTTAACAAAGATCAGTGACTCTGGCAGAAGATATGTAGTAATTAAAAATGATCATCCAAATGGAAATGGGATTTGGACCAGCTGAATAGAGAACAAGAAAGATTGACATGAACAGGAAAGGCAAACCACGTCATCAGATTTGAGAAACCCACCTGGCTGAAAAAGCTCTTTTTCTGAAAGTGTGATAAAGGCTGTGGAAAGGATTTTCTAGTCCGGGCTTGGTTTTGGAATGAGCACTATTTTTTAAAGTACTTTACTGCTCCTTTTTGATATTTACCTTCTTCTCACAGTGCTCTAGAGAATGAAAATCCCTCCCCAGCGAAAATCTTGCTTGACGGTGAGCCCCGCTCCCCTCCTTCCCGGGCAGCAGCGCGCTCTGGGACCCTGTGCACCTCCGCTGCTCTCATTCACCCTCTTAGAGAAGCAATTTCGAATTTCATCTGAACATTTTTGTTTGTTATATACTTTACAATGTTTTCTCCAGCCAGGTAGTTTTATTTTGTGTTTATGAGGTAGAAAGACTATTCACATTTTATCTGATATTGCAAAAGATAATAATATCTACATTAACCTGCCTGTGTGTGTACATGGGTAGAGAAGTCACACTGAAATAACCATGTTAGATTTTGGTAACTTATAACTAAATGCCAAAATTGTGTATATTTGCAGTATTCAACATGATACTTGGATATATTAAACATTGCAGAATGGGCTATTCAACATCCAATAGAGTGCATCACCGGATACTTCTGTACTGATAAGAGTGCTTTGACTCTACTTTCTTTAGTAATTTTCAAATAATAACATACTGTTAGCTTCAGGTGTGATATGCAATAGATCCTCTCTTCTAACTGAAAGTTTGCATCTTTTGACCAACATCCTTAACAAAATTAATGCTATGTTGAAAACACAAAACTAATGTTTAATTCTGGTATCTTAAGATGCTTGTGGAAAAAGCTGAGACAACTATTTTCAAGATTGTGAAGTGTTTACTATATCCTTAAAGGAAATGTATTGCTGGTTTCCAAAATCCACTTAAGAGTTTCAGATGGCTATTTTGCATGGGAAAAACAAGCAATTCTTATGCATCCTGCACAAGCACCATCCTCTTGCCCCAAGGAGTGGAAAAGATGAACATTTACACAAATCCAACTTTGTGTTCTACTGTCAGGTTCCCAGCTGCTCACAGGCGATCAGTAAGTTAAATGGAAACCTCTGTGCTCTGGCAGAGACACGCTGAAGCTTTGCACTTCCTGTGGTTTTCACGAGAAACTCGAGTCAGTTCGCTTTACCAGTTCTGAAGCTGGTCGAGCCCATTATGGAGCGGACCCCCGATGCAGGCAATCTGCTGCCGCCGCTTCCACTCCTGCAGCTCCTCCATCAGCATGCTGCTCGCCAGTAGGTCTGTCTCATTCACTATCTGCGTCATCTTACCGAGAGCCTCCTAGAAACAGTGAGAGAGAGAGAGAGAGAGAGAGAGAGAGGGAGAGAGAGAGAGAGGGAGAGAGAGAGATCCTCATAAGAAACCACCAGAATGGAACTTAGAAAGCAACTGGACCTGGGAGAGAAAGACTTGGTTAAAAGTTTAACCAAATACTCCATCATGGGTTCACTTCTGTTTGCCACAGCACCGCCTTTCCAAACAGTTAAACTACTACCATTAGCTCAAGTGATCGGGAAAGAAGAAGAACCAGAGATTCACATTCTCATGCGCTTCAGTCCACTTGGAGTTGGACTGGTGACTTCTGAAAGTTGTAGTCACACAACCGTAGATTTAGCTGGGCCTGGAGGTTCACGCCTGTAGTGCCAGCTACCTGGGAAGCTGAGGCAGGAAGAGTGCAAATTGGAGGCCAGCCTGGGAAATTTAGTGAAATCCTGACCCCCAATAAAAGCAAAAATAAGCAGAGTTGAAGATGCAATACATCACTCCCTGAATTCAACCCCCAGCATCACTAGCAAACCCAAAAAGCTATGGATATGATTCTTAAAAGAATGTTTACCAATGTTTATTTCTATGAATATGATGATGCATTTAGTTGAAGGTATATAGACTAAGTTTTGAGCCTTTCTGTGTTAATTAGGATATTATTAGGGTTTGGAGAAGCACAAGTTCCAAAGGCCTGAGCTTTTGCCCTGACTTCGCCCATGTGCTGTGTGAATTGAGGCAAAGCTTTCTGCCTTGTTGGGACTCAGCCTCCTCATCTGCACAACCACAAAAATGCACGGAGTGATCTCCAACACCCTTTCTCTCCTCAAAATTTTATCTATAAAGTAGAATAACATGACATGCAGAAAACATATAGCATAGGGTTATTATGCATAAAAGCATCAGTTTTATCTTGGGTTACTTGCATGCTTACAATCTTATATATAACTAAGTTTAAAGTTTTGCATGTTTAATGTTCATACAAATTCCTGAGCAAAAGAAATGGAGCTGAACTTTTTAAATGAACTAGTGATCTTCAGTTACTGGTGAAATATTAATTGCATTTCATTTCAAAGAGAAGTAACAGATGGAGATAAATACATTCCATTCATGAAAAATATTCCATTGACCCAGAAAAAGCTCTTCTTCCCACTGGGGAGAGGTTTAGACAGAGTGTGTTCAGTTGCCAATGAACTAATTTGAAATCTAGAGACCTGTTTAATGCAGAGTCATTTCTCAGAGTAAGAATTACAACACTTATGTCCAATAAAATTTTCACACTCACCGAGTAATTTTCTAATTACACATACACACTGGAGCCCATCTTAGCAAATTAAGTAAAGCCACTAAAACAGCTATGTCTGAAATACTGAAAAACATTTAGTAAAACCTCCAACTTGGAATTGATGATAGCTACATTAAATATGTCACATAAGCAAGACAGAGAGGTGCAGCTCTGAACCTGCCAAATTGCAAGCACTGTTCCTAGAAACATGGCCAGTTACTCATTCAGCATAAATAGAACTGATAAAATCTAAGGGCATGACTTTTTTCAGTAAGATAGCTGAGACAGAGAGAGAGGAGAGAGAGAGAGAGACAGAGACAAACAGGTGAAGGGCCAAATTCAGCGTCTACACCAACCTTTCTCTTGAAGTCCAGGCTGTTGAGCATTTCCTGCAGTGTCAACACTTCCTGATTCATGAGGACGCTGTTCTTGTCTCCCTGATCTGCGAAAGAAGGGACATTGGATTTGGAGTTCTCTCCAAGGCAAAGCTCTCTACTGCTGGAAGCCAAGAAGACTCAGTGTGTGGCCCTAACCAGCTCGGGGAAGAGCAGGAACCTAGGCTGTAAGAGACTAAAAAGGGACCAAGAGAGCCCAGCCCTGGAGCTGAGTTCAGGAAGGTGCGTGCTGAGGCAGGAAGAATGTCATCCAAGCCCGAGGGACACGGCCTGTTATCTTACAGACCCAGGGTGAGGGGTGTGTGGGGTCTAGGCCACTCTTCACTCCATGCTCATTCTCTGGTGGTGGAGGGAGGGATAAAGAAGCTCTTATAATGGGCTCCTCGCTGGATCCCTCGGCACTAAAGACAGGCTTGGTTGTCTGGATGAATAAGGAAGGAAGAGGACTTTCCTTTGTGCCCAGAATTAAATCATGTTGGACTCATTTTCTGAGATCTATTTCCCATACCATCTCAGGAGTTATGAGTATGAAACCATCTGCTGGAGTTAGTGTTATCTGCTTGGTTTAAGAACTAACAAAGACTAAATCTTTTATTTTTTCTTTTGCTTTGCACAGTGGGCGGGATTCCCAGTAAAACTGGAAATGACGGAGTGGCAAAATAACAAAAATAGTTAATACAAAACGAAAACAGTCTGTCCTCGTCAATTTTGGTGTATTTTACAAACATCATATTTTAAAATTTGGACATTAACTCTTATTGCTCTGCAGCACGTGATGGCTTACATCAGCCATTTATGTTCATAAAAACACAGACTGGGGTGCTTAGCTGACCGTGGGACTGTGAAAATGAGGTTCTGGAACAACTCTGTGGCTGATTACTCTGCACAAATCGCAGCACTAATCGCCAGGAACCCATTCCTGGTTGCAATCACAACTTCACTAATTTTTAGAACCCAGAGGTGAGAAAATCTTGCTTACGCCGCATTTTATCAACTGAAAACTTCATTAGCTAATTCTTTCCCATGTCCATCAAGACTTGCTTTCTTTTTCAGTTATAACAGGGTGACACAAACAGAATAAATATTTGTCATTTTCACTGATAAAAATGGTCACATGCATTCTTCACAATGCAAAAGCACTGAAAAATATTAAAGATACTCAAGCAGTAATATATTAAATTCAAAAGAGATCTGTTGCTTGGTGTGTTTTGTTGTGCAATATTCTAATCCTCAAAGTGGATGGTTGTTGGGGGCGAAGCTGTCTGTACCTTGGGTATTGAGGATGAGGTCGCTGCTTCTCATGGGCTTGGCAGGGCCCGTGACAAGTGTGTACAGCTCAGGGAGCTGTTGCCATGGTGACCTGACCTTCTTGACATAATACAGACAGTTTCCTCTTGACTTGCTGTTCTGCTAATAGATTAGATATTCTTCCTGTCCCAGGTCCTAGCCTCCCCTTAAACTCTCCGCAATTGTTTCTGTGCTGATTGTATAAATAAACACGCTCCAGGCCCAGGGAGTCTTCTCTCTCATCAGGAGCGAGGGGTCCACCTGACCCAGCTTCTGTCTTTTTTTGTTTGTTTGTTTGTTTGTTTTTTTGTCTTTTTCCTTTTTATCGGTACTGGGGATCAAACTCACGACTGCCTGCTTTCAAGGCAGGCGCTTCTACTGCTGAGCTAAATCCGCAGCCCTAGCTTCTGTCTGTTGACTCCTGTTTTTTTCATCCCCCACCGTCCTCCCTCCGGAGTTTTGAGAGCTGCACTGACGCGGCAGGCAGTTCATATATAAAATTTGGGATGATGTTATCTTCTGTGGACTGTAATCCTTTAACAAATTTGTTTGTTCTAAAACATTTTAGGGTCATAGATCCTTTTGATAATTGATTACACCCATATTATGCCATTTCTTCTTTCCTCCTCCTCTTCCTCTTCCTCCTCCTCTTCCTCCTCCTTTTTCTTCTGTTTTCTGAATCAGGGTTTCACTATGCAGTTCAGGCTGGCCTCAAACTGGTGAGGCTGAAGCTGGCTTCAAATTCACAGCGCTCCTCCTGCCTCAGTCTCCCAAGTGCTGGTATTACAGGCATTGGCATTTATTCTTAAAGGAAAATTTGTATATACACATGATCATGCATATCCTACTGCATAGAAATCTAGCCACACTGAAGGTGGCAAGACTGGAAAACAAATCATCTCACTCATTATAACAAGTTAATGTTTGCTTACAATCATCCATATTTCCATCAAGAAGCATTTTAAGCTAACATTTTAATAGTTGAAGGTGATTTTATCAATCAAAGCTTTACCTTATTTACTTTTAAAAATTATTTTGAAATCATTTTAGTTACAAAAAACTTTGCAAAAATAATACAGACTTGTACTAATAAAGTCCTTATTTAGTACCCTCTGTGTCTGACATAAATGCAGCACAACTATAATGATCAAAACCAGTAAACTGGCATAAGTTTACTCCTCTTAACTAATCTAGACCTAGTTAGGGTCTCACCAGTTGTCCCAGTACTTGTAACATTCTTTAAACTATCAACTTATTGTCACTTGTAAAACTTAGGCTTTAAAAATATTTTCCTATTTCCCCTCCATTTGTTAAAAACAGTGTAATTATATTGAGCATCAATCTTTAACCACAGAAATTCACATTTCAGTGTCCTATATTTTAACACTTATACAACTATTGAAATTATGTGTTGGAAGAATTTTTTATATGGAGAAATACTGAAAAATAGAACTATATATGAGATGTCTTAGTGTTTGAAAATAGATATGTAGCAATATATATGAACATACAGAAAAAAGGCTAGAAGAAAACATGGGTTTTTTTTGACAATGATGACCTGTGTATTGCTTATCTCACATTATTTTTATTTTTTAGTGCTTTTGTCTAATTTCCAGCTTTTCTTTTACGAAACACATGTCTACTTTATAATGCTTGAAAATCACATTTTAAAAAATCATGCAGCATTCCCTGACCTTGTCGGATTTTTATCAGTTGTGATGAGAGTCAGATTCTTTTTTTTTTTTTTTTTTTTTTTTTTTTTTTTTTTGTCTTTTTCGTTTTTATTGGTACCAGGGATCGAACTCACGACTGCCTGCTTGCAAGGCAGGCGCTTATGCCGCTGAGCTAAATCCCCAGCCCCGAGAGTCAGATTCTTTACAAGAATCTCCTTATTTTGAGGGAGCTGCATGTTGTTATTTCATGCAGGTGATTCTGTACAGAGTCTGTAATTTAGTTTGAAGTAAAAATTTCTCTCTGAGAAAAGGAAGAAGCAAAAACAAAAATATGTTCCTTGTCTATATACTCTTTTGTTTTTTAAAGACTCACTTAAGAAAATAAAATAAATTTGCTCATCAATTCCCAGTAAAGACCTAATATTTATACTGCCTTCCCGTCCCGTAGAGTTATAGACAAAACAAAAACTTACCCATAGTCTGAATTGTTTTATATCTGTAGTCAAATTCATCTTGCAGGTCCTCTAAGTATTTCGTGTCTTGTTCTGTCATCTTTATACAAAAGAAAATGTACTCACTCAAAAGGAAACATCAAGGTACATGGCAACGTGTAAGCATGCCAGTGAAATACCACCGCAGATATTTTTAGGGAACACTCTTTGGGGCTTCCAGCCTCTGACAGCATCAAAGACTACACTGAACCTGCTTTTCTAACTCACAAAAATGTTAGCTAATGCTGGAAATGGTTGAACTTGTTCTTTCAACTATTTTCTTTTTTCTGCTTGTGTGGGAGCCTTTTGGTATCTGACCCTTCCTAGAAGATACCACACTCATTGTTTCTAAACCACAAAAATGAGTGCTTTTGCCCTTTTAAAACTCTTGGATAGTTTTTTACTCTATTAGTGTGCCAGTGATCAGCTTTGGCTTAAATCGCCACTGAAACAGGCTGCAGTAACTTTGTGATGATTCAATCTTGATATTTTCTCTTCCTGGGTCTTAAACAGAACCTACGATGGCTGGGGATATAGCTCAATGGCATAAGCACCTCTGTGGCAAGCTGTGAGTTCAGTCCCCTGTACAAAAAATCCAAAAAACACAAAACTACGTTTTCTCCTGTCTGCTTCTGTCTTTGGGATAGACCCGACCTTTCTCCAAACCTGACTATGTGTCTTTGCTCTGTCACAACAGTGGTTAAATGTCAAGGTCTGGGTGAAAGGCTTTCCATGCAATGTCTCATTAAGTCTCACACTACTCATGGTGCGGGCCACCCTTGCTTTTTGTAGGACAAGCAGCAGAGGCTGGGGATAGGAAGGACTCACACCTAGCTTCTCGGGGAGGAGTTCTGGGCTGGGTCCAGCCTGACTCTGACCCTCGACCCCTAACCAAGCTGGGTCCACTGCTTCTTACATTCCAGACTATACTCTTCCCTTTTTTCACAGAAAGTTGAAATTTCCACTGCCTGCTCATTCCAAAAGGTCCAAAGAAATTTTACATCTACCCGTAGCAGATCTTTCTCCACAAATTCCAAATTTTAGCTAATTTACTCGTTGAGAAGACCATGCAATTTTGAGTCAGAGTTTATATGGCTACACTCTGACTTTTGCAGCTTATGAAGTGACAAAAATATCTTTGTGTTTCAGCTTCTTTTTCCTTAAAATGGGCCAACAGGGTGAGTGGAGGCAGAAAGAGGATGATAGAAGTTATGTGTGGAGTTGTGAGCCCACGGGGCAGAAACAACTTAAAACAGCGTTTGGGGCCAGGTTCATAAGCGCTTCGTGGAGGTTACTTCTAATAGAAAGCACATTAAGGTGAATGAAAGTGTATCACACGGTAACTAGGAAAAACCAACGCTAAACTAATCAAAACACTTTCAGATGTCGTCATCAGTGGTTGCCACTGTGAAAACACCAGAAAGCACCTGCAAAGCCCTGGTGGTGGCCCCAGACAATCGCAGACCGCAGGAGTGCCAGTTCCAAAGCCTTTCTCAGGGACCAAGGTTAGGCATGCTAGGGAGAGGGCCTGCTCCCTGGAGTCACCCCAGGATGGACAGCAGGGCTGGACTTGTGGAGGGAGTGTTCTCAGGAGAGGAGCACGTGGAGGGGGGACCAGGACGGGGCAGGCACATGGTCTACACTGCGGTCCAACTTGGTCTTGGTGTCATAAAGAACCTGGGGACAAGAGGAGGCCGGGTCTGGCCTTCTCTCCCAGCCTTGTCACTGTCTGGAGGCAGCCTGGGGTCACTTCCTACAATCCTTGGCAGGTGGGGAGAGATAGAGGCCTGGGAAGGCCTCTATCTAGTTTGGGCTCCAAAAGGTGCACTTCCAGTGCAGGGCACTGCTCAGGATTTCAAAACGAATTTGAGGGGGAGGGGCTGGCTGGGAGACCACAGGTTTAATGGGTGTGAGGTTCTGGGTGCCACCTACAGCACCACAGAGGGAAATAAGCAAGAGAGAAAGGGAGAGAAAAGGAGAAAAAAAGGGAGAGGGAAAAAAGGAAAAAGAAAGAGAGAAAAAAGGGAAAAAAGAAAAAGAGAAAGAGAAAGGGAGAAAGGGAGAAAAAGAAAGAGAAAGAGAGGGAGAGATAAAAGGTGTGTGCCTGATTGACGTGATGAGCGTAAATCCTACTGCAATCAGCAGATCACGTCCTGCGCGTACCCACGTGTGAAATCAGTCCAGCCACTGTTGTCACGTTACAGGGCACCGAGGCGTTTCGCCTCGGGTCTGTCCTGAGAACCTGACTTTTTGTGGCACAGCAGAAGCAGAGGCTTTGCATACCTATGTCCTTAGGCTTGCTGTGTCATCTATGACGCAGTCTACATTTAAACAATAGTTTGTCTAACTTTATGGAATTGTTATAGTGTCTATAAGAGGCAAAAAATAATACACTATGCAAGCTTTAGAAAGGGAAATTGGCATTCCATTTTATATACCACATAGTGGAGAGTAAGCTTACATAAGAAATCTTTTCTAGATCAATGACATTGATACATCTCTATCCAGACAGGCCAGAAAAGAAAACAAGATGTACCACTATCACACAACTGAGGCGATACCATTATAGATTCTTTCAATATTCCAAGGAAAATAAAGGAATATTATGCTGATAAAGGCAATTTAGTTGGAGCAGAAACATTTCTTGAAAAGCACAAATTACCAAAGGTCATTCAAGAAGAAATAGATATTCTGATAGCTTTTACTTTTCTCACAGAAATGCAAATTGGAGTCGACAATCTTCCCATAATGAAACTGTCCATATATAAAGAGAAGCCACGAGAGAAATGTATCTTATTAACAAATTGTCCCGCGGTTTCTATAAACACCCTCGTGGGAGCCAAGGACAAAGGTGCTGGTTTAAGACTGAGGTGACCACCCGGCCGGCCCAGGGTCCACAAGACCTACGTCACTCACCTGGACGCTGTTTTTGATGGCGGCCACTTTGTGCTCCACGTTCCTCTGTCTTTCTGAAACTGAAGAACTCTGTAAGGATTTCTCCAGGGGTCCCTGGAAAAAGGGTCTCGACATTTCACTGCTGTTGGCACAACGGGTTCGTGATGAATGTAACATACACAGCGCTCGCTTTGAGCCGAGATTTTGATCAGCACAATAGCAAATATTAAACAGCCATCCAGACTGTGCCTACCAGGCCCAAGGCTCTGGGTCTATTCCCAGCACCAAAACAACCCCGAACCCCAAAGCAACACAGCCATGCTGTCACAAAATAGTTAACGAAACAGTACAAACAATGTTAAATGTTAAGGAACTGGAGAGATTATAACAAACACCATGGGTGTGCACACAGAGCTTAGAGATATAGTGCTTATACATAGATGTGTTCTTTATTTAAAAATATATAGCTAAAAAGATATAAACTCAAGTGCCCGAGTGGAAGAAAGCACACACTCCCAAATGCTATCTGTGTGTCACCTCTGAAGTTACAGATGATTTTATGATTTTTAAAATTTCTGTTTTCTGTAGCAGAATTACACCACTTTTGCTACAAAAATGAGTATGATGACACTACACTGAATTGGGAGGGAGTTGAATCTGCTAGAATGGGATGCAGTTATACTCCGGGGCAAAAACTTTACTACAGGAGATGGACACGTTGTAGTCTGGTTGAGCAGGGAGGTCCCCTGCTCCTCCCCGAGTTCCACTTCTTGGCCCTGTAACCATCTTAGATGTGAAATTCTGCAGCTACCTGGAGGTGACCGTGAGACATGCGAGCCGTGTCTTTCCTACAGCTGAGTGGGAGTCAGGTTAGAACGGCTGACGACTACAACCTGCACAAATCAGAGGAGGGAACTCAAGGGGGAGCCCGGCTCCCCAGGCTTGGTCAGATATTCCCCACACACCACACTCTCCAGGGTGAGAAAGCCTCAAAACAGTTCCCCGTCTCTTATTTTGGTATCTGCTATTTGTCTACTGAGCTAAATTAAAAAAAAAAAAAAAAACACAGTGCTTCTTTCATAGCGATTTTATGGTACTGGCAGATTATTCTCAGAGTGACAAATGTTTCCACTTGACTAATAGCTGACATTTGAAGCGGACAGCACACACGCACACAAGCACATACACACATGACCAGAGATAAGAGAGGAATAAAAAAAGACTCTTGAGAATATAGGAGGTGTGATCAGAACATATGGTGAATTCTTAAAATTAAAAAATTATAACAGCAAAAGAAATACTGTCATTAACCCTCTGCCAGATGCTACGTCTCATGCTGGATATACCTATTCCTTTGTTCTTGCCACTGTCTGAAGCAGTTTGGAAGTCATTTTTTCATGAGCGCATAGTTACACTGTTGTAGAAATAATGATAGAAAAATGTGTTGAAAGCAACGGTAGTGTTTTGAGAGGGATTAATGACAAAATGCCTTTTATTGTCATAATTTTTAAATTTACACCCCTGTACAATGAATATACCCTGGTATATTCAGAATGTTTTAGATTCATCATAGTCTTGATTTTTACTCCCAAGACATTACATCAAGCTACATGTACTTTAGGGACTTGCTATAGTTTTAAAATGAAACAATAATATTCATCATCTAAGAAGCTAAGCTGTTAAAACTTCAGAGTCTTGCAGAAACATTCATCATGTGAAAGTGACAAACTCTGACAATTTTCAATAGATAAAAAGGGACTTTTGCTATACTTTCAAAATACGGTGGTATGACTTACTAAATTATGGGGATGTCTTTCAGAAAACGGATCATTTTACACAGTGTACTTCTTCATTTATAAGCATTAACTGAAAAGTATTCCTTAGAAATTTCACCGATTCATTTAGTTGTCTGTGATGAGCATTCTGATACATGATTCATACAGTGGGATAAACTCTAATCTAAAGGACATCAGGGCAAATTACACTCAAGGAACCGACAAGCAAGTATTTATGAAGTTTCTGTAAGACTAAATTCCTGTGGGAGACTAGTTTAGGCTTGTGTGATAGGAAATAGAAAACTACTCAAGGACCATAATTCAGGTCGTTCGGTAACGATGCACATGATGCAGAAGCAGAGTCCAAATGAAAATTACGATTTTAGCTAAAAGGGGGACACCATATTCCTAGATTAGTGGGAGCAGTAAGAAACATATACATAAGATTCTAGAAATGAATCAAGTCTGGGAAGACTTGATGATTATTACAATATGGAGAGAAACAAACAAAAAAACTACTCAGAGATGATTCCAAGACCTTAATTACAAGTGTCCGGGCTATAGGTGGCATCAGTAACATAGAAGAATTTGGTTTGGAGATAAGAATTTCTGTTGGGTTATTAATGAGCTCAGAAAATGTTACCTGCACGGGCATGTTGGCTGTGGCCAATATTCTCCTTTCTTCCCTTAAACAATTAGAAATAACCACAGCTACATGCATTGGATTTCCGTGAAATTTTCCCTGAAAGAGAATAGCAAAAACAATATAAGGACATATATATGGCATATATCTGAAAGTGCAGAAATCCAGATATATCCTAAGGAAACCTTGCTACTTGAAAAAACAATAACCTCTTAACAAATATGTAAAATTATATGGGATTTATTCCAATCTATTCCATTATTAAAACCACAGAAATTTATATTACAAACATAGACCGTTAAGAAGGGTATATTGCTTTCTTCACCTTCAAAAATCACTTTTTACAATCATTAAATGTCCTCTAGCACCTCTCTAGGAGGGACCCAGATCAAATGCAGGACAGGCTTTGGGTGCAGGAGTCACTTCCAAAGGAACACAAAGCACGGTGGCCCCAGGTGGGTGCTTGTAAACTGTGCTCTCTGCTCCAAACATTTGTGTGGGTTGCTGTTTGTTGGTGTTCATGTCTACTAGCTCCCAACTCACTGGTACACACAAGGGAAGCTACACCCATGCTTCAGCAGCAAGGCTTTCTGATATTTACGCTCACACCTTTTCCAGCTCAGGTTAACAGGTGCAGATGCTGTCACCGGCAGCCTCCTGGGACTCATCTGGCCTCTAGGGATGCTGTGTGAATGAAAATATCGACTATGTTGCTTAAATTATGTTGTGACCTGTGCTGTTGTGTTGTTACATCCTCTTTTATCTCAATCTCTTCTATTTTTATTATTTTTATTTTTTTAACTAAGGGAAAAAATAAATAAAAAAATAGCAGGATATATTACAGCAACCATTTTGATTTCCTATTAACTTGATTTGAAGCCCTGTATTGCTCTCACCATCTTGCTTTGACTGATTTTACTCTATTCTGTCTTGCTTGATAGTATCAAGTTTGAGGATATTATGCAAGTACTTTGAAGACAATAAGATTCACTATGATTCCCATTCTGGTTTGGCTGTTATTTTCTTTTGAAATCCTGTAATGTCTCCAGTGTTTCGGTTTTATTGGTTTTGTTCTGTACTGTTTTGTTCAATTTTATTATAACTGATGATATAGGCAATTCTTTTTAAGATAGCAAGAGGCATTATGGTAACCATTGTTGATTACCTGGTATTCTGTTTTTACATCATGTACTATGTCCATCCTTTTGACTTGACTGACTCTGTTTTGTTATATCATATTTGGTTTTATTCTCTTCAAAAAAAGTAATAAGAACTGTGGGAGTAATAAAACCCAAAATATGTAATTGTTATTGTAAAAAAGAGAGGAAAAGAAAGTGCTCTAAAAGATATAATTGCATGTATATTTAAGCGTATAAGATAGATGACCATATTACTGAGTTTTGTTGGATCGTTGAACAGAACTGTTTGCAGGCTCACTGTTTGAATGTCCACTTTGTATGCTTTAATTTTGTAACTTGAACAACTATTTCTAAGATGACAATATGTAATCTATTAACTAGTGATTTCCTACTGTTTATGTTTTTTAAATTCTGTATCACTTGTACCCTCTTTCTATTTTCTTTTCTTTTTCTCTTTAAATAAAACTAAAAAAGAAAGAAAATATTGAATTCCTTCAGGAGCCTCACATGACCCCCACTCACTGACTTTACCTGCTAGACCTAGAGGTTGCCAAGCCTCAAGGTTTTCCAGCTGTGATTTACAGGAAAATAGCAACACCACCACCCAAGCACATTAAGCTTTTTCTGAGGCAGGAGGTGGACCAGTGAAATGCACTTACTTTATTTTCCTCTGGTCTCCTCCTAATCAAAAGTAGCTTATGCAGGTTAATAAATCAAAGGGTCATTTTTTTGCATTATTATTATTAATGTTTTTGTCTTCTTGAGATAGGGTTTCACTATGCAATTCAGGCTGACCTTGAACTCTCAACATAGTAGCCCAGGCTGGCCTCAGACTCATGGTAATCTGCCTGCCTCAGCCTCCGGAGTGCTGGGATTACAGGCATGTGCCACTATGCCCAAGTACAAAATGGTTATTTTTAAGGAAAAAAGTTAGATTATTGGTTATAAACATTTTTTTTTTTGTCCTGGGATTTGAACTCAGACCTTATACTTACAAGGCAGGTGCTGTGCCGCTGAATGTATCTCCTGCTTGGTTGTAAACATTTTTGTGGGTAAACTGGTGCTACAATTTTATCAGATGGTGCATGTTAATTAGCACTTCTATTTGTAAAACTAGGGTAATCATCGACTATCTAGATTCCTGCTCTTTCATATTCTTCAATATTTTATTTTATTTTATTTATTTATTTCATTTTAATTTAATTTAATTTTATTTTATTTTGGTAAACTCATGACCTCATGCTTGCCAGGCAGGCGCTTATGCTGCTGAGCTAAATCCTCAGCCCTTCTTCAGTCTTTTAAAAACACCTTTTTCCTCTTTCCATCAGAAATCCCCAAAGGGAAAAATAAAATGAGTTGACAGAAACTCAGAAAGTGAAAATAATGCCATTGACAACATGGGAATCCCACATTTTTGACTCTGTGTGCTAACAATTTAAGACTCTTTTTACTGGAGTTTATTCCTGTTGTTGATTTTCCCATTTCTCAGTTTTTAAAATAGTGTACCTTGCCCTTAATTCCCTGAGAGTAACTGTCCATTTTCTCTTTTTGTCTTCAATTTGTTTTAAAAATGTTCCGTTGTTAAACAGAGAGGCCTGCTTCTAGGGTGGCCCGGACTAGGAGGAGGAGTTCCTGTAACAGCTCGGGAAGGAGCAGAATTTGTCTGTTTGCCAGCACTGCTATGGAGTGTTTCCTTGATCACTCAGATGCTATCTTTCTCCATTCTCAGCTTGCTTGTACATTTTTCACTTTCTGTTTTTCAGCACTTTTAATCTTTTTCAGATTCAGTTTCCCCCAGGTTTTTTCAGGTTAAATTACTCATTTTTTCTCCTCCATTAAGAAGCAGGAATCAACACTGTATTCTTCAAGGATATCTTTTCACTTTCTTTTTAACTTTTCCTAATTTAGTGCCTCACTTAAGTCTGAGACAAAACGCCTCACGGAAAATTGATCACTACAGAGTCAATATCGAGTCCAAACTCTTCCTGTGCAGCAAGGCACACTTGTGGTCCCATTTCAGTAGTTACTAAATACGAGGACCCTCCAAATGACACAGAAACAAACCTGTAAGTAGGTGTTGATGGGCAGAAGCAGGAAAATGAAAGCCAGAGAAAGAGAAGCTGCCCCTTCCCAGCGTGTGCTGCCCTCTCTAACGCGGTGCACTGCGAGTTAGCACCCACAGGCCAGCTTGCCGCCCACTGACTCGCTGTGTGAATGAACAGAGGTTTTCAGTGATCAAGGTGTCAAGTGTTTTAATCTTTTTCCTTATGACTAGTTTTTTCTGATGTGTCTCAGAAATCTTGCCCTAAACTGCAGTCATGGAGACCTTCTCTTGTTACCTGATAAAGTCCCTGTGGGTTTTGTTAGGTGTGATTCTCTGTTACTGACCTGAACTCCTTTCCCTTTCTCCCCTGTGCACACACGTTTCCCAGCCTGCTTATTAAATGCTCTGGACTTGGGATGATCCACGTGCACGGGGGCCGCCGTGCTCCTGGACTCTCCCATGGGAGGGCTCTGCCTGCCTCACCAACAGACTATCGTTTAGCACTAAGCTTTATTCTCAGGTGTAATGCCATGTAGAACAGGATTTCTGTGCATTGTCTTATTAATTTTAGAATCAACTCAAGTTGCAAATATGCCCAATCAAAGCAGGCACTCGAATGGCTCTAAATCTTTAGGTAAATTTAGAGTCTTGGCATGTTCATAATTGTGCTCTAGTTATTTAGGCCTTCTTTAATGTCTACTATTGTAATTTTCCAATAGAGATCTTAAATATATTAAGAATATATTAAGGTTACTTCTATATAGTTGATAATTTTCAATACTGGTATTTTTCATTTCTAACTGGTTTTTTTTGCTTACATATAGAAATATAATTAATCTTCATATATTGATTTTTGAATCCACAAAGCCTGCTCAACTCTTACTGGGTTTAATAATGTATTTGTAATATTTCTTATCAATTGTAAAAATGTATCTGTACATTCTTTTGGGTTTTCTTCATACACAAATCATATTTTGTGCAAATGTTGACAGAATTTTTCCTCCTTTTCAATCAGCTAATTTTCATCAGGATTTCACCTCTATTCTAAGACTGATTTAGATAGAAGTATATCTATTACTTTTTAAACAGGGATTTGTTTTACATTTTTAAAAAACTGATTTCTAGTATAATTTTTATCAGAATATAGCTTTAGCTAATTTCAGACACTTGAAGTTTTTGCGATTTGCTTCATGGTCCAGTATATAGATATTTCGTAAAAGTTTCACCTTGACTTGTAAAGAATGTATATTCTGAGTTGTTTGGTACAAATATTTTACGTCCTTTCATCAAACCAAATGTGTTACTTGTTTTGTTTAAATTTCTCCATGATCAATTTTTCTGACCTGATCAATTTTAATTATGTTAAAGACTGCTCTGTGAACTTTTCTCCTCGTGCTTTTTATCAGATTTGTTTAGACTGTTATCTATTACTACTGTAATAGATAGTAAAATCTTTCATTACAATGAGCTGACCTTTTATCTCCAGTAATGCTTTTTTACCCTGAAGCAAAAATATGAACTATGACATAATGCTAAAAATTTAACTGCTCACAATTTATATTTCTCCTTATTGAGGGAACTTTCGATTTATTTCAGTATGGTTATGGCTGTTTAATCATCTATCAGTATGAAACAAATTAGTCAATGTATTAACTCCTTAATATTCTAATTTAGTTAGCATATTCTAAAATGTATTTAGAATTCAACTTTTCTGTCTCTTTAAACCTATTTGCTTTCCTATTTTTCCATAAAAAGAATGTCCTGTGGGGCACCTGCAATGTCAGTGAGGCATAATTTATTGAGAGCGTGCACAACTATTGTCTATTCTGCAAGTTTTGGTGCCAGCCTTTTCTTGATCTTACTAGGAAGTTTTCAGACAAAAACTAGGTCTCACAATTCTTGTGCAAATGGCCCAT